TGTGCCTTGTAAATAATGCAGATAGAAAAGTAGTGAAGGTAGAACACGACGCAGTGGTGAGGAAGGAGGGGAAGAAAATGAGAAGTCCATCGGGTGCAAGACGAGTGGTTTTGAAAGGCCATAAGGGCAAAGAATGGGTTTGATCAGACATCAACAGGTCGAGTAAACCGCCTCGATCGCTGTCGAACAAGGTTCTGACGGAGAGCAACAGCTGCAGGGGACATGTTGGCATCAGGTGGGGCGGGCCGATTCCGGACTCGTCTCTGGTGGCCACCAGAGCTGCCTGGGCCAAAGGCAGCACCGCTCTTGAGTGACTCCATGAGGGTATCGATGACGTTGCCGTCCTCTTCCGTTGGCTTCCGGGTGACGCCGCTCCCACTCAAACCAGCAGCCCGCAGACGCGCTTTCTCCTCTTCGCGTTTCTGCCGCTCCTCCATCAGACGCTTCTGTTTCTCCTCAAACTCACGTTGTTGTTGAATCTCCATCGTTGCCTGTTTGTAGGCTGTAATGAATTTCTGCAGGTCGGAGAACATGCTCTCCATGTTGTACTTGGTTGGGTCAAACGCGAAGTACCTTGCGACCTCCATGAAACGCTCCTGCATGCGTTTAAACATGTTCTCAAGTACCTCGATTTGCTGCTGTGCCTCCACCAAAAACTGCTTCATCACAGTGGGGTAGGTGTCATTGGAATCATCACTAGTATACGTTCGCAAATCGTTGTCAAGGGCTGCCGCAGAACGTTTCATCTCCACAATAGCGGCACCAGTCGCATCTTCAGGGAAGTGTGAAGCCCGTTCCATGTAGGTCAAGTCATCACCGAGGCCCAAGACGGTGTCGGGGAACTTCTTTTCAATGGCACGAATAAGGAAATGAAGGAGCGTCGTCTTACCAACCGCATCTTTAGTATCAGTCAGCTTCGGTAGGAACGAAAGGTGAAATCCAACTGATTGAGCATTACGTGATCCGGCATTAAGGTAGTTGCCAAAAAGAAGGATCAATTCAATCACTCGCACAAGATGCTTGCTTTGTCTAAGCTCCTTCAACGCCTCAATCACAGCCACGATTTCAGGCTTAGTATCATCAACTTTCTCCTGGAAGCGCAGTTTAAAGAGAATTGACTTCAGTCGTGGAATTAGCTTCTTTATGGTTCCCACTTTGCATATAAATTGTTCAGGCTCGGCAAGCTCATTGTAATCAGCCGACATGTCAACCACTTGTTTCATCACCTCGGGTTCTGGTAAGGCCTTCAGCAACTGTTCGACAATGTTGGGAGTTAGAAGGGCTTCATCTACCTCAACAATGCGTCTGCGCAACTCGTCATAGGGAATTTTGAGTGAGCCCAGGAGGATGGAGAGCGCTTGTGCCGATTTGCCATCCAGGCACCTGATCTGCTTCGCTTTTCTTGCAAGAGCAGACGCAGCACCTACGGCCGCACCAACCCTCCCACCGTTCTCCTCCGCACCGTCCACAACACCTTCACCATTCTCGGTAAATTTCTTCGGTGGTTTCGTGTTGAAGTTATCAGCGAGTGACTGCAGTAGATCGTCTGAAGCCAGTTCGTTTTCCTGCATCTTCACCCAAACCGAATCCTCAGCCAAATCCTTTTCACTCACCCTGTCCCAATTCGCCTTCTTCATGGGCACCTTAGGCTTGTAAACTGGCTTCGCCTTCATGCCGTAGGGCAGAGATGGAGGAGCTGCGTTGAGGCCCGAGAGTGGTGGTGGTGGTGGTGCCCCGGGAGGACGTGGGATGCTCGGAGGTGGAGGGGGTGGGGGAGGTGGAGGGAAAGTGCTGGAACCGGGAGGGGGTGGTGGGGGTGGAGGTGGCGGAGGAGGTGGAAGTGGAGCTTGCGATGGAGGGCGTAGCGAAACTCCTGCTGCCTCATCATTTCCTCCTTCAACGGATTTCACCTTGGACCGCAGCTGTTCCAACGTTGCTTCAACTTCCTGTTTTTCTTGCAATGCCTGATCGAGTTTCTTTTGCAGTTCGTTGGCTTTAGCGTTAGCGCCACCATCCGACTGCTTGTAGGCTTCCATCAAAGCATTCACGGTACCCTCAATATCCAGTCGCAAAAGACCCAAAGAAGGATCAATATCAACACCATCAGTTTGTAGTACCACTTGACTTACAAGCTCATTTAGCAGATTATAGTAATGTTCTCGGTAGGGCTCCTCTCTCACAAACAACAGGTGCTGGAGAATGGAGAGAAACGACTTTTCAGAAGATGTGTTGGCTAGAGAGCGTTCAAGTAACTGAAACACTTGCCGCGGTTCACTGAGGTCGGCCTTAGCCACCTCGAAACGTTCAAACAACTCGTCTGTATCCGCCTCAGCAAAACTTCGGTAAATAGACACATGATTTGCTACATTGGGATCAGCCGACTTTTCTAATTCGCACAGGCGTTGCGCTAACCCGAGTTTACTTAGTTCTAGTCGAAGGTGTATACGATAATCGAGCTCGATTGTCTCCTCTGACAAAAAACGAGCAGAGACGATGACGTTGATTAGCTGTAGACAGGCGCAGGCGAGTTCGGAAACAGCCAAGCCGTTAATAAGAGGCTCGAAACGAGGCGGGTGATGAGCAGTGAACTCGGCACTAAATGTCAATCCTTCCAAAACCTTTTGATGACCCTTCAGACTGCACATCGCCATTGTGGAGAGCAACTCGAGGGCACACTCCATCAGGGGGATTTCATGTATATTTAAGCATCGTGCGATAAAAGTTGATGCAGTCTCATGATCGACCAAAGCATACAAACCGTAACCGCAGTTCCCCAAGGCTCGAATGCATTTTAGGCTCAAGTAGGTGATCGTTGTGTTTTGGGTAGGCGCGAGAAATTCAAGCAAAAGATTTAATCCGTCATTTTCCTTGTTATTAAACTCCTTCACCCAACTAACCCGACCATTCAAAAGAGCAATTCTAAGGGATTCAAGGGTTTTGGAAATCTCCTTCTCACTAGAGAGTTTGGCATTACGCAGGTCCTTACAATACTGCATCGGGCTCGCGATAGTCTTGGTTGTCCCATACTTAGATGACGCTAGCATATTGAGCTTAAACTCAAGAGGTTTGACGAGAAGGGGGGCGCGTTTCTCCGCGGACAAGTTCATGTCCTCCAGCATAGACTCAAAAAGTTCATCAATCTTCTCGGGGGTCAAATGGCTGAGACTGCTGTCTTGCGAGAGTCGTGATGCTCCGTTGTGACCCGAGGCGCCACCAGAGCCAGCGGTGCCGACGCTGGACTCGTGACCTTCATTGTAATGTGGCATTGTGGAGGGATCTAGCGAGTACATCTCGGCCGCTCCGCTGCCTCCCCCACTCACATCTTTCTTGCGCAACGAAAGCATGTTCTTGAAGCCCTTTTTCGAATCTTTTTTTGATTCTCTTTTGCCATCCATGATTTACAGTAGATCTGGAAAAGGGACACAAAGCGTGTTACTGGAAGATTCAGTTGAGGGAGAAGAAGAGGTGGGAGGAAAAGGAGACTACAAAGGAAGAATGTGTGGACTGTGAAACCAATGTAGGTAGGTTGTGCACCACAACACTTTTGTCAGTGACAGACAACAAAAAGGAGAAAGACGGGCCTTCTAGCGTCATCCGTGATTGGGAAAAGCAGCAACATGGTTCAAGAATTCAAGATTGCATGCGCATAAAAATTGCTTAAACGTTGTCAGCATCCGGGTCCCTGATCTAAAGTGAGGTTGTGTGTGTACGTGTACGATTACACAGGAGGCCTTGAAACAGAATATAAAGCGCCATTCACAGGGGAAACTTATGTATCATAAAGTTCATTGTCATTGAATGAGCCGAATTTAGGTATGAAAACTATCTTAATGATGCCATACCGGACCCAGTTTTAGAGTTGAAAAGACTAGCAGATATTTTCGTCAAGGGCGCCAAACCTCTGTGCAAGCATACGTAATGAGGAAAGCTGCACCCGGATGATGGATGATTGACTATGAGCAATGTATACAACAGAGGTGTGCAAAATGTGTAGCATAATTCGAGAAGCCAGATCTAAGATCCTAGGTTAGATTTTGAGCCATTATATCCTTGTATAGTTCAAATAGCGGTCCTCAGCACTGTACACTCAGTCGTATTTTTTCCCATAAGAACCCCATTGGATCTGCCTCTTTAAAACAAGGAAATATTCCGAGTACGCAATTCCATATTCCACATATTCCGAAGAAAATTTGTCTTTAGTGTTTTATCTTCAGCTCACCGGAGTTACCAATGAGGCTGCTTGCTCACGAACGGTATAGGAGCATCAATGATGACTACCCGACAATATATGAAATTTGTGTAAAGTAGCATACTGTAAGCATTAAAGTACTAGTACTATGTTCGTGGAATCCAATATTCTCGATATAAGTAATGAATATATGTCAACTGTTGCAAATGTTGCGTATTTTATGTACCCAAAAATTTCGCAGATTATGAAGGTCTTAAAATGTTGATCAAATGGCCGATCATTGTGTAATTCACATGCGTCTGACCAGTATCTTCAAAACAGAGAACTTGCTTAAAATTGCAGGATGCCACTACCATGAAGGCTCAAGTTCCATCGGCTTCATTTCAGTTATATTGTGGAGAAACAAGACTTAAGAAAGTGCTTGATACATGCCAGGCGTAACAGCCATACCACAAAAAGAGGCTTCGCAGAAGCCTGGATAGGGTTACCAGTGATAAATACCGCACATGCACATTCAAACATTTACCTTGAAAAACATAATGAGCGGCCTGCAAAACGTGGGAATGCAAGGAGAAAATAAGCGAAATCACGATTTTTGCCGAAAATTTGCTATAACTTAGCATGGTGTCGCATAAGCATGAAAGTGTACCGAAGACGGACATTTAAAAATGAAAAGCACTACAATAAAGATGTGATAAAACGGCAAGCTGGGCTAGTCACCCTACATTAAACGAGGACTTATCATTTGCAAACAGTGGTTCCAATCAATAATATTTCAAACTGGCAAAAGATCGTAGAACAGCTTAACTAAATGCGAAAAATTGACATCTGTTGCCTAGACAAAATTAATCTTCAATACAACAACCTATTTCTAATGCATTAAAACTATCCTTTCACACAATATTTTACCACGAACTTCTAAGAAGGGCAGCCCAAAGGTTAGTTACAGCCTAAAACACTGCAGCCAATACAATAAAATACTAATAAGTAAAATAAACAACAAAAACACTTATAATGAAACCACAGAAACGATGCAAAAGGTGCCCTAAACTCGAACTACCTTTTACCCAGTAAGGGAGGTTTGACATGATATTGTGCACACGATTATAAAAACACGGTGCTTTTCAGTTGGTAGAGTGGATTTAATCGATTTAATATTTAAGGCACTTGTTTACTCATTCCAATCTTTCAACAAATAAAAAAATTTTCAGACCTTAGCGTTGGCTATATTTCAATCGTCAATATTTCGATAACCGCAGTTTTTTTCTTGTCAGACTATTTTACCAAGTAATATGCCAAGATGGGGCGGTATTGGCGAAGTGCACTGTAAAAGACGCTAATCCCATCGAGGCAAATGTGGTGTATTCCATACCATGCATATGCAGTCCTGTACATTCCACATTATGTCCTTCCTGATCTTTGCACTATCTGCATCCGTCCAGCCCACCAATTTCGATGACGAAGTCAGCAAAACCACCCACGCGCAAGCCTGGAGCCACCTCGAGACTTAAAATGTCAGCACCCTACCTCGGAACCCCTATGCTCATAAACAACCCCAATCATGATGTTTGGTCCCGCGAGTCCTCAGACCTTGCCCGGACCGACCCTCTGCCATGAGAATCACCACTCCCGCCTGCCACTGTCCCATGGCAGAAGACCATTACCACTGCCACCGTCCCAGCCCTAGTGCCTTGACAAACCATAAACAATGTGAGGACCGAAAAGAGCAGCAACGATAGCACCACCCACTTTTGAAAAGACAACCAACACAACTAAACTCAGAACGTGAGCCGTGGTAAAAATGGTAAATATCACACGGGAGCATCCCGAAAAGAGAAAGAGCAAATACAAACAGAACGACAACCGATGTGGGACAAAGTGAATATCGAAACAATGCGAGTAACTACTGGTGAGGTAGAACGTGCAAAAGAGAATACTGCTAGGGATTGGTAAAGCGATGCAAAATGCTTTCACATGCGAATGAGCTGATGGTGTTGCTGCCTATTGCCTTGGTTGCGCAATGGTGGTCGGCCGCGACTTTTGGGCGCAACACCGCTTCCGGACAGCGAACCATTGGCACCGCTGCGTCGACTACCACACTCCCGCCTGACCCCTACGAGAGCTGAGAGTCTGTTGGCCCGACGCTTGCTACGTCTGGTCGCCCCAAAGACAATGCCTCGACGACGCCTCAAGGGCATAGACGCTGCACCAGTACGCGAGGCCAACCCCCGTCTCGTGTCCTCGGGCGAAGATTCGTCAGAATCACCACTCGCAGCAGACATCACTTCGCCAGCAAGGTGTGTATCTCCAGGGCCGACAAGTTACATTTAGTGATGCTTTTATTTAAAGACACCTACTCTCATGTGGTAAATGAGTTTGGATGACGGCACGAAACTAGAATACGGAACGAGAGCTGCGTGATACTACTGCCACGTGAATAGTTCGCCGCGATTCAGAAAAAAAGGAAATCCTAACCTGCTTGATAAGGCGCGAGCTCCAGATAGATGTCTATCATGGGAGGACCCATAATGGGCAAAGTTTGGATTTGTCAGGAAAGTCATGGGTACAGTGCGGTCTAAGTAGACAACGAAGTACTGAGGCTAGCTGAATAATGTTCAGATTGGGGTTCATGCAATAAGCCAAGGGATATGTCGAACGGAATAAATCATTTGTAAACGCTTTTTTTCTGTTGGGCCGCAAAAACAGCGTATAAATTGGATAATTTTGCTGAGTCAATATTCTGAGGTTAGTTTTGTGGATTTTGCAACTTATCTAAATAAATTTGTTCATTTTAGACAAATACCATTTGATGAGACATTCGAGGGCACCTTACCATTAAGAAATACGCCTTGGGATCGCTTAAGCTGCTGCAATTGTTCAATTTCTTGACGCAATACGTGTTCTCCTGCAAATAGTAGACGAATGAATAATGAAGTGATAAAAGTCGTGATACCCAATGATAAATTTTGCTCCGATCAAAAGTCGCACAATTAATAATGGTACAAAATCTCAATCTGTGATTAAAAAATGTTAAGTTATGAAACCGCACAAGTTAATTAAGAAAGATGTGACATGTAGGTGACCATGGTTCACACAAAGAAGGTTTGACATACTGTGCAGTTGATGTAACAATTTGTTCGCTTCTAATGGGGATAGAAACCGAAGAAGGGGTTTCAGAGGTTCTGCAAAATGTCTGCAACGGAAAACAAGTTTAGGTGAGAAGGTACTACTCAGTGGATAACAGTACAAAAGCGCTGCATCTCCTACAGGTGTAAAACTTGCATATGGATGTAAACAGACGACTAGGCAATAACCTTGGGTTGGGTTATGAGTAGGTTAAGCGGGGATCCACCAATGGGAAAATCCCATATTAACCCAGATACTTATCATCTCTTTGGTTCGTAACAAACCTTTCAGTTTTAGAGGAATCCATAGCTTTTAATGGTTAGTTAACCTTGAAAAAATGCAAACGTCCCCACTCATATCCAAGTCGTCGCATCTTAATAAATAAACCACGAAGTTGCAACCTATGGGCACAAAGCTCCAATCCGCTAGCAATTGAATTTGTCACGGTATCATAAAAGACTGTTATCCAGGTCTATCTGACGCTTTGTTAAATATACAGCTCAAGGTATATGCAAAGCATAAGCTAATATTTGTTGCCGCTATATACAAAAGTGCTTGAACAGTAATTTGACGCAAAAATCAATCTACGGTGGTATGCAGCAGTTTGCCGGAGGTTCCGACGAAGAAATATCCCGGATGGACTGGTTCGGCGATTTCTCTTTGACATTCGATAGATGTTGAGAGGTGCCACTGTCTTTCGTAATGATCCAAGGTAAGGGAGTTGGCAAGGAAGGAAATATACCAGAAGGGTTGACTGAAGAAACAGCTCCAAGGGGACTAAAGTCCACAATTGGGGAAGAGCAGTGCCAAGGTCGAGTGAATGTAGTGGGCGGAGAAGCATCTCTACTATTCCCTTCATAAGTCGTCATATCCTCGGCAGGAATTGAGGCAGACGCTGTTGCGGCTGTGTCCACGGAAGGTACCGAATGACTTGAACTGTCGGAAAACGCAACTCCAGAATCTTGAAGCGATTCTATTGATGAGGGTGGTTGTTTAACGGCCTCTTCTATGGGCAAGCTGTCGGAGGTGCCAGGCTTCTCGAAGATATTGCCACAGCGCGTGGACTGTAACATCCTCCCTCCACATCGCCGTTGGCTAATTAAACGCCTGCGAGCCGCTTTGTCACCCCCACCACTTAACTGCGATTGGTCAGACATTGCGCGTCCATGACCATTGCCATGGCCATTACTCGTGGCCTTAGGAGGGATCAGTTTTGGAAGGGCGTGAGTCAGCAAGTTCAGTTTTGCCGCGACTATGTGACGTAGTCGCCGCCGTCGCAGAATCTCGGTAAACATATCGATCCGAACGAGAGCTAGGTCTGCAAATTAATAAATCCAAAGGAAAGAGGAGGGAAGTCGTTGTCGCAAGTGAAAAACAAGAGCACATAGATACGCATGATTAGAAGCCAGTGCTTCATCACATCCTCAGCGGAAGTACCACCATCATTCAAAAGAACAACTTATTAACGTATCGCAACCATACTACATAGCGATTTTCATGGGGGATTCCAGAATTTTAGGCATATCTATCAATGCGATGATGAGAGCTTAGTTGAGGAATAAACTGCTACCCAAACAGAAGAATGCGGGTGCGAGTGAAATTCGCAATGTAAGAAGACTGAAAGTAAAAATATAGGTAAATTTGGAAAACATTGGTTACAGCAAGAACACCCTTGTTACAATCAAAGCAAAAAAAAGTACAGAAAGAGTGAGCCTTCCTTATAACTAGCAATAAATTAAAGGCTTCTAAGTGCTACTTAGAATATAACGTGGCCTTCGATGTTCGCGTGTGCAAAACAGCCACAATCTAAAACAAGCACATCAGTGGCACCTTAAGACAGGTATAGAACGAATGAGTGCACCGCAACGCCGCTTAATGTAACAAAGAGCATAAAGATCATTTAAGCAAAGGCCGATAGAACAATGATGTATGCAGCAGTGGGGGCCACAAGAATGAGCAGGTTCGAAACAGCATCGCACAAAAACCACCAACAACATGGAAAAGATCTTACCACGATAAAGTTCATCACCAAAAAAATCGCTTCTGATTCGGGCAATGAACATCTCGGCATTGTTATCATAATCCTAAAATTTACTTACAATACAGATCCATGAACTTACGCATTCATAATCGCCTCTCTTGGGCATTAAGCCCAATTTCTTGCAAAAACCAAGTGGAACTCGGAAATGAGCTTTACAGATGGCAAAGAGATCGTCATCAGACTTATCTTTGGTATTCAAATCCATGATGGAACGAGGTGATTTATAGACGCTACTCATGATTCCTGAAACGTACGTAGACTCGTAATGTCTGCGACATTCTAAAGGTGACATACTCCCGAGCTTTGCCGATACATCCAACCTGGAAAAAAGACATCCACTACAACTCACTTCACTTACCAATTTCCAAGACCACAAGATTCAACATACTCCAAGAATGCAAGTTCTTTTTCTACTGTCCACACAAGTTCCACCCATTGGGAAACAGATCTCTGAAGCAAAAATCATTAAAGCTAAACAGAAGTACCCCAAGTGCATACTTATGGCACCTTTTGTGTTTGGAAGACTCGGCACCTAACCGGAAACACTAAACATTAGTAATTATACGCGCCGTTACATTAGGACAGAGTAGGACCCTTTGGCATTGTACACATTTTATAAAAATAAACGGGAGCTTCCTAAGGCAATAACAACAGTGTTCACCCATGTCCAGTTGCTATGACCAAAAAGAAACCCGGAAAACTTCACCCCCATTCCATCTGAAAGATTGATGGTGTTGGTAACTCACTAAAACAGTCCTTCGTCTTATCAGTGCCCATAATTTCAAGTATAATGTATACAATAAAGAACAAAAAGTCAAATAAAATCAGTAAAAATTATACTCCGTTTCAAATAGTTCTTTTTTTTGAAACTATTGCTCATATGTACAACCTTAAATTCTACGGCTACATATTTCATACAAAAATGAATTTAATTAATATTATGAGGGTTGCATTACACGCACTTAGCATGCTATAATAGTTTTCATTGCTTCATTTAGAGGCGTATTAGTGTTCTAAATTTTGCACGCACAACATTGCGCTTTGCTTAGAATTAGTGCACAATGCGAGGTCATCCCGCGCAGTTTTGATTTAAAATATAACACTTTAAAACTTAGTAAACAGCTTCCGTTGGCTTGAAATCACCATTGTTTTGCTTGCTGTCAGGGATGGCAAGAATGTTAAAGTGTTTATTAATTATGCGGTGCATTTAACTGTAATACGATAGTGGTTTATCCCTCGGTTCTGGTGAGGCGCCACTTTTGTACTTTGAACTAGCCCTCTTGTGCCTTGCCGGGTGGGCTGGCCTTTTGGGCCATGCCAATAGCCCAGACACCTTCTCCGTGCTGAATACATATATTCTGCCCGAGTATTGTGTCTTCTTTCGTCTTCAGGCAGTCTCGCTACATAACACTTTAAAGAAACCTAATTCATTAGCCGCACATCACAAAGACCTTTTTTGAAACTGGTGTACGCAAGCAGAGGTTTCTTTGCTGCAATAATATTAACCTTTTTCTGCTCTTCTACGACAGATTGCTTTCTTTCGATTATGTTGTTTTTGTAATTTCTGCAGTCTTTATTTCTTTTATTTCACCCCAGGCTGCATACCATGATTGGCTTCGCGCTGTATCCAAGTCCTTACAATTTGTAAAATTTGATTTTTCTGTGTTATTCTTATCAGTGCGGAGCTGTAATAAAGTTTATGGGCATTCTCAATAATACTTCATTAATTCAGAAATAGTCAAACGTCTTGGGACATTACATGAATGTAGCGTGCTGAGACTTCCATGAAGACGGAAGGGGACACAATACTCGGGCAGAATATATATTCAGCACAGAGAAGGTGTCTGGGCTAATGGCATGCCCTGAAGGCCAGCCCACCCAGAGAGGTACAAGAGGGCTAATTCAAAGTACAAAAGTGGCGCCTCACCAACACCGAGGGATCAACCACTATCGCATTACATGAAAGCTAAGGCAACACTCCTAATTTCAGGTGTTAGTATCCCACCCTTTGTTTGCTTTTACTTATTGTGTTATTACTGCCGCACTTTTAGCCCCACGTTTTTGAAGTACGCAAGCGTGACCAAGGGTGATCCATGAATAAAACGGAGTTTTTGTCCTTTTTTACGGCTAAGAATACTTAGTAAGTCGTCCATCTTGACGGCCTTTCTCGACGTACTAACATAGAATAGATTTTGCAAGCTTCATGCACATGAATGCTGTTGATGTCAACGTTTTGCCTCAAGTATCGTGGGAATCAGATGGTACCGCTTATCTTTGTTACATCAGTCTTAACGAATAAGTAGTTGGATTTTGTCTAATCTCGTTAAAGTATTGCAATTTTAAAAGTTACCTAAGTTTTAAAACAAAATTAGAGGAAAGCCTTCAATCACTGCATTAGCTTCTTACAACTGTGTAGTAATGGAGGTTCGCTGAGAGGTATAAGATCTCAGACAATCCGAGAATAGGGATGCGGAAATTCACTAAATCCATCGGTGTACATGCGAGTATGGAAGAATACGGACAGCTGTTCCTGGTGTCATTTTATCCTTTCGCCATTCAAAAGTCTCAATTTTCTTCGTTCCAAATTATCCCATTTGTGCTTATGATTTACTGGTTGTTTGTTTTCTCATTCTTAAGACAAGATTTCCTAACTTAAACCAAAACGCCCTCTCAAGCCACACCTAATTGGCTAATTTTATCTGGCATTGGGAAAGGGTGTTACGTACCTGCACAGCCACAAGTAAACTTAACGGTGCCAATCATTTAGCAAATTACCGATGTGATCAAGTTCCAGCGCTTAAGTATGCCAGCGAAGGAGTTGTTATTTTTTCGGTTTCGGCATTTTGAAAATCCTTAATTGCTCGAATTTAGCTATTCCAGGTGGTTTCGCAAGTTCACCAATGCCACAGCTCTTACCGCCCCAATGGCTTGGGGCCAATCAACTGAGCACTAGATAAACTGAAGGGGATGACTAACAGACATTTTAAGGAGGATTTAAATCCCATCGGATGAAGTTAAACTTCTTTAGTCCACCTGTTATTTCTATCACTAGCCATAAAGATGAAAAATGAATATTATTTATACCGTCACCTGACGTCACAGCGGCACACATCGCACTCGTGGTATGGCTGCATTGCTGCACGATACCTGGCATGGTGATTTGGAGATTACTATACACCAACTCACTTAGCTCCCCTTCACACATTCATGCGATTCAGCAGCCAATGATGGCCTCAGCAAGCCAATTTGGTGTGCTTTGACAAGTCAATGAGCGCATACACCTGCGCCCACATAGACGAATAAGTGGCTGGTATCAAGGTCAGAAGACACTGTGTGAAGACATTCAAATATTTACGCTTACACACAAGTAGCGAGAGAATGTCGCGCAATAGGAGCACCACTCGTTACGGGCGAGACACCAGTCCTCATCTACCTCCTCATTCACGCGCAGCAGGCAGATTAAGACCACGTTTTGAGGAACTTGGCTTGAACTATGGCTTTGCACAAGCCGACCCAGAGAAGAATGCCGGCTACTGCTTTGTCTATCGAACGTTGAAAAATAAACTTTCCAACGTTGGCATGGCGTGCAGCATTCGTGCGAACGAAAACGAGATCCGGCTCACAGAACTTGAGGGTCCCTTGGACAAACGGGAGAAAGTCAGGATTTTCACCCATGACATCATCAGTTACTATAAATTCAACCACAAGGCCAAGTTCGTTGCCATTTGTATTGATGCCTGTCATCGAAGGAAGACGGGATATTGGTTCCTGTGTTTTGAAAGGGAGGGGCAACTGTCATATTTCTGCGAATACCTCAATTTTCTCTTTGGATTAGATGGTTTGGATGCCCACGAAGGGCCGGATGGGGATAGAATTAGCTACGTAGACCGAAAGTCGGGAAGTGCTCGATCATTCTTATTGAACCAAGGGAGCAGGCACTACAAGAGCGATCTATACCAGCTCAGAGGTCGACACGAGCCGGACTCCTATGACAGTGGCTACACGGATTACAGTAGCGAAGCTTACGCCTCTAGCGTCCTTTCTCCCCCTCCCCGAAAAATAGCCTATCCCAGGTATTCACCCCAGAAATCCACCAGCAAACGCAATTTCAAGCGATGGTGATGATAATTCAAACTTCCTCACCTAACACAGCTTGTATTTTTTGCAATAACATCAATTTTGGGTCTTTTTGAGTATTAAAAACGTTCTGCACAGGCGTGCCCTGCGCCCACCGTATTGTCATTGCTCGTGTGGGTATCTTCGTGAGCGTGCATGTTCAGGCTGAGTGGTCAGGTGTACAACGGCGTGCATTGATACAAAGATGAGTCCTCTTAAATGGCACTCGGTCAAGCTTTTGCCCTTGCATCCTCGAGCACTAATGTAACAACGCCCCAGTCGAATTTTGTTGTAATAATTGGGACGTGAGAGCAGGGCATATGTCGGTCAAACGTGTGAAACTCGACTAAGTGTGAAATTGGGGCACGTGCCTTCAGTGTTTTGGTAACTAAATTGTAACAATGCCATGAAATTTTATCCAGACTCGGGATATGGAGCAGCAAGTGATTATTAAGTGAACACAATGGTAATGATAGATTAATTTATCCACTCTATTATAAAAGAATGCATTGGTTGCCGTATTTATTTGGTCTTGTTACCACCTTTATTAAGCTGATTTCTACTGGCGGACTTAATTTTGCGGAGCACATGAGTTTTTTGGTTTTTTTTGCCTTTTGATGTTAAAGGAAAGCCTAAGAACAAATATTCTTGTGCTTTTACTTAGCTGTGGCAAATTGATTTTACCTTCATCCAACAATACCTCATAAACAAGACAGCCAATGCGTGTTTTTACTTCTCTAATTATGAATCTCTGATTTTACACCTTTGCTAACTAATCTTTCTATCGATTCCAGCTTACTCTTTTGCAAAGTGCCACAATGCTTCATGAATGGTAAGTGATAAACAAATAAGGAGACCACGTATTTGTCTATCTGACGGCCGTAAAGAAATCGGTCTATTCACTAGTGACAACATAGGCACTTCAGCATCAGGTCTTGCTGATTAACGATAGTTTAAGTTCTTTACTTGACCTTTATTTTCAATCGTCTATTAAACATTATTATTGCCAACAATGGTACTATTGTTCTGGAAGCCTGACGATGCTGTTGTGTCTTCACCAAGCAGCAGGCTCATAGTTCCCCGTACCTGCTTGAACAGTGGATGACCATTTCACGGGTGATGGGTCACATGACAGCCCACATTTTCACCACGAGTGACCTTGGTATCCTATACGCGTGTGTGTACCACCAGAGGAAGCATTAAATGAAAAAAATCTTAACGTGTCGAACCGCGTCACTCATTGTCATTTTGTGGGAGAAGTCTGCTTCGAGTCTCAAATTCAATTATCTGACGAATGATTAGCGGTCAAGTATCCATTACTGGTTGAATCAGCACTCATTTAGGGTGGTTTCAATAATTGGCCTTAGTAATAAGAGAAATGATTCCGTAAAATGCTTCATCAAAAGCTCCAACTGTTCACTTATTTGCTGTAATACACATGATGCTGCATGAGTCACGCAACTTCACATTTGCTGCTTCATTTTCCGGGAATAATGCATCCGTAATATTCATCAACAAAGTGATGCAAGCTTCAATGAAATCACGTGTTCATCGTACTGCCAAACAAAAAGTAGGATTTATGGACTTTCTGTTACTTTGGTAGGGCTTTTGCGTTGCTTCATTTAAACATCCTCCGGCATTCGTTACTGCTACTTAGAAGACAAGTGTTGCTGTTTATTATCGACTAAAATGCCTATTCTGTTCGTTTACGATAGTAAAGTCGCAAAAATAACTTTCCCGTGGATCAAATAAATTTATTTTATAAAATAAACATGCAAAGCTTTTGCACTTAAGACTGACTCAACTTTTTTTAAACTAATCTGTCTCATTTGAGATTGCACCACTACTTCTGATCTGCTACTACAAAGTGCGACTCGATTGTGGAAGAGTATATATCGAACAAGATACTTTTAATCTAAGTTAAAAAGTATTTGTAAAAAAAAATGACATGAAAAATTCGCTGGCATTCATTGTTATTTTGCATAATTTTCTTTGTCCTTATTTATTATTTTTTGCATTAGTACGGTTCGGAATATTTTCCTCATTGTAGAATTTTTCCACGTGGGTGATCAAAAAGTTAGTACTTTGTAATAATAACATTGAATTTAATTTTGAATCAACGCAGGTATGAAAAAACTTTCAATGCTTTTATTCTTCAAGATGACATGCGCGCACGGCCACCAGTTTTTGACTAGCCAGTCAAGCATACATTCAAAAGTTGCATCAACAACAATGGAACTTAAAAGTCTAAGAAATCACCACCATGTAATGAACACGGGGTAAAGTAAAACTGAGTGAGTGGATGTTTTTTAGCTTTGTTACATTTTATTCTGTTCGTTTGTTTCCTTGCCATTTGGTTGAGACTGTAGTCCAAAGACTTTAAGCATAATTGTCTGAGTGCGTACGACTGCGCCATAAGTGACTATGTTCGGTATGCTTTACTTGCTTTTATAGGTTTTTCTTATCCCCCTGGTTCTAAGAAGATTATTTCACTGGAGTTCTTGCCTGATGGCAAAGCTTGAGTCTGTTCCCGCCGTCAGTTGAACGTGTTCCTTGAGTGGTGCACAGTACCCCCTTGACTCAATCGCACAAGGAAGGTTGGCCAAGCTTAATCAGTCAATAAGGTTGTGGGTCATTAAATGATATTTTAATTGTGCATTGTGCAACATCTCAACGATTGTCTGTCGGTTTGCTATTGTGGCACAACAGTATGGCACATATCCTTAAGCGAATGCAAACTCTGAATTCATTAAGCTCGTTTTGTGTGGCGTATTAACATCTATCCAGAAAATTTATCACTGTAAGTGTTAATAAAAGTTTCAGTAACCAACTGTTAATTGTTTTGCATTCATTTTTTTCCAAAATATTAAATACTTTTAATGGAATGCTTACGCAAATACATTTAATTAAATCCTGAGTGTAAATCCGATGCGTCACGGTTGATTGTTAAAAACATTAGCATTAAAGAGATCACTATGAGCGTTTTCTCAATTTCGAATGGCTAGCTGCCCCTGCGAGATCACACTTTATAAGTGCACTTTTATGTAAGTGAAACCCTGCCTTTCCTCCGTGGTTCCTTACAGGCTCCTTTTACTTCTTCATTTTTTGTTGTGCCTATCATTTATTGAATACATTAGGAAATAACTTCGTAAATTTACTTAAAAATGTAATATCGTGCCAATCAATTTCAACTGTTATATTGGACATATTAAATTATCTCATGAAACTTTAGAAGATAAATAAGTTAAGAATAATAAATTTCAAACAATAATCTAAAATAATCTCAGATAAAACCTTTGTACACCATTCTTCACCATCACATTAAATTGTATATGATAGATACCATAAAGGTAACCCATTTCGAAAAATGTAAATTAATGCCCTCATCATCTCAAGAGTAATGTGCAGCCATTGGAGTCACAGTGTCGTTAAAAATCTCATACTTTGGATTTGCAAAGATACCTTACGTAAAATGGCGCGACTGATGACTGAGTGCTTGGTATCAATCCCACGCCACGACATTTCAGGAGTAGCGTTAGACTTACCAGAGCTCTGAGCTACCTAGTTGATAGCACGTTTTGTACTTTAATTTTTTTCTCTGCACACTAAAGTAATTACTCCACGTCTCACCATGCCTATATGGCAGCTGCTAAGGGCCTAACTGCATCGTCTTCACGAAGATTGATTTAGTCACTTTTATGACAGATTGAATACGCAAGAAACCTTCCCATTCTGTTTACATTACTGATGGGAGTAAAGCAGCCAAGTTCATGTCATGTGTCACCTCAAGCAATTTAGACTACCTTAAATTATAGTTGATCCTGAAATTTCTATCTAAATATGTATCTTAATTAGGAAAGGTAGCAAGCTATCAAGTTCCCTTTCGTGTGACAAGAGCCTGACTGATGCGTAGTTCCTCAGCTTCAGGAAACCTTTCTGCTTCCAATAAGTAGCCTATACATTTTAAAAAAAGAATTCCAGCATCATGATGAAAATCACATATTTATTTGGGGGTGTCAAAAGTTATCCTAAGCTCTCCGATTCGGGCATTGAGGAATTTTGTAGTGGAGGTGAGGAAGCTAGTGCCTCTATCGAGAAAACCCCGCAGGTTTTATGCTGAGACGTACTATAATGGTCGGTACTGGTTAGCCATCCTCCACCGCTGCTGTTTGCGAATATACTTCTGTTCGGAAGATCCGCCGTGGCATTAACGGAGGCCGTAGAAAATGGCAACCCCATTAATTGCTGGGGTGGTAGGATGTAGAAAGAGGACTGGGATACAGGGAGGTTGATGTTTGCATCCAATCTAACCACACGTGTCCATAGTTTAGTCAGGTTGTTCTTCCCTGGCTTTCGGGACAGCGAAAAGAAGGCCATATTTTCGTCGTGCCGGGAGCGGATGTGCAGTTTCAACGAGGAGCCCTGAGTAAAAGAGGCTCCACACCCAGAGCAAGAGTAGGGCTTGTCGCCTATAGATGCATATTGGAAGAGCTTTTTAAGTTAAGAATGGTGGCAATTGTTTCATTGATGATAGGATAGGCGACTAATTAACTATGGGTAATTAATCCATTTCACTTCGCAAGGACCATCAAGGGAGTATCGCAACATCTACACTTCAAATGCTCATATTGGATAAAATTATAGCATTGGTCACTTCGAGGCAAAGAAGAGCAGCTACCAGTGTATTTGAGCACCTATGGCTTTCTCGTGATTTTTAGTTTTGGATTTAAGCTGCAGTTTTTATATCATCGTGGACTGCAATGAACGCAAATTTAACTTCATTTATTAACGCAATGCCGGAGATTAAATATAAAGATTATACACACGTGTTGATACTAAGACATGGAATTCTAAGGCCCTTTTCCGCTTTAGCTGTGGGACACTGTAAGATTGCATTGAGAAATTTTGCGAAGTAATGCGGTGAAAAGGTGCGGAACACGACATGATGTAAAGCACTTAAGATCAAAAGTAGATTGTTACGTGAAAATTCTCATTCACTATAGGTGTGGCACAATGCATAACAGTCGTGTAGGGACGACAAAATTTTTCAGGCCTTTGCATTTATTTTCTCCTTAGCAGGAATGAAAAGAAGGTAGTAGTGGAAAGCTCATTGTCTCTCGTGACACCAATAATTTATAAATTTCGCTTAGTTAGCTCAAATGAGTTCAAAATTGTTGTTAAAAATGAATAGCCCCTTTCTTGATGAACTTTTTCAGTACCTTTGGAGGTTGGGTAACCGTACTATCCTACGCATTGTACTTTCGAAATGATGGTGCAATTTGCAGTGTAGCATTTTAAATTGAAATGCAATATATAAATTTGCATTAAATCTTTAGTTATTAGAGAATGGGTGTTGCTGTTTAAAAACCACTTTAATTCAATACTCGTCTATTTGCTGTTTTGTCAACAGAGCTCCAATTTATAAGTTGCAAACACTAAATTTGCAAGGTACCAATGTCTGTGGTCATAATTTTTTTATGGCACAATTTCAAGCACTGCGTCCAGCAACATTTGGACTAACCGATCAGCGAGATTTTTTAATTCACAATAGCTTTAAACATAACTAAGTACGACTATTATAATATGTACAAAAAATCACTTATTTGAGCCTTATGGCATCATCACTTTAAAGGCCGCTTTTGATAACAAATTTGTGACTTTGCGGAATATTGTTTTAAGTCTTGGAATCGTTGTACAGCAAATCTTGTATATTCATTACACTTCATCTTACCCTTGACTGCTACACAACTGAATATATAAAAAATTGCGACTCCTTATTTACATCAGTTTAATAATTTCTGCTACAAGTTTGTTATACCTTAAGGGATAAAACTTGCTTCGATTGTCTAACTTTTAACATGCTGCTAATCCATAAAGGCATTTTGTTGACCTCTATTGAGTACATTTGTGAAACATCAAGGAACTTATTGTATGGAAAAAGTCGTTTGACCTTGCTGAGTATCTTAAACCCATACAGAATGTGCCACTCTCGACGGGTGGCTTTGGTGAACTCCCTATGAAATTACCAAATTAAAACGTTTAGCACTAGAATTAACACCTGACTTTTCGGTAACCTAAACTATAACCTTTTCATAACGCCTTCGCTACAACACTTTGACTGCTTGAAAATTAACGTTGTCTATAGCTAAAATGATTAAAAGGAAAGGGAAAAACCCATTGAAATAAGCAATCATGAGTTAGAATTAAGATAGGTAATTCGAGTTAATCATGCTGTTTTCGCTTGTACCATCCTAAGAAATAACATAGTCGCTTTTGTAATGTGCACGTTCACTCACCAGTGTGTGTTCGAATGTGTACATACATATTACTGTAGTGCCTCGTAGTATAGGCACACAGTTTGCACTTCAGAATGGATTCCTCGCTACCGGCAGCATGGGTTTTCTGAAGATGTCTCAGGAGATTCTTTTCAAATCTGAATGATTTTTTGCAAAGCGGACATGACAGATCCTGGTCAGAACTGAATGGAACGAAAGGATAAATGGAGCTTGAGCACGGAAAGGTGGCTAATTCCATGGATGAAGACGGATAGGATTGAGTCGATGATGCTGCGCCCACTGTCGGTGGAGCCCTAATTGAAAGATCCAGAGCCTTTTCCTCCACATCCTCAACGGTCTCCACGCATGTGGGATTGACGTAGGACCGCAGATTGGTCCAAGTGATTGAAAGCATTTGAAGAATTGTGTTTGAATAATGGGGACTGGAGGGAGGTGCGTATGACTCCAAAAGATGCGAAAGCTGAAATTTTCCAATGCAGGTATGTAATTAGTTTGAGCATTTGTGCATATATGCCAACGATGGAGATCGAAACCAGTTGAAGGCATTGAGGATATACCTATACGCATATTGGGATTGAGTTCACTTAATCAAGTTACGACATAGGCCAATACCACATAGGCTATAAATTTCTAGTTCTACGCGTGCCTCTTTCTAAAAACGTACCAATGCTCTCGCCGTTTATGTAGCCATACAATCAGATAGGATTTCGTTATCCTAGAATGAATTATGAGTCTTAATTGTTGGTCTAGCCAAAAGGGTTGTAATGTATTCCAACAATTAGCTTTGCCTAGAATGCTATCAATGTGGGACGAAATGTTCAAATTGCAGGTCCTCTGTAGATAAAATAGCTTTAAATCAAATGACTTCATGATCTTGTGTTTACAAGTACTCACGCTGCACTCCCCACTTTTGGGAGTTTTTATAAGGAAACAATCCAGCTTAAGGTGAATTATACAAAGCTGGACTAGATTTGATAGTAAAGTGGGTGCGGATCTTGATCAAATTTTAAAAAGAAAGGTTAAAGCTTACCTGAGTATCTGCCCACATCGAGGAAGCGATCCGTGTCAGTATGCTACGAACAAAGTGTAAGATATTATAGTGTGTAATGGGGTCGAGAAGAGTAACAGGCCAGAGCACTCGCTTACCCTCTTCGGGGGGAGATGAATCGGCCAATAAGTTAATGGCAATCTCGATGCGACATGACCTGGAGACCAATCAAAAAGGAGGATGTGGCCCGTGCGCGCATCTATTTCCCCGTCTACGTCCGTAATCCTGATTGGTTAAGCCTAAGAGCCGGACAATCCGAGATATAAGTTAGGCCCAAGAAGTCCCAAAACTCCATGCAATTGTAAGACAACTTTGTCTTTAGGTTTAACTTGTGATTATTTTGCTGGGTTTAAATACAAATTAGTAAAAAGTTTTTTGATTAGATTTGTTCGCTTTTCTCTTGTTTCCGTTAAGTATTTATCGGAGTATAGAGTAGGCGCCATAAATTTTAATGCAGAGCCTGAATAATAGGAAGAATCAGGCAGAAAATTACGTCTTTTATCTTTACAACGTTTGGTGGAATGAGAAGGTTATAAGTCTTCTTACTTAAACTTCATTTCCATCACTTATGGAAAAACTTTGTGCCCATCAATCGGTAACTGATACCCTTATCTATTTAAGAGGATTCCAGCTGGCTTATGATCAGGCACTTGATATTGGTGGTGTATTTTATTTGTTTGAAATTATTTGATAGATCATAGCTTTATATTACTTCATCAATTACAGATTCTATGCACCCGTAAAATAATGGCATATTTGCCCAAATATCTACTGAATACATGTCCTTGACTAACTTATGATGCAAGAAGTAAGCTTAAATCCTTTTTGTTTTTTTTTTTTATTTTTTAGGATCGAATGGGAATGCTAACTTGTTTTTATTTTCTAAGTGTTATTACCAGCGCGGGACTTGTGAAGGCCTATTCTCAACTAAAAATCTTCTAGGAGGAATGATATGAATGATGCATGAAGATACAATGGCACTCATTACAAGTGTTTTACACCTCTATTGAATTTTATATGGCCCCAATCATCTTCGGCTGAAATTTTGGCACACATGGTGTTCGGAATTGAAATACAAGTAGGCTGAAGGATGCTGAAAACCAGCGTTGATCCTAATATCACTTCAAGGTAGTTATTATGTTTTATTGACAAAGGTATAAATAAACAGCAATCGTGTTATAAAAAAGGTCTAATAATTGCTCCACCTCCTAACTTGAGAGTGAGTGACAAAAAAAGCGTAAACTCTCGCACGTACAGACGTAGAAACCCCGGTAAATGAATTTTAGCTATGCAAATTAATTCGATTGTACACGGCATACACACACACACAATTCTAAATTGGCTTTCCCCTGCAATCCGTGAGTATGAGATAGGAGGGTATTGTGCCGCTTATAAACCCATGGTTGTATTGAGAGGAAACTTAAATTCCTCAAGATCTTAAAAATAGTTACCGATCGACCAGATAAAAATTTAGGCATCTTCAAATACTAGAGTTTGAGATTCAGCGCCATCCAGATTTTTACTGGTCGATTCGTTTATTTTTTTATTTTCTTGTAAAATTTTTGATATTTATCTGCGTATAGCATAGAAGTTAACTTAATCGCAAAATCTTTGCCTCCAACTGGTCCAGCTGTTTAAAGAGTGACAATTATTTATTTATCGTCATCAACAAAATTCCATAATTCATCACAAAATCAAACGTGTGTTATTCGTGATTTTGTATCTTTATAATCCAGGGCAGCATGATATTGGTTCTACAAACAAAATTGGGCGACTTAACGCAAACGGCAATATTATTGCACAATTTTTGCCAGTGGGAAGCATTTTTTGAATCTGTTTCCTTCCAGTAAGAGTGATAAAAGGATCAGGCGCCTTAATAATTGTCAAGTGAATTCCATGAAATTCCGAAATGCACTGCACTGAAAAATAAGTTAGATACAGTAGTTTGGACCCTGTGACCTTAAAAAACCACGCTGAATAGGAAGAGAATTTTTAGGTTTAGTTTGTCATAATAAGGGGCAAAATGAGCACAAATGCCCTTAGTTTTGTGAGCAAAGCTGGACTAGAAGGTAGATAATAGGTGCTTCAGAGGAAATATCGCATTTTCGAGTCCAAAGTACTGAATAGTTATGGAAATTAACCACATACAAACAGCAACGCCTATTTGGAGATAATCCAGTCTTCAAAGCGAATTCCGTTTCTTGTGGATACTGGGAATTGGACAACAATTATAGAGGACTGAATGTTTAAGCCTGCCACTTCCCAATCGATGGCTACCGGTCTCGGAACTCAAACGTACCAAATAGCTGTGGCACCAGCAAGGATACGGGCCGTGACGGCTCAGTGCAATACGAGTTAACTGAAGATTTTTCTACTTTATGGGCTATCCTTCTTTCACCTTTTGCTAGGAGACGTGGATGTAGTCAATATGTGCTTAGTTTAGATCCGAAACGGGGGGAGGAGGAGAGAATTCCTTTTGGCATCAAAGAGTGCTAGTATACGACAGTTCTCATTTACACGTTACCATAATCAGGCCAACATTTTTGCTTTTAAAGTCTTGATGCAAGCAATTTCAAAATTAATGATGGTATCTTTGACTGGTGTCCCTAAGTGGTTAATCTTCGAGTGTTTGCCACTTTCTAACTTATTTGTGGAGCATATGACTAAAAATGTTATTCAGCCTATTGTCTCGATAATCAATTCACATACTTTACCTATGAAACACGATGTCACGAGCATTAAATGTTATGGTAATGCAACTTTCCTAATCTCTTATTGTGCTACTACCAGTTACTCGGTGTTTGTTCAGTGCTTTAAAAGACTTGATTTTGCAAACCTTTTACAGTATCCTGATAGCATATTTTATAGGGTGCTATTTGCATTATTATGATCGAAATTAAATGGGGATAACATGATCAGTTTAAAACCAAAATAAGATTTACTGATTTAAAATGAAAATATGGCGTTTTCAGTTGTAATGAAGGATAAGGTCTATTGTACTTTTTTAGGATGTTTAGGGTTTTGAGGCATTGATAATCATTAAAGGCAGGTTAAGTGTTTTCGATGGTGCCAATTAAACTAATTTAAACTTACGATATATGAAGAAACAAAAACGTTCCCTCTTGTCTCCACTAACTGCTCTGTGAGATCGGCTTTTCCAAAAAGAGGATGGCATGAGAGCAGAAAAGGGGTGTCCATTCTACCTACCCTCTTCATAGCACATCCTCTCGTTGTGGCTACATGCAAGCGGCAATGACACAACTAAGTATGTGGTGGCAATTAAAAATATCCACTTATGTGCGTGACATGTGGTGCGCCTAATGCATATCCATCCACCCATCGCGCTGCAGCCACCACCACACCCGCGAGATCTTCCCCAGCTGCGCTAGGGGTGTTGCCGCTGCTGTTGGTGCTACTACGGTCGCATCTACCATTGCTACGTATGGGGTGGTGTCTGGAGGATTCAGAGGATGAGGGGAGGAAGGAGGTGGGGGCCGAGGCGGTGCCTAGTAAAGGGTGGAGGAGGAGCGAGGAAATGTGTCCACTTGAACACGCAAGAAGACACGCTATAGAGTAAGTATGGGCCGTAAGTAATTTAAGAAGACAGTTGCGTGCATTTAAGACTTGTTGCGGATTCATTTTGACCACGCTCTGCACCCGTATCATGCTTTTGTTGGCAGCATTATGCTATGCTAGGCAGAAGTCCTGTGAGAATATCTAATGATGCGTTTGTTGTGCGAATATAGAAAGATAGTGCGTATAAAGCCTCTAAAATTTGTTAATTCCCATCAAGACTAATAAAATAGAATTTCAAATTTTGCACATTTGATTGTTATTTTACGCCACCCTTTTACAATTGGTATTTATTTGAAAATTTGTGCTCGTGCCGTTTAGAGCATATGCTACGAACCTTTTACACCATCTAGAAAATGCGGACACCTTTGATAGTTATCGAGGATATGATGTACGAGCTGTTATAAGGTGTCGACGATAAATATCTAGGAAGAAACCACAGCTAAAGGTATGCGCTTACTCTTACAGAGTGCGCTTTGATTCATTGACTTAGAGACGCGTCAAGAGCATAAGATGTCAAATGCATCAAATTAAAATTATTGGGATTGTCTGTAAAATTATTTGAGTTTGATATATTCAAATCTTTTACCAATTCTAGGGGAACTTGGTTCAAATCATCGAAAAAATAACCGCTTCTTACTTCCTCGTCTCCGAAAATTCCCAAATTCTTTTAAGTGAATAAATCTCCTTAAACGAATTGAACTAAACCAAAATAGTGTTATGCACATGGAATGGTCGTGCCTGGTCCAAGATTTTGAGATACTATTAAAGGAAAGAAATTAAGAGATGCTTTGGAAATGGTAACGTTAAAAATACTTCTAAATTAGCTTTATTTTGAAAGTCGGTTTGTTTTAAGCAAAGAACATAGAAAGCGATAAAAAATGCATAGCGCAAGAAGTGGTCTTGTTAATAATTTTCCTCTTATGTGATTCCAGCTCAACGAGTTACTGCGAGGAGCAAACTGCTAAAAATGATTGCTATTTTGATAAATGGCTAAATTGTGGTTTAATGATCACATGACTGGTCATAAATTATAAACTGTTAGCAATGTTTACGTTTGATAGGTCCTTTCTTCACCCTTACGGTAGGGGAATTTGGTACAAACTGAATTTCGGCTCTGTGGTATGTTAGCTAGCAAGTGATTGCAGTCAAAATTTCCAAATTACGATCTTTGCATACCAATCCACTCTTCTGAAATTAGTGGCTCTCCTTACAGGTGCCAATGAGTCTAGATGTAGATACAGGTAAATTTTTATCACAGAACCTTAAAATTACCGATTTCATGGGAGACAGTGTCTGGAAAGAAGCTATTAGGAAGGTTGAAACCGTTGGAATCTTTCCATACTGGCATTTATCGAATAAAGTTAAACGTTGAAGGTAACAAATACAAGCCACACAATACTCTAATTTTACGGGTTGTCACTAAACACATCGTACATTGCTCATCGCACACCAACGCACCGGAGGTTTAACAAGTTCTCGCGGCATTGGCTTCTTGTTGAGTCTGCAAATGATGCTCACACTTGTGAAAAATTTTCCTACCCGGTCTGCACACGGCTGATTCTTGCCTCAATAAAGGAGAATAAATGACGGAGAGCAGGATGCTTTAAATTGATTTGTCTGCTGCCTAACTTCTAAATAGAATCAATTTGCTGATCATTCGCATAACTAGGAAGCGGTAGTAAAAATGATTGTTTCAAAATAGTGCCCTCGTCAGACTAGCGGAATTTGCGGTAAATAAGCTATTTTCGGTTATTAAAGCAAAAAACCCGATTAGCAAAATTACCCTAAACTCAAACAAACACTGACAATTATTGCAGAATAACTTCGCTATCTTGATAATTTCAATAGTAAAATAATGGTATATTCCTGGTCGCATAGTCAAATGCCATTGCACCATGTGGTAGGGTTCGGTTTTCACGCCAAGTTGCTTGATCAACTTTTTTGGCACGAGGCAGAACTGATTTTAAATCAAGGGAGAAAAAATATAAAGAAAACAAGGGAAGAGGTTAAAATCACATTTTAGGAGTCTGAATTTATAGCAGTTGGGCAATATCACGGGTGGATTAGTTCCAAAGGCTGGTCACTATTATATCCAGCAAAATCCTTCCCAGTATATAAGCACATAAGCGAAAGCTTTGCAGAGGGGATTATGGGCTCACATTCTTAGTAATGAGGGGATAAGGGCGTGTGAAACGATGAGAATTCTGCTCGCAGAAAATGTGATTTCACTGGATGCTTATGAAAACTGCACTCATCGCATGCATGAAATCAGCACACTTTTAAATGCTCCCTAACGTGCATCGCGCAGTGGTTTGAATGGCCAAAATGTAGATCAAATTGGGATAGGTGTTTAAAGCACAAAAAAACTAAACCGTAAATTTCGCTTATGCACATGGACCCTTCAGAAGAATGTAGTTTGCATTCATTTTGTGTTAAAAACTCGGAGCCCGAAGGAAATAAAGTAAGCCTTTGCTGTATTGGAAAATAATACAGAACTGTGATAAATTAAAACCCAAAGGTGTCAAGTCTACTTTGATGGATAATTTGAGGTAAGTGAGAATCAATCCCAAAACTAATGATATCAGCGACGGCTAGGTACAGCAGTAATCTCTGTCAAATCAGGAGACAGAATGGCCAAAGGCACCTATAACAGGTAGTCTAATGTTAGACCGTCAGTTTTCTATGCGTATTTTTACATGACACATTTTACATTTACGTGACACGTACAAGAAACAATTTTTTTTTTAAATCTGAGGGTTAATAGAAAAAGTTGTTCTACTTCTTCTACATATAATTACGTCTACTTTTGTATCAAAAGTAACACGTTAAGTTGTCTTAGAAAAATCGGGAGAGAAGTTGAATAGCTTTTTAAACACTGATCTGTAGGGGGAAAATGGGTGCAATGAATGAGGGAGGATAAAATTCTAACTAAAAGTAGACTGTTTCTAAGAAGGTCAACGCAATAATGCATTCCCTATGGTTCAATTTTAGTCCTCCATTAATGCTACTTAAATTAACTGATTTAAATATTCCTTGCAAACAAAAAAATTTACATTTTTTCAGGATAGTCGCAAATCTGTGCAGAGTGTGTCTTAGATTCCGGTTTTTAGGGCTTTTGCCCTGAAGATGTTAGTAAAACACGTATGGTGGATGTGGTTTTAGTAATAATATTTGGTATTTTGAAATCAGAATATTCAAACCAAACCGCAGATAGCGTTGGTAATTATTTTAGAAACGAAAATTAAAATGACCCTGCAACAAATAATGCTTTACTGCTTACATCTCTTAGCGCATGAATGTACTCACTATCTGTTACAGGGATGGTAGTGTTAAGTAAAAAGTATGGGAATAACAATCCGTCGCAAATGACGTGAATGACATTCTTACGTTCCCCATAACTACCTTTGCTTGGATTTAAATTATAGACGCTAATCAATAATCTTGGCATGGGGCAAACGAGAAATATGCCTTTACTGTAATCAGCATCGACCTGATCAGTGTCCATCTTCATTTTATGATGTTCATCATTCAAATTCTGTACTCCAAAAGGAAAAGTCACCACTGCTGATAGGGAATAAACCTGTAAATAAGGGTAATAAATACTTATTTTAATCGTATTACGGTTTAAGAAATCAAATAATGTCGTTTTTTGCAAGATTTCATCGGATAGGAGTTGGGGCTAATAATACTAGGCACATTTGAAATCCTAGAAAATATTTATGCTCTTCTCCAAAGCTAGTCCCGAACTCCAAATAAGTGGTCCATTTACGAGAATGTTAAGCCATTCTCAATATATCTCCCTTTAACTAATACATCTACGTCCAGTTTTTTAGCATCTTTGTTATTGTCTTGTCTTCTACTTTGGAAGGTATTCATTTGGTTAGCTGCATTTCAAGTTGTGAGGATTCGAAATTACACTTGACTGCCCACTAGCATTTGGACTAAGGAAATGGTTTCACTGCTTTCAAAATGACCATAGAGCCCTTCGCTGCATTTTTTCGGCAAATTTACAGTTAAGTTAATATTACGCTTCAGGATGGCTGCTGTCTGTGTTAGTCTAGCCTGCCTTTTTACCCTTCATGCATTAACACGGTGTCGTGAGTTTTCCTTAGCATAAATGGAAATTATGAGGTGTTAAAAATGTTCCCAAGTGCATTTCCGGTTATACATAATATTATTCCATAGTAATTATGGAAGCAAAGATATTATCGTACTAGTTTTATACCCTTTCTAACCGACAAATGTTTTGAAGTTAATGTACCATGCCGTAAGCGTCATTTCCGATTTCCGTCTCAGACTAGTAGTAGTTTACTTGCCCCCTGAGACATATGCCCATTCTATAACGGTTTTGATTCTTTGTTCTACTAAATTCTGACCCAGAGGTATACAATGAGGGGCATTAAATAATCCAAAGAATAGATCTACTTGAGAGCACTATGTAAGTTCGCACATTTATCATTGAACTGCTTTTGATGGTAATTTGGAGTGATTGGCTTATAATCTTCACCTACATTTCGGCAGTGATAGACAAAATGTTATCAAAATAGCCACCAACTGATAAATTCCGATTTCGCACCATGTTTAACTAACCCTCAACAACGTAGACTGCATAATTCATTCAGTTAAAAGTCTGCAAACTTACCTTGAACGCTGACTTAACCACGACATCGCTACTAAAATGTTAAGTAACCTGTGAATAAACTCCGCTCATTTCGTTAGAGATGTCTTGATAGTATTTACTAAGTAGTTTAACGGATGTTTGTGTTTAAATTATTCTGGTTTATTAATTTACAGCACTACGGAGTGTGTGCTTCAGTGGAACTTTGCCCAATTTTGCTGTGACATTAAATAACAAAAGACTGCTTGTTTACTTTGAGGTACCTAATCTGCAACATAAAATGAATTTCCAGATTCTTCCCTTATTTCTTATTTGATTTGAACACCAAGATTGCAATAAAATGTAAAAATTTGATATTTTATATCCGATTGATCTTCCAACTCGGAATATTTGCAAGATGAAGCAAAAGACAAAGTACGTGACGGTGTGGACAAAAAACTTTATTAGCATTATTCCCTAATAGCGCAAAAAGGGGATTTTTTTATAAACCTGCTGCACCATGTCACCAGAAGTTGGCACGACGCTTCCAGAAAGCCTGGTTGCCATACCGCTTCCAGAAGCTGGATCGCTTCCAAAAGGGACTCATATGGATCGGTTTCCAGAAGTAGGCCGCGGCGCCAGCGTCACCCAGAGTCTCGCTTTCATCAAAGTTTTCGCTCAGAGTTTCTGATGGATAGTTCTCCATCAAAAGCTTCTCATTTAGTCGCGCTTTGCCCGTGGGGTAGGCAGCGTAAGACACCACTACACAGACAGTCATAAAAGCCAGTAGGACTGGCAGTCGACGCTCTGCGAGTTGGATGCACGGAATGCGAACCATAACCAACTCCTTTTTTAGTGTGCTTACTTCCTGAGGCTCTCACAAAGGCCAAATTTATGAACAGTGCAGCACCAATCAGATGCGAGCACATATGATCCACCAATCGCAGCTAAATAAAGGTTTCTGAGAGCAATAAGATGAATTCCACTTAACTCGCTTTTATTTCCTTAATAAGAGTGAAACTTTCGTTACACACATATGGAGCGTGAGGTCTTGACAACCATATTCTTCTTATTTCAACCCAGACTTAGTTACAGTTTCTCGAATAGCTTGAAGTATACTGTAGTATTTGTGGTGTTTAAATGTTCCTTTTAGAAAGGAGGCGGCAGCCAACCGCATGACTGAAGAGCGGTTGGCATCTCCCAAACCGGAGAAAAGTCCTGTGTCCAAATCTTTTTAAACTTGTATCCACTCCCATTTACTCTAAGCAATAACCATGTCATAATTCAACCAGTCGCCGTTTTCAAAAAACATGAAGGCTAGGGGAGAGGAGATAAACGAGCCTCATCCTACAATACTATGCTTCGAGCTAATAACAAGAAGTTCTTTGCTTAAAGCATAAACTAACATATTTAATTGTTGTTGATTAGCATCCAAAATGACGTTTACACTCAGCATTTTTCCCATTACCCAAAAAAGACCCGATTTGAAAACGATTTTATATTGGAAACGCTTTGTGCTTTTGCACATATATTAAAGGTTCAGAATTCGAGTGATTCCATACAAAAGTTCCATTTCTGAACAATTTGACTGGCATTCATTTAATAATCAACTTTTTGCACAATTTTGGTTAAATTCACAAGAAATCTTAATATTTAATTTACTCCGTGCCATTTTAGTTGAACTTGTGCTTTGCACCGCCGTCTAAAGAAGCAGGCTCAAAGTAAAGATAATCTAGAATACTTCTGCTGTTTTCTCTAGGTGTCATTATGTATTTCTAATCTGATTTTATGAAATTTGCACAATCGAAATGCCTTAATAGGTGCCGGTTTTGTCAGCGCTGGTTTTGCAGCATTTCTTTTTTATCAAAAAAGGAAGGCAATGGGGTGCCAAACAGCACAGGAGTCGCCAAAGTTACGCCTTTTTAATTCAGATATTTGTCGCTTATTATCGAGGCACGTGGTTGATTTTAAATTAAGCTGTTGCTCAATGTTTAATCAAGCACTTTACGACGGTGCTACAATGCATAAAAGCGAGCTTAAAATTCCCTTTTTCAGCTAACAATACAATGAGAATAGCATCCTGTAGTAGCAAAACACTGCTAACTAATGGGTGGTCATCAAAGGAGATTGATACTTGCTTCAGAACACTTAAACCACCTATTGCAGGCTCTTTAGTTTTGCTGCAATTTTTTCATTATAAACAGGCAACAAATTGGAGATAGTAAAGCCCTAAATAGCTTGAAATGCAGAAATAAGAACACATTAGTTAGATCGTTTCATATACTTGCTCGACACCAACTCATAAGTTGGCATCCTCCTAACACCAAAAGTGATGGTGTTTCATGTAAACAAGATTACTGTTTGCGACTCTAGAATATCCACCTGTTTCTCGAAAAACTTGTGAATTTAAACATGTGTTGAATTTTACTGCTGTCCCCAAAACGTCTTTATGTCAATGCTATTTAGCGAGGACAAGCAGAAATCACTGAAGAAAGAGGCAGGAGGCTTTTACCAGTCAGTCTGGTGTCTGCAATGTCGATTCATACTTTAAAATACACTAAGGAGCAGCAATTACTCATGAGTATTGGAAAGGGGTGAGGTTATGGCGACCGCACTAACGGCTTTGCAGATTTCGCTCATTAAATGGATTCGCTTCAGAAAGTTAAGGCGGGAAGTTACCAAACAGACCTTGGTAAAAAGTCTAGGCAGGTCCAATTGCATAGTTAAACTTGCACCTGTGACTTCTGATAGGCATTATGCCAAATGGGCCTATAATAGACCTGTTAACTTGGGTAGTTCTAAAAAATATTCAAATATACATGCATTATGAAGACATTGCATGATTGTTTTTTAATTTATTCCAATGCGTCCATTAGTAGCTCAATTATCGGGCAGAGCGATGCTCATCTCACCGGTACTTTATTTGAAAGGTGGCAATCTCTTTGGGATTTAAATGATGCATGATAAGAATTCAATCAGAAAAAAATAGTATCCTTTATACGGTGTCTAAACTGATTTTATAAAAAAATTGGGGCCTGCTTATTATGCAATTGTGTATCAAGTCGAACAATGTTTGTTTATTAATTACTATAAAGCTTAGGCATAACGATTCAGGGTGTTTGTGTTTCCCAAGTAAAACGGTTTGCTCTCAGTTCAAAAGATCAAATCTCTAACCACAATTAGCACAAGCAGATTCTCGTGTTCAGTGTTGAGTGGAGGGAGGAACGATGATAAGAAATTTCCTTCCGATTTAAATTCTACTATTTTGTTTAAATGACATTGAAAAGGCTGGTACTAAAGTAATTTTTCGTGTAATTTTCGTTGATTTATTTCTCTATCAATAACCTGGTCGCAAAAATCTTAATGCGTTGCTACCTTGCATCAATCGTCAGTGTAGAATTGCACCTCTTTATATTTTTTCCCCTATAATTAGGGGTTCCTCAATGTAGTTTAGGGGAGAGCTTGGTGGAGAGCACATGATTACCGGTAGGGTCTTTTAATTTAAACACTTTTTCTGTCTTGACTATCATGTTATAGCATAGCAGTTTCGGCAGATTATTGTTACTGTGATGATTCCTTAACATCGGTATTTTCTGCGGCGCACAAATCTTTTGCTCATTCGGAAAATCGTATTAAAAACAGACATTTGCCGAAAAAACTGCTTAAGTATGGTCTCCCTTAGTGTTTTATACTTATTAGGACTCACAACAAAAACACTAAATTTTCCTTTGTGAACACCCTACCAAAACACCGATTAAACTGATCTGAATGTTCAAAGGTGATTTGAAAAGGAAAGGGAAATCTCAATCTTCCAGAATGGCGTACTTTGCGTCTGTACTGATATTGAATATGAAATACTATCTCATTCAATGTAGCTGTTCGTGATTGGGACTAATGTAAGCTGTAAAGAGCATATTTGCTGTTTTAAATGTGCACTTATTTCGCCGGCACATTCACTTTGAGCTGGCGGCAAAATGATGTTGCACTCGTATTGCTTTATGGGTCACCTCCATGCCTTTTGACCAAATGCAAATTCAAAAACCCCGCTATAAAAAGGTAAGATTAGTTAAATTACGTGAGGACAAATGTTTCACCATTCTATGTCAGCTCAGAAACGGTTAAAACCGACATGAAAACTATTGTTACTTAATAATATCCAGTAAAATGCTTTGCGAACGGAGCCGTGAGCGTAGAAGAAAATTACAAATTCCACAGAAATAAAAATAATTATATCCCAAATGCTAATGAGGTAGATCATTTTACAACAATTGAGGATTTTCCTGCTTTTCCAGGCTGAAGTGAGAATCCGTTTGATGGGCTACGTAACCATTGGCCGGAATTTGAAATAGGATAACTGAAACGCTACGTGGCGTAAGCCTCTGCCAGTAAGGGTGGAAGCGAATTATCACACAGTTGCTTGAGCTGTCAAATCCTTGAAGGATATCTAGACCTTGCTACTGAAACGTTAGGACAGAGCAGCGTGTGGTGAGCTTCAGACACCCTCGAAGCATCATTATTCCCAAGTCACGAAGTCATCGTACTTATAGGGTTTTTTAAAAACGCAACACAATATATGCAACTGTTTGAGACGGCACTATTTTTACGTCTATTTTTGGCCATTCTATTCGCATTAAGACTAAGTCATTAGTCCAACTATTATGCAGTAACAGTTATTTTAACGGGATATTAAGTGGAGGACATTTTCTCAAGATTTTCGGCACAGGCGAAACTCCCCCCAAACTTAAGCCAGTGAAAATTGTGCAATTCTAGGCGGAAAGATACGGGGCGTAATACGATGTTTTGAATTACAGAGCGCAATAATTTGATCTAGTCCGCTAAGGCAGTGTAACCAACCGACTTAGGTTCTTCGCTAGACATGGTCCAGTCAGCGAAATTTTCCGAAAAGCCCATCATGAAAAGGTTGAAAATTATTGCTTGATAGGTAATTTATCAATCCCAGTAGGGGTATGGGATCTTGATGACTCCTAGGTATCCCTATGCACATGCGCATTGCCTGCAACCGATCCAGTTCATATTTCTTCAATGGTCATAAACCTAGAATGAAAGTGCTCCAACTTATGGTGGCATTTCAGTTTCAACCGATAAGGTGGGATGCCAGGAAGACATGGAAATCTTTTTATGATGATCCTTACATGTTGAGCTCTGCCAGTGCTTTAATAATTTTTTTAAAGACGATTATATGGATCCACGTGCTCGATGAATTGTTATGGAATTATTAGTAAAAAGCGTAAGATGCTCAAACTTGGAATCGAGTGGTATGTGATATTGCCCAACAATTGGTTTAGGTGTCAAATACTAAGAATCAATTCGCGGCACTTCCGGTGAGGTTTGTGAAAAGGAGGTATCTTTAATTAACTTGTTTAATTATTATAGGGGAACAGCGCGGAGCAATACACTAACTGCATACAAGTTCTGTGCGATTTCATGACGCGAAATTCCATCCAAACATAAATCGGTCTGAGCGAAGGCGAGAGACAACGCAAGTCAAAAGTCCAAGCTTGGGACATAAATAGCACCCCACTGCTGCGCCAGGGCAGCGGATGCAAGCACCTCTGTTTGGAGGATGGAGAGCAGGTACCTATAACACAATTGCAGTTTCACACTTTTGGGAACTCTGCCACTTTTGTAGTCAAGTCTGAGTCGCACAGTAAAAAAATAAATCTAGACTAGGTAAAGGTGATAACTGAGTTAGGACATTTTAGTTGGCTTAAAGCACCCTGAGCTTCCAATTAAAACAGGACCTCCTCGGACAATTAAGTCAGTTTCACTCAGAGTATGAACAACGCCATCAACCATCCCAAAGTTGCCTTAATCATGCATCAAGCATCACCAGCCCTACATCATCTATTCAGATTATACCTTAATACCATTGGAAGCCGTAGGGGCTTGGATACCCAACACACTTTTAGCCATCAACAGTTTATTTCATTGCCATTCCACAAATGCAAAAATGAGCAATCCCACAAGTGAGCACCATGGAGGATGAGATCACAACAAAAAGTCCTACTCCATTTGCATATCATTAATGTGTTTGTGTACATATGAAAAAGCGTTGTCACAGACAAGGCCCTTGGCTTAGTCAGTTCAAATTTGAGTGTAGCACGTTAGCGGAGCTCAAAACCCGCGCAGTTTATTAGCTTCAAGGAAAAACATTCAAGGAAAAAGACGAACAGGAAAATCAGGATATCAAGGTCGGTTGGGGAGGGTAAAATACTCCATATAAATAAACTATTACAGTAGCAGAATACAAAAAGAGTGCCAAGAAAGCAGAGGGGACTTCAGCATCCACCCAACCGGTTTGCAGTGAGGTGAAATACAGGAAACGGGAGAACAAGTGATTATTAGCGAAAAAAGACACGAAATGACTAAAAATGGTGACGGTGATTTTGCATGAATAGATGTGCGCTGGAGTGTATAGAGTTTGAGACGTTCGCATATAGAGGCGAGTAAATTACGGGATAAGCAGGTGTGCAGATTGTCATCTCTTAAAGACGATGGAGAGCAGAAGGTGTAGGAGGCAGCGCTGGCGACGATAATAGAGTCCACGGCCCTTCGCATCGCTCCGATAGATGAAGGAACTGGACGTGGTGACTGGTGGTTGAGGAGAGGAAGGAGATATCCGCGCCTAGCAGATGCTGCATTTTTTCTTCGTCCGTGTCTTTTTGGGGACCGGTGTTCGGTTGTTTATTTGACGCACCAAATCAAAGAACACCTAAAATCCACCATAGATGGATCAACCAGCGTGATTTTAACGAGCGCTACATTAAAAACACCAACGATCCGCCTAAGGCAGGTTTTGCAACTACCGGGCCTATTCGCCAAGCCAGTTTTGAGCTACAACAGCGAACTTCTAAAAAGAGAACGAGATTTTAAATACGTACTTCTACTTCCGCAAAAATGCCCAGAAGTTTTTGCTTTTGAAACGGTGTTTATTAATTACTAGCATAAACCATCACGGAATTATCATCGCTACGCGTAATGGCGTCGTTTAGTCTAATGGTACGAAGTACCAACTCATAACCTTACTTAATTTTAGGGCAAAAAGCAGAGGCGATCATGTAAAAACAACCACTTGTTTTTATCTTGGTCTTTATAGTGGCCAAATAACACCACTTGTATTTAAGATATTAAGCTTTAAAGTTTTAATTCTTCGTTGACCGGTTTATAAGTCTTTTGTTTTTACAGAAAAACGGTTTAAAAGGGTACACATCCCAAATCCAGTATATTTATCGAAATCCGGTTAGAAGAATTTGGGAATACCAATAAGACATTTCGTTAGGGAATAAACAGTTTAGCAATAAGGAATGAATGACGTTTTTTTCGTCTCATGACCCCCGAAGAGAAAAGTATTGATATGGAATTTCGCCCAATATGTGGATAAAAGCAATGCTTCATTCCACTTCAGGAATACGAATGCCCATACCAGAGAATTTTCTACGCTGAGAAGAAATAGAAAGCCTCGAATAAATTTTTGAAATCAAATCGAGGTTCCATAACGTTTGAATGCCTACACCAAGGAAATAGAAAATAGCTCTAGCTAATTTTTTGGATAAAATCACTTCCAACTAGAACAAGGGCCTTAAACAGTTGTGCCAGAAAATGTGGTGGTATTTGAAAGCAATGAACGATTGTACTAACTGTTCAAAAGATAGATAAATACGTAACACAAATGTAAAAAACAACCATTGACCTTACTTGGCCTTTCCATCGTAAACAAGCCAGTGTAACATAATCAACGCCTAAAGACTTGCACTCCCAGCATTGTGTAAACTTCCTGGCGGAAATTGTTTATGCACACCCCGCAATGCAGCAAGTCTGAATGCTCCATTGGGGAAGGCAAGGTTCGAAAGCGCCCCCAAATCCTTTTTTTCAAAGAAACATAGGCGTGCAGATTGAATGGAAAGGTGAAAAGGGAGTAGTGAAGGTCAAAGAGAAGCGAGCGTTTAATGTATGCACGCGTAGACACTGAAAGTAAGAGCCTCGAGAGGAGATCTTAGTATCACATGCACATACGCACGTGCACATATACAGCCTCGCCAGCTAGCACCTTGTGTGGTGTGATGCAATCACGAGCACAAGAGAGGATGTCAAAGGACGTAGAGGACAAGAGAGAGAGGTGGGGCTGCGGTACTCCATGGCGGATGCAGCAAAAACCTCCCAGCGATACTAGGTGCGAGCGCGCGCGCGCGCATGCACACACTCGCCAAAGATGACTCATAGCGAGCCAGCGTAAGCACGCATATGCACATGCGCACCCACATACAGGTCGTCGTGTGGTCGCTAGAATGCTAACACGAATGCGTGCGCAAGTATTTTGCTTACACGGGCTTTCATGGCACTAAGCTGTACGCATGTGTACACATTTAGTCAATGTACAAGCACAAACTCCATTCACTCGACACAAGGAAGTGGGAGAGGGCGCGCACTCGGTGAAAGAGTTGGGGTGTTTCAATCCAATCGCACTTATTTAGACTATTCAGAAACAGACAAATGACTCTAACAAGACGACCATTTCCAAAATCAGCTACATTACATGAAAAAAGGCCTAATATGTTTACTTAGCCTCAAACAAGCCATTAAATTTTCGCCTCACCTCAAGTTGATGCAAATAGTTATGCCGAGGCCGCTAAAGGGCAAACGTCTGGGTAAAAGAGAGCTTAAGACCTCATATGCGACACTTAAAAGTGTTTTTAATATAAAAGCGATTACTTGGAGTGAATATTGGAATGCAGAAACTTTGAAGGACCGATTCAAATATAGGCACCTGTTCTAACGCTAGAAACGTGCTTTAGATAAAAGTAAACAGGCTTATGAAGGAAATTCCACGTTTCTGAACTTAGATAAGGTATGATTCGGGTGATACCCGAGCTACCCACACAACATACGTCTGGAAAATGAAATGAGACGGAGGGGGGGCTAGAAAAGATTACCTCATTGACGTTGATTTTGGCTTTCGCACTGGTCTCCATAAAAACACAATTCCAATTTCTGGCCAGAGTTTGGCCTTGCTCCCTGCCCACGACACGCTCGTTGTCAAGATCACACTTGTTTCCCACCAGCACTAGAGGTACCTCGTGCGTGTCCTTCACGCGCAGAATCTGCTCGTAGAGATCTGCCAAGTCATTGAAGGTGGACTGGGAGGTAATAGAGTAGCACAGCACAAACCCCTGACCGTTTTTCATATAGAGGTCGCGCATAGCCGTGAATTGCTCCTACAAATGATGTAAGTTTTATGGTCCAACACAAACTACAGCCCCCTCATGACCTGGCTTGAGGTGTCAAGAGGGCGTCCAACCGACAAATACTAAAACTAACCATTAAGAACAAGTCTACTCAAGATTCAATCGCACCCAACAAGCACTACGCCTGTGTTTACACCCCGCCAGTGGCTTCAATGAAAGCTTTCCCCAGTGAGAAAAATGTCTATGTAAAAGAGTGGTACCAAGGTTTATCTGATTTCGAACAATGAGACGTAGAGAAAATAAAACCTCTGGCGTCACCGAAGGGGCAATCAGTTAAGCTGAATTATACGAAGTTAACCTAATTAGTAAAAAATGCTTCGGCGCAACAGTCGGTACCCTTCAATATTTGAGAAGAATTGGGAGAAAAGGACGCGATCACATACTGTGCCTGCAGTATCGAGAATTTCGAGCATGCACTGCTGGCCATCCACGTCGATTTGCTTCCTGTAACTATCCTCGATAGTAGGATCGTACTTTTCGACGAAAATGCTTTGTACAAACTGCACCGTCAGTGCGCTTTTGCCAACACCTCCGCTGCCGAGAACCACCAACTTGTATTCTCGCATGACCGTGATTCCACGTGAGACCAACAATTGCTCACACACAGAGGCTTTTGAAAAAAAAGGTGAATTACGAATTACTACGATCGGCACCACCCACCGAGGTGGTAGAATAAAGTTTCAGTTAAGGGCAAAGAACTAGAACCAAGCAGTCTAAGTAACAGGGGTTTACTCAAAAGAGACTATATCACTACATCATGTGGCTTTCAACATTATAAGGGAACATGGTGCAAAAAATGGACTAAGGTTAGTAATTTGACAAATATTCACTTTTAAGAGCTTGGTAAAATGAAGTTCTGATTTACCACCATGTGTAAGAAGTTGAATCTAGGAGAATACACAAATGTCAAAATCAAAGGATACCACTCCCACAAAGAATAATAAATAAAACATTTAATGGGCCCATATAATCAAACATTGGTACAACGGGCGGGGAACCACATACGACATGGACGCTCGTACAAGAAACTGTATAGACGTAAGGAAATTTGGGATATGAAAAGAAAATTGCTCAAAGATACAAATCTGATTAACTATGAAGAAGTGAATTCAAAACTTAAGTAGGGAGCAGAAGCCGATTAAACGTCAGATGGTCATATACTAAGACAACTCAAAAAAATGTGCCCAAGAGCCAAGAAACCAACTAATTATAAAGGATTGGATGCAAAATGACTCCTGATATTGCGAAATTCCACGGGCATAAGGAATAATTTGTAAGAAAGCACACTTTAATCGAATTAGACCAGCTAGGCACTAATTCGTAAAAGTGTGTTTTAAAAGAAAACGTCCATAAAGTAAGATAAGCGCCTCTCATGAAAGTACCACGATTTTTGCAAGAAAGTTGTACAATGCAGTTCCAAAGCACCGAGGAAAAAGCACCACAACGATGCTAGACTCACACTAACCGCGCTATGAAGCGGGGCAATCAAAAAACGCAGCTAAACCAATTGCATTATCACAAGTCATACTAATTTTATCGCCATAAACAGAGCCTTTAATTTATCCAAGACAGTAAAACTTCCTTAAAATGCACAAAGCAAATGCGCAGAAGGTGAGAAAATAGGCATCAGAAAAAATATAAAAAAACAGAATTCTTTTAAAATTCTGGAAATGGGTTTTAACTTATTGCTGCGTGGGGCATAAAAATTTAGCTGTTAAGTTTTCAAATTTTCTTGGCGACACGAGAAGTGTATTTGTTTTCTAAATTTGTACACATAAAGTAATACCTTGCTTGATTAGCTCTTGCCTCTAATATGACAGAACTTTCGCACTTTCGTCGAACAGCATAGACTCCGGGCTATGCCATTAGCATCCCAGCTCCTTTGTTCGTCAGCAGTATATTTTCTGTCCAGTAATGTCGCTCCTTTGGACTTTAGTCAGGACCCGTATATGCTTAAAAGTTAAAAATTTATTCAAATTTTTTGCATTAATATTTTTTAAACTTTATCCAGTGTTGTTGTATGTTACGAAACGCTTTCATTATAATTCTCAATTTTTGCAGCGCCCTGATACTTTCCTGTAAACGAACAAAGACCCCAATTGTAATACGATAGTGGTTTATCCCTTGGTTCTGGTGAGGCGCCACTTTTGTACTTTGAATTAGTCTCCTTGTACCTCGCTGGGTGGGCTGGCCTTTTGGGCCATGCCAACAGCCCAGACACCTTCTCTGCGCTGAATATGTATTCTGCCCGAGTATTTTGTCTTCTTTCGTCTTCAGGGGGTCCTGGGACGCTACACAATACCTGGGCAGCATGTGCACATATTCAACATACGGAAGTGCCTAAGACTACTGGCATGGTCCGCATACCAGTCTGTCTGGCGAAGGTACAATGTCCAGGACAAAATGTGGCTTTCAACAAAATCGAGATATGATGTAGGACGGGGCCCGTAAGTCCCGTCTTCCCCGTTTCTCGTACCCTTGTAACAATGAGGTTGGTTTGATTTCACCATATTTATTAAGACAAGTGAATGTGGAAAACCAATACAGAGTTTAGGGGGATTAGAATCCGTAACCGCTCTCAGGCTTGCAAACGTCGACTCTGTGACGAGGTTCTATTCGTACCCCCGCCTCCTCTCTGAAAGGAACAATAAAACAGTATAAGTATTATATAGCCCCCTAGTCCTTTTAGTACTGTCCCCAGTGCTACCAACTATGAGCTCCTCTCGAAGTTCCCAACTGGATGTTTCCTGTCTTCGGTCGGGGCATAAATCTCATCCTCATATTCAACCGGTGGTGGCCCTTTGTAAGGTCTCATCATGTTGTGATGAACGGTTACCGGCCATGTGCGTAGTTTTGCATTGCGGACGAGGTAGTTTGTAGGTGAAAGCACTTTCACCACCCGAACTTGGTATTTGTTCCATGGGTGATGGAACTTTCGGTGTGTTCCAGGTGAGGAAACCGGTCTGCAAATTTTCACTGTCTCCTTCTCGGTAGACCCTCGTCCGGCGGTGTCGGTCATAATATTTCTTCAGCCTAACATAAGACAGCCGGAAGTGTTTGCGTGCGATATTAAAAGCTTCTCCTACGCCTTCTTTTGGGCGCAGTATGTACGCTGGAACATTGTTGACTGATTCGTCGGTGTTTGGAAGGAAGATGTCGGAAGGCACTCCCAATTCACGACCTATGAGCATCTTGAACGGAGGAACACCCATTGGTGTACAGACCGTGGGTCTGTATGCGAGAACACGCCCTAGACTTAAATCCCAGTCACCTAGTTATGCGTCTTTAGTGAAGGCCTTCAGTAGTCCGATTAGATTGCGATTTGTTCTTTCCGCCAGGTTAAAAACAACGAAGGAGTTCTATCGTTCCTTCGCACCCTGGTACGAAGAGCTGCAGCAATATGATTTTACAGTCCAATACCGAAAAGGAAAAGGGCATGGTAATACGGATGCACTGTCCCACAGACAGACTCCAGCAGAAACAGGTAACGTTATAGTATGCACCATATTTCCGAGTGACCTCCCTTCTTTTGGAAATGACGTGAACTTCGAAGACTGTCTCAAAACTGCTAAATTCAACCTCTTCCTTTATTCTCGGTCCCAAAGAATACCCCTAATTCGTAGCATTCTCCCCAATGATCTATTTTTGGCCACAGTCGACGCCGGCATCACCCACGATAATGACATTGATCAATGTTGCGATACGTTGGCTCAACTCGTCATCGATGGGGAAGAACAAACCCTTGCTAGAGACTTCTTCCTCCGTTTCCAAAAAGCTGGCAAGAACGACGAAGAGTACTCTACGAACCTTCGACACCTGGCGGAACGTGCTAAACAAGGTCGCTAATTGGATAACGGTGCAGTTTAGACATGGAGTCCGACCTCCAGCCTTGGTTGAGAAGCTAGGCGACGCGACGACCAACTCGCTCTTAGGCTTGAAGGACGTCGACTGTCACAATTTTTGATTCGTAGCCCCGACTCTTCTCTGAAAGGACGATTAAAACAATATAAGTATTACAATAAACATCAAACGTACTTTTAAGGTGTTGTTAGTGTCGTTTGACATGGGCCATGTACGAATACTTTCTTGAGTTAGCGATGTTGTTTCTGGGTGTTACGGTATGTTCATATTACTCAAAATGCTTAAAACATCCCAACTTTAAACAAAAGCCAAGTATGATTTGCTATCGCGTTTGTTTTTTTTTACCATTCTGCTTAGTCCGCAGTCCCTAGCTGTCATGTAAAGTTACTTCTCAAGGCACAACAGAACTAAACTTTTCAATTAGTACTGCACGCTGCCTTGCCTTGTGTGGATTTTATGTAGCTTTGTGGTGGAAGGGTAGGTACACTACAATGCTAGAGTAGTTTGGGTTAGGTAATAGTAGTTATTTGCTCTACCGTGCATTGTCTTTGTAATGTATAAATCCTAAAAAGCTGGACGTCGTATAGTTTTGCCGAATTCATTACACTTCTAAAGTTGTATTTGTATCCGTATTGCGAGGCGTAGGCTTTGTATGAATGTGTAATAGTAGAGCGCCTAATTCACAATCTCGGCTGCTGAAACCTGGCTGATTTGTGCAATCCGTTTTAGTTTTCCTATGTCTGGTTTGTTATTTTCTTTGTAAATACGAATACTGCACTTAATTCATCGTCATAACTTCCTAGATTGGCCTCTCTAATAGCTTGTTCCACGTTTTGTTTGTCGTAAAAGTCATGTTTAGCTTATCAACGTCTTAGTGGGAATTGGGTTGTACTGTCATATCCGGTATACTTGTATTTGGGCTTTTTTAGTGTCGTCTTCATACAATCTACCTGTCAATATTATGTATGGGCAGGATTTAAACTGTCCTTTTTGGCAATGCTCCTTTTGGCGTTTCCTCTGATAATGTAATGTTTTGACGCGAGTTGAACCTATGGTTTTACTCTTATCTTCCCGCGTAGGAATGGCATCGGAAGAGGATATAAGACGATTGAAAATTGAGATGCGTAGCCTCAAGGCGCGTCATAATTCGCTCCTTCGCTTCATTAGTAATATGAATGAGAAACTTAACCAGCATGTGCGTCTGAACGATGCTTTTTTTCCTGAAATATTTGCACCATATTACGCTTGTGCTGTAGACTTCCGCCTAGTACCACTCAGGCTTCGATGAGGTAGCTTTCACTCTTTCTGAATGAATTTGTTTGGAAGCACGATCATCACTTCATAGCTTTCCGTGAGATTGTGGTATTTAGTCACAGTCTTGGTTTGTAGTCTCATATGTTTATCTTACACCTGCTTACTTCAGCTTATCTAATTGGTTATGATATTTACTCTTATGGTGTAAATGGGTCTCATAAAATGAACGGTGGTGTTTACTATATTTTATCGTGCCTGATCAGCTTTTAGTTTGGTATGTTGCACCCAGAAATACTCGTTAATCCGAGTTGTTAACTTCTTTGATGCTGTAATTAGCTCAAAAAATGTGAAACTATGACGAGATCGGTTTCGATGCCATGCGAGGTGTCAGATATCTCTATTGCGGACTTGACACCCCCTATTTCTCTATTTCACCCTGTGGAGGAGGCCTCCGAGATGTCTTCAGCAGATAGAGCCGAAATCTCACCCCATGATCCATCGACATCTCAAATGTGGGTTTTTTTGCAAGAACTTTCGATTTTTCTATTTCGCATACTTTTTCCCGATGCTATACTGTTTTCTGCTACCCTCTAATTGGTGTTTTCCAGCATATGAATTGAAGTGGCTTACTAGTCCCCTTTTTTATGCGTGTTGACATCGTTGCCATAAACGTGTGTTTTGAAGTTGTCTTGTATTGATATCTAGTTTTATCGTTGCTGTTGTTTTTAGGTTTGCGAATAATGAAAATAAAGAGCACCGAAAAGTTAAATCTTCCAAGCGACACAGAAAACGAAGGTACTCCTCGAGTTTGAGCTTTTATCTACCTGTGAATTTATCGAAAAGAAGCATTAGGTGTGCTGTTTTTTAATTTAACCTTGCCATCTGTTTTTATAATTTTTGGCTTTAACTTTGAGTAGAATCCTTATATGTACTAATTAGGTACCTCATATCCGGCAACGCGGCTTGGTGATGCAAAGCTACAATAGGCGCTGTACTGCAAGAACTCATTATTTTTAACCACATCCGCTTTTCTCTACAATAAGTTAAGGTGGTAATTAAACTCTAAGTACTTCCATTTCAGAAGAATGCGTCATGTCAAGCCCACCAAAAAACAGCTTATGCGAGTTTTGAGGGAACTGGAACCGTGAATTTTTTGGGCATATGTATAAGCATTCATGTATTTCTGTGTTTCTATTTATTACAATATAGAATTGAACCTATACTCGTTTTTGTGAAGTGCTCGCTTCGGGTAGTGCTCATATGGTTGTTGTCTGACACTGAAGTTGTCTTTATAGGCCTCCTGGAGGCATTAGCCGAACTGCGACTTATAATTCAATACTGAACATGAACATTTGTCCGAATCAGCTGTCATTTGCATTTTCGGATTTAATGCTGTGCTGAGACTTGTGTCAGGATGTGCTTTTGTCTGTTGATATCGTAGCCGGTTTCTAGTCAGATAGCCAAATGCCTCAGAGCTACTGCCAGCCTAGTGTTGCATTAATGCCAAGGTGACTAGTCGCTATTTTCAGTCCGTGCGCCAGGTAATGCGGCTGGTGTCTTTTACGCAGCATAATTTTGCCGTAGTGGGCGTCGATCAAGTTGCGCATAATTCTTTTAAGTTCCGTTCCCTAATCCTTTAAGGCAAGGGTCGCAGCAGACAGCTTAAAACCCTGTAGTTGTCGAGGCACTTGCCTTCATTGTCTCTTTCGTGTTTCAGGTTTCTAGAGCACTATGGAGAGAAGTTTAATGGGTGAGCATAACATTCTCTCGTAATACTGACCTTGAACGGTAGATCTTATGAATGAGGAGTCACGACTAAAATCGGAGTTGTCAGCTTTGAACAGGAGGATAGAGGCTCTCGTGCATCAGCGCGAGGTACTACAGACGGAGTATGAGCAGGTGGTGTACCGGCTCTCCCTCGCTAGGTTAAACTCTACTAGGACTTCCGACTTATTTGCTGAATACTGTGACCAGAGGATATTTCCTTGGACCTCTGAGCTTGAACGTATTCGACGCGAAATCTTCCGCATTCCCGAATTTCGTCCTCTTCAACTGCTTGCCATAAACGCCTACCTAGACAACCGAGATGTGATCCTCGTCATGCCAACTGGTAAACCGCATACTATATATATTTAAGTAGCAATAATCGTTACCGCTTCGGACTAAAGCTTTCTAGGCGCGGGCAAAAGTTTAGTCTACCAGTTGCCGTCCTTCTTGGGAATTCCTGAGTACATGGGTAAGTTTACGCTGGTAATCAGTCCGCTCGTTTCCCTGATGACCGACCAGGCAATTGGCTTGCGGAGACTGGGCATTCCTGAGGGTTCCGTGGCCATCCTCGATGCTTTGTCATCTCCAATAGAGCAGCAGAAAGTACTGCACGTCATCGGTGGAGAGGAAAAGGACAAGGTGGCTCAAAAGGCTTAATATTTACTAGTTTGTATTATCAATGTAGGTGTTTGTAAATATTCATAATCCGTCCTGACCAATTTTTTTTTACATTTTCTCACAATTCACTTTGACTTTCCGATTTGTCAAAACAGCTTTAAAATGATTTCCGTAAGACCTTTTTACCGGTTTCCGTGATTACTTTATTATCAAGCCAGAGTGCTATCCGAAACGGGAACTTCAGTCAAAAAGTATAGTGCTGTATGAGATGAGCTCAGAACTTTCGGATCATACTTGATGTACACGCTATATTCAATTTGACTTAAAGTTTATATTCACAGTATAACCCTACTATGTTATGATAAGGCGGTGGTGCTGATATTTTGGTAAGCCAAAAGGGGTTTGTAATAAACAATATCACGGTGATCGCTGGTAATGGTAAACACTAACGAAGTTCATACCTCTTATGCGTGAAGCTTGTATGAAATACCTTTTGAGAATGTGTTGTTTAGTTGAGTCGTTGCGGATGATTATGGCTGTCTTATTAAAGGAAGACTTACCGTGATTTTCAAAAGCCTCTTGTGAGCATATCTTTTATGCGGGTTGCCTTTGTGATTACGGCAGTATTTAAATTTTCAATAAACACCACAGCTTTAAGATGCAAGGACCAATCCTAGCGTAATCTTTGGCATCTTTTATTTGGTGATAACTTGTAGAGTTACTATGGCCTGTTAAAGCGCTGAGAAATCGCAGCTACACCTCGATTCGGAGGCACCACTGTCTACTATTTGATTGACCTTCTAGTCCTCGGTAGGAAGCGGTCTGCGAGTTCTCTTTTTGACCCCGGAAAAATTGAGCAAGTCGAAACGCCTGATGTACCGACTGGAGAAGGCGTACACACGGGGTAGCCTGGCGCGGATTGCAGTTGACGAGGTCCACTGCGTGAGCCAATGGGGCCACGACTTCCGGCCCGACTATAAATTTCTCCACGTCCTCCGCTCCCAGTTTCCGCGCGTGCCTATCCTTGGTCTCACCGCCACTGCCTCTGCTGAGGTCATCCTTGACGTCCAGAAGATGCTCGGCCTCCAGCAACACCGCTGTCTCGTCCTTCGGTCCTCCTGCAATCGACCCAATTTACGTTACGAAGTAAGTCTCTCCATCGTCACCTTCTGTTTTCTCACTTTGGCTCGTGATTTATTTGCATTCATGTAGTTGCAGTATCCCAAGTTAGGTAACCCTAAAGACGGAACAGCGATTGCTAGAAATGTGAACCTTTCCACAGCCGGTCTGACTTCCCTCCCTCCTTTCTACGTTTGTTGATTGAAACTGTCTCAGTTTGTTCCTCTACTAAATTATTTTTAACCAACCGACCTCGCAAAGCACAGGTAGCACGATCGTCTGTCGTCAGGGGTGCAATGAGGTACATCGGACTGTCGCATATTACTCCTTGTGTAGCGAATATTTAACCTAAACCACTTACCATTTCAGAGCACATGGCTTGCCAAATCACACCTTTTTGCTGATGTTTGATTACTCTGGCCTTGAGGTCATTCCGTGCCAAAGCTATGTAGCCTTTGTCCAGTCAAGGCGTTTGCACCGTTTGTTATTTTATATGCGAACCTTAAGAAAGACTATTAGCCATGTTTTTACTGAGACAGTTGCGAAATTAAACAATTCCACGTTTTGTAAGTTAACTTTGCTCTAAATTTGACGCACTTTCTAATTTTGTGTATGAAGTAGTCCTTTTAAACCCATTTAACCGTTAGGTAAATATTCCAAAATATTGTTTTTACTTAAATCATAATTCCTCTCATGGTTTCACGTCATAAAGTTTACCATGTTTTAATTTTGAAGTAAAGAATGATGCTTTCCAGAACATTATTTTGGGATTTTGATATTACTAGTCTTGCCCTATTGCCTTCTTAACCCTTGATATTCGCTTGAGCCTGGAATTCCCTCAGGCATCCCCTGCAGTTTGTTTATTTCATTTGTTTGATCTGGTTCTAACCTCATTTAGAGGTAGATCATTACTGATTCGGCCATCAACCCCATATGCTGATGCATTTTGCCACCTCTGGCCTGTTGCGAGTTCATAAATGGTGCCTACACTTTGTTCCAGGCTTGGACACCGCTCAGTTCATGTACACGTCCAATCTAATCCTGTCAGACTATCAGTGAATAGCCCTTTTAGCAGCCCCGATCAGAAATTTCCTTATTGACGTTAGTTGTATGCTCTAGGTGCAGTTTCAATCTGGTCCTGTTACCTCTTCCTATGGTACTATCTGCGAACTACTAAATTCTGAATTTTCGGGACTTTCAGGTATGTGTTTTTATAACGCCTACTCAAATCTCACTATTCATTTTACCTGTTTTTCCACACGGCTCCCACGCTAAGGTGCTGTCAATGTTTCAGCTTTTTTTCTCTCCTAACGTGCTGTGTAGGTATTATATACTGTCTGTCCCAGAAGGACACGGAAAGTCTCTCGACCTTTCTCAACAAGGAGGGCATCACTGCCGCATTTTACCACGCTAATGTTGACCCATCTCAACGCGAGCGCGACCACGTGGCCTGGCTAGATGGAGAAATTCAGGTCGGTTTATTTCTTTAATCATCCCACATTCTTTTTTTTTCGGGATCATATCAATTGAACAATTAAATAGAGATATTGCCCACCATTTATTTTCTTAAAGATCCAAAACTGGCGTAAGCGATAGATTTGATATAATATTTTGAAGTCAGTTTGAATTAAAACTTTTGTAATATTTATATGCGCATTCGTTCTGTCTACTCCGAAGTATTAGACTACCATTTCTCAGTCTATTTATTAAAAAATATTACCGGAATCCATATCTTTGAATGAATTTCGTAATCAGCTTTATTAACACAAATAAGAATCATTTCTCAACGTAAATTCGGTCTTAGCGGCTCCTTTTGACTTCCCTTACTAAAGTCGCAAGTCGTTGCATTCTTTTTAAAACAGGTAGTTATCCAAAAAAATTGTACAAAGGAAGCTTACTGCCTTATCCCCTACTTCATTGACATGCGAAGTTTGACCTACTTATCCCATTCATTTCCTATCATTAAGCTTACCCCCTTCTTCCCATTGCAGTGATATTTTATCACTTTTTCCCCATTCCTAAAACGCAATGTGCGGCAAATTCTACAGCAGCTTCGTGGAACGAGAACGGTGTTTAATCTGTGGATTTCTTCATGTAAAATATGTTGCCTGCAACTCATTGGCCTCTATGTTCTTCTATGGAGGTGACTTATTTTGTGTGAAAAGGTTTTCGTTGCGCAATCGCGTGGCACTTTATCAATTGCTATATTCTTTTGAAAGTGTGTGATTATGTGGCTCAAAAGAGCAGCTTTTGATGGCTTTTGATCACTCTTGTCTTTATAAAATTCTTCTGGAATGCCCCCATATTATCTACTCTTTTTAATTGTTTTCAGCCCAACTATCATGCAGATATGTGAAAGATCGTTGTGAGCTATTAAACACTTCCTTGCCAATGACTTTTAATTATTCTTTGAGCATTTGGTTATGCAGTCTTGTGGAAGTTAACCAAACTCCAATTAGAATTTGCTTTGAGTTGCGGTTACTTGCATTATAGGTGATGGTGGCGACAGTGGCCTTTGGAATGGGAATTAACAAGCCAGACGTACGTTTCGTGCTGCACTTGTCGCCGAGCAAGAGCGTGGAGAACTACTACCAGGAGTCGGGTCGTGCAGGACGCGACGGTGCACTTAGTCGAGTGGTACTACTGTGGCGCCTAGCAGATCTCTTTCGTCTAGGCACTATGGTCTTTGCCGAGCAGACGGGCCTGCGCAAACTTCTTCAGATGACTGCCTACGTCGTGGAGACACAGCGCTGCAGACGCCGCCTCATCTGCGAGGCCCTTGGCGATACCGATTGGTGCGCCGACCACTGCGAACTCTCGCCCTGTGACATCTGTTCTAACTCCCCTCCCCCCACTTCCTCTACTGCCTGTAGGTCTTGTGCCTTCATTTTCAACAAGCTTTCACCAGCTTTATTTTTTTCTCTGTTCGGTGCTTTAAAGAAACTAGTACTAAACTACACACTGAATAGGTTGCTATATTTTACTTATTTTGGAAACGTATGCTCCGAACTAACCTAAAAGCTCAATTCTTTAATTGTGCTTATTAGGGGCTACGAAACGTTCGCTTGCCTACTTAGTTACTAGCTGTTGTAGATGTTTGATAAATCACGATCATTGCTGCTAATGTGAGCGTAGGTTCTGATATGTGGTTTAACAAATTTCCAGAATGACATATGTGGCAGTCTGATCATCAAAACCATCCGATGAGATGAAGCCTATGATCCAACCGGTTTCAGAATGCATCACATTAAAGCATTAAGTATTTGCGCACGTATCTGAAGGCCATCTTTCATAAACCAATGCCTAAGAGGAATGCTTGTTCTGCGTCATGGTCTACTCGATTTTGATAACTTGTAAGCTCCCACTGACACCTGCCCTACACACTGCATAGGTTCCATGGACTTGAATCAGTACCTGACCCTCTCTGCTATCGTGCCTTAACCAGGTGTTTTGCATAATTGTAGAAGTGATGACAACAGTAACATCACCGCTCAGGAAAAATAATATGCATAGAAAGCACTCCCCAGGTGTTGTTTGGGCACAACTTGCGATTTAGTCGGCAAAGTGGAGGACATTAGAATGCATTGTATAGAAGCAATCATTGAAATGTCTCACATCGTTTTAGCGTTAGTGCTATTCCGTGATTTTGGCTACTAATTCCTATTGGTTGTATTCTAGAACCAAACATCCTATGAGAATGCTAATTACGTTATAATATTCTTCATTTTTGGCTAAGATTTATTAAAATAATCAAGAACTAGGGCTGTTGCTAAGTAGGCGGCAAGATGTACTCTTTTCCATACCTTGTCTGAAAGTTTCTTTTGTGGATCAAGGTGAAATTGATGCGACCGGCGTTATCAATCGGATGCGGGAGATCCTCGAGGATAAGCGGCTTAAGTTGCAGCGCCTAACGGGTGCCAAGTTGGTGGACCTGCTGGTGAAGGACGCGGGTGTGGCTGACGCACTAGCTAAGGCACTGACGATCCGCCTGAGCCGTAGGCAGCAGACTTGTGTCTGTGAGTACCTGGTGGCTTGGTGCCTCTGCCACGGGGTAGTCACACTGGATTTCCACTTCACACCCTATTCGACCATCGCCTATGTCGTCCCCGCTGCTGCCTCCTCCCCACCGTCTGCAAAGATCCACCTCCCTGTTAACATTTGGACCCATAAAGAGGCGCCGAGGCCGTGTCGAAAGCGCTCTGCTCCCGCCACCATTGGTCCTGACTCTGATTGACTCTCCGCATACGCGTGTGTGATCGAAAGCCTTTTGCCACTCATTTCCTCTTCATTTGAGCGATAAAAGGTCTCTTCGAAATAACGCTTGTGGTATTTTACCACCAGTAATCCTGAGTGTGATAACACGCATTTGCTCTGGCGAATGCAAGTTGGTCGTTAGTCTGACCTAGTAGCTTTGTGGCTTTTGCGGTACTTCCAATGGATATTAAAGATGAGAATGATAGCGCAGTCGTCGTGTGGTATTTTTCGTTTGAACTGTTAGGTTGCATTTTATTCCTATGTGGTTTTGAATTTTTTGAACAGATAGGTGATCTTTGCTGTGAGTTATTGTATTTGCCGTTCTGCCTTCTAATTCATGACAGCGTTGTTAGCTTACTTGCTTTTGATAATTTTAGGTATGGTCGTGTAAATTGTGTAAGCTTCAGCATGTAGTCTGATAGGCCCAAGTCGATTTTTAGGATTAAAACTGAAAGTTGGAGCGAGCATTTTTGACGCCATTCATTCTCTGAAATCGGGGCGTTGCCCTCTACTGCTAAAAGGTTTACTTTTGTAGCTTTGTTTATATGACTTGGGAAATGCGTTCAGGAAAGTTGACGATTCACTCTGCCCCATCCATTTTTACCACCACCGCTACTGTGGCCTGTGGAATGTCGTGTCTTTCAATTTAACAGGAATCCATGTTCAAAACCCATTCCAAGTGCTGGTATAGTCTCGTAAAATATTGTTCGGCCATTAGGCTACTCTTAGCTTGCTGAATATCGAACACTTTGCCGATTTTCCAGTCTATAACCTTGGTGAGTTTTACAACTATGTCCTGAGGCCTTTGTAAGTTGAAAACCACGTCTGCTTGCAGCTCACAGAATTGTTAGCACTCGGAAATTATTCCCAAACAGGAATATAATTACTTCTAAAGCTCACCAGGTACCGGTGTCTTACTTCGAAGCTTTAAAACCATGTGCATAAATCCAAAGACACATGTTGCAGCCAAATGTCAAGGAAAATGCCAAAATTCTTGCGGATTATGCAAGCGAATTGTAATCAGTGAATTCCTGGATAAGGAGTGGAAAGAAAGGGGTCAACTTTTATCATGCTTACAAACCCATCAAACGTTGTGTTGGATAGTATCCCTTGACGCCGCTGCAATTCTGCAAAATGGTGGTCGTAGGTGAGGAGAATTAAGGAAAAAATCAAGCCCCGAATTGCTTCAAGTACTGACTCATTAAGTACATAACTTCAAGACATACTAGCAGCGGTAAAGTTAACAATCCTTATCCAATTTGTGAGTATTTATATATTAAGAGTCATGATGAGCTATTCCTTTCGCAATAGGGCTAGATTTACTAAGAAACGGGAACTACCGGTCCTGGTTACCAAATTTATGCAAAACACTTGGTAAAGTTCACTCATCCTGAATTCCATACAAATTCTGCACATTCAGTTAGAGGCCAGCTTATACTTTACAATCGATATGTTGCCTTAAGAAATCATCATTGAAAAGGGGAATCCAGAGATACTAACATTTATGGAATGAAATAAATGTTAGTAGTATGCCACTCCACTTAACTTCAGTGTACCCTTTATTTATTCACTATTCTTTGTTGCTTTACGAATGGACAGTTTTTACAAAAAATAGAGGTTGAAGATTTTGTAAAAGCTATTAAGATATGCGACCCGTTTAAAAATTTCGATTAGTTAGTTTACAGGGCAACTTCAGGCACACAAAACATTCGGAACTCCGAGGTAACAACTAAGTCGACCAAGGTTTTTTTTCAGGCAGGCTATTTCTTCTGTCAGTAAACAAATGGCAGTAAGCTTACAAGATACGTCTTTCATCAGTGAACAAATGGGAGAAGTGGAGGGGATATGTTTCGTCCTTGAAGGCCGTTAGTGCAAATCGACGTTAAGAGACGCGGTCCACCTGCAGGTGAGAACTGAGCCGAGCGGAATCAAGCTGCAACACTGCACAGTATTGCTGATCTATTCGAACAAGTGTGCAGGTGCGGATGAGTGACACTGTTCGGCAATTTTTTTCCATTGGCTCCTTGGAGCAAAATTCAATTGGATGAGATGTTCACCACGGGCACACCTGTGCCCTCGTTAAAACCTTTTCGTGGGCGCCTAATCACCATGACCGTCAAAATCGATGTAAACTCGACCATTTTTATGACACTGATTGAAATATCAACGGCTACAGTGGATAGAACAGTATAATCTATGTAAATGATCGGTCTCCTGGGTTTGGTACTGATGCAGTTTATTGAGGTGCGCATTCTTTGAGAAGTAAAGCTTCATTTCAATTAGCCTTGACTGTGTTTAAAGATTTATTCCAGTATATAAATAGGCCAGAAAATTTAGCGTACATTTTCTCAGTTTTTACAACCAAACAGTTAGCTGCTGGAACCTTTTGCGTGTAATAATTGTACAATCACGGGCTTAATGACACCAACACATGGTAGGAAGCCGTATTTAATTAAAAAAGTGAGTGAATTCCGTGGGAATCTTATGATGGGTTAGGCTTACATTGGAAACCAAGTCAAAAGGTTTTGAGACGTCTCATTTGTACCAGTTTTCCCTAAGATTAATTATATTTTAGAAAAATGAATCCACTCATTATGCACCACTACAACTGTTTGACCTCAGTTCATGAGTAAGCTGATAGACGTTGTCAACCAGTTGCTATTCTCGTTGGGGCATTGACCCGGATCCATTTAAACGGTGCCTGGGATAGGAAGACTACGAGTTATGCTTAGCATCTTTGATGAGTAGGTAGAGTAGAGCCGCATTCTGTATGAAGCATTAAAAGAGTAGCACAAGCATATTTTTACATTTCTTTAGAGAATCAATGAATAAACCCTAAGTTTACTCATTAGAATAATTCATTAGGCAATTCACACTTTAAAACTATGCTAGTGGGTAACTTGCGTGTCTCAGAAGGCATTGTAGCGCGTGTTAAAGGTCGTTAAACTAGCGAAGGTGAGTCATCATTGGCTCAGAAATGTATGGGCTCATGATTTGGCCTTCACAAATAGCTAACGAGGCAACTAAACCGTATTGTAGTATGTATTTTGCTTGAATATACCTTTTAGGTGAGAAGTGTTTAGGAAACACGAAAATCTTGTAGTGAGAGTCGTCAAAATTCCCCCAGGTAGGCAAGAGTTCGAAACGCACATACGCCCGACATGGATCCCCCTCCCACAGCTTTAGCGCTTATCAACAGACATTCCTTTATCAAGTCAGTCCGTTCTTTCAAAGGGTTTGAAGGCCAAAAAGGAAGTGACGAAAGATGGCCCGCTACGGTATCATTCACTTAATCATTTTGACGCACATGTTCGAAGTTAAACTAGAAATAATGATATGAATTTGAGTAATGTTAAAGCATGAATGATGATTAGCTTTTAAGGTCGGATTCAGACGGGTTCCTTAAAATGTAAAAAATTCAATTTTAAAGCCATTCGAAGTTCGTTTATGCAAAAATTCTTACATTGCAAAAACCAGTCCAAGTGTTAGAACAGTTTAAATTGATTGTTTTTTCGGAATATCAAGCTTACATTAAAGTCAAATATGAAGTTAGCCACTGTCAGGAAGGTCTTAATCACTATCTTAAGGAATTTAATTGCTTAAATATGGTAGTAATTTTTGAAAATGATAGCACTGAGGTAAAATACTTAGGCAAAGTGAGAAAAAGTATGGGAAGCTAGTGAAAGAACTGGACAGATCAACAACATCTGCAAAACTGCGTAAATCGATAGCTTGCACTATCAGAATTCAATTTAGGCGTTTAAAGGTGGGTATATCCCCAGGAAAGTTGACGTTAGAAGATGCTAACCTTGACTTGTGGGCGGCGTTTCCAGACATGGACGCCGCGAAGCCCTACCAAAATTGACCAATTGGAATTTCAGTTCCAGCAACTTTGTGGGCGTCGATCGAATGCTCCACCCTCCAATAGGGTGGATGGTGCTTCCTGTCCGACGTCGATTGGCTCTCTCACAGCTTGCTAATTGCCGTTTTATGGGATTTCAACCAGTTTGTGAAAGGTAAGCATCGCTCGCCGACCTTTCTGCAACGGAAGATTCCTCAAATCACTAACTACGCCTTGCTGCATATAAGTTTACCAAAATGGATGGCCTGTAAGTTGAATACTTGATCTTGGATGTTAATTAATCAGCCAGTCGTATCATTCAAGTAAATGACAACTAGAAGGAAATCTGAAGGAGATAAACATGTTATAAACCGCTTCGACACATAATTTTTTGTTGGAAATATTAAAACGGAATAAATAACATACCTTTTATGGAGTCCGCCTTCAGTATGAATTTAGCTTCCGTGTACTTTAAAGGTTAGTGCATTTCTCATTTATGCAAAACAATTAAACCAATGCTGAAATCGCAATGCAGAACATAGATCGATCTTCGTGCAGTGTGAGTTTCTGCTAAAAATTGAAGTTAGGTTGAGAGACATGCATCGTAATCTAAATTTTTTTTCCGAGAAAAAGGAAGTTCATAGCACAGGAACACTTTAAGCATGTTGGAAGCCGACTTGTGCTAAACCGACACATTCATTAGTCTTGCAAATGCCGGCCAATACTTCGCAAGCAACCCATTTACCTAAGAAAGACTGGTTCATTTAGGTCAAGTAAATGATGGCAATAAATTTTAAAATAAGCAGTTCTTAAAAGTCGCCCGTTGGGTCATAGTACATTATGAATTCGATAGCTGTGCAAATCAATACCCAGACGATAAATAAGCGAAGATTTCTTCCGAAATGTCGTAAAACGGTGTGGTTTGGCGCGTGCAAACGAAGGGATTAATTGATACTTAATTGCCTAGTTCCCTGAATAAAGATCCTACTAAAAATTAACCTAGCCTCACCATAACACTATGGAAAGTTAGAAAACGACACATATCTAGGGTCAATTAATTACAGTAAAAAACTACTTTAGAAATTGCAAAAAAGACCTTCAGTTGCAGGACGGCGGATAACTGAACGGAATCTTGTTCACTAAAAGGCACTTTTATTATCCATTCTTAAAAATAACTTTGCACAAGTAGGACAAACAATTATACGCAAATACTTAAAAAATATCAATAGTCTCTGATGGGTTGTAATTTGTCCTAGACATTTTGTTTTTACGGTTTCTGATATTGAGTTATAGAACTCAAACCTAACATTAACCTTGTCGTACCCAATTAGAATCGCAGAAATTAACCAGCGCGGAAAAGAGTACGAAGAGGGGTATGTTGGCTCAGATGAAGAAGAAGAGATGCCGCAGGCGGAGCGCGACCTCGCGGAGGATGCTCAGTGGAAAATCTTTCAAAAGAACACATTTACACGTTGGGCTAATGAACACCTAAAGCAAGCCAAAACATCGGTTGATGATATACAAACGGACTTTTCTGATGGTATTAAGCTTATACGTTTGGTCGAAGTATTATCTGGGAAAAAATTTGCTCATGTGAATAAAAGGCCCACTTTTCGGACGCAAAAGTTGGAGAATGTGACTATGGTTCTTAAATTTCTAGAAGAAGACGAGGGCTTGAAGTTGGTCAATATTGGTAACTACCATATCCTTTGTTTTAAGACTGTGCATAATAGATAGTACTGATATCGTCGATTCTCGACTGAAACTTATTCTTGGACTCATATGGACACTTATCTTGCATTACTCAATTTCCATGCCAATGTGGGAAGGTGAAGAAGAATTGCCTCAGGTAGTATTTTACTTAATTACATGCTTTTTCACGAAATTCCTTTTACCTATTATTTCCTTTAATTAAGCTTTCAGAGGAAGAAGTAAGCTGACGCACTCAATAAAACACCACTGATTATGTTTGGCACATTCTTCTCACCTCTCCTATAGCTGAACTAACCGTCCTTTATTTGCAGGATCCGAAAGGCAAAGGCCCTACTCCCAAGCAACGTATTCTTGCTTGGGCCAACTCGAAAATGCCCGATCGTCCTGTTAAAAATCTGACAACCGACTGGAACAGTGGTGTGGCAATTGGAGCTCTTGTCGATGCATGTGCTCCTGGTCTGTGTCCAGATTGGGATACTTGGAGTCCAAGAAACCCACTGCAAAACGCGACTGAAGCCATGGTTGCCGCACAGGAGTGGCTTGATGTGCCTCTACTCATCCGTCCAGAAGAAATGATTGATCCCAAAGTGGATGAAAAGGCAATGATGACCTACCTTAGCCAATTCCCAAATGCAAAATTAAAGGAAGGCGCCCCACTTCGTCCCAAAATCAATCCTGCTCGCGTTCGAGCATGCGGTCCAGGCAAGTACTCAGATTCATTACCACTTCACCTGTTACTGACAACTTTTTTTACCTTTTCTTATTGCTTATGAACAAAGAACCAAAACATTCTCAATATTATTCCATATAATTTTGATGGTAACTTTAAGGTGGCCAAAGTTTTGCGTCCAAACAAAACCTCATACATTTGTACTTTTAATCTATTGTAATTTATTTGTTGACTCTTATCACTCATAGAATTTCCTTGTTTCTCAGTGAAAGAATACAGTGTAATTTCAACTTGCAGTGAGTATTTTTAAGTTTAAGTGAAATCCATTTATGCATCCATTTTGTTGTTAATCGTGGTTATAAAATAAATTGGATTCTATTGAAAATGTCAGATTACTGAGTCAAGTTATAATGACTGTTGTGTTTATACAGAGTAATATGATTTACTGAATAAAAGTGGAAAACTAAGCTTTCTGCACCTTCGATCTACTATCCAGTCGGGTAGTTGTGTAAATATTTAATAGAAAGCATACTCTATTTTCTTCTTGCTATAAAAATAGTGTATTGAAGTGCCTGTTTATGCCACTTGCCTCGATATCAAGGTCTTGAGGAGACTGGGAATACCGTCAATTCTATCGCTCGTTTTACGGTGGATACCTTTGCTGCCGGTCGTGCTGACCTCGAAGTCATCATTCTCACTGCTGGAGGTGCTGCAATCCCCGTAAGTGTTGTTGCTAAACCAACGGAGTGGTAAATCATGAGGATTTGTGATTCAATGTATCAGAATATTTCTTTTCTATCATGTGATTTCGACTTAAATGGGTCATTTTTAATAACCTAGGGGAGTTGGCTTGTATCTACAATTAATTTTTCTCAAACTCACAATGGTATTAATTTTTCCACCAAAATTTAGCCCTAAAGTTAAATAAATATTTTAGAAGCTCTTTGTTTTCAAATTCCAATTAGCCTGTAATTTTTAAGACTTCTATTGAATTTGATAAGCTCGCATTCTTGACCTATACATATTCCTGCTTCTCAGTTAAATGTGTTCACTCAAAATGTTTGGTTTAGTTCTCACATAGGTAAGGACTTTAAATCTATTCCTAGTATCGTAATTAAATCATCTTTGGAGTCGTTTATGTAGTGTGATTAGCCTGACTTTCTCGCATGCCTGGCTTTAATTGGAGCTCAATAATTTTCAAAGAAATCCTTACTCTTTAGTGTGAAATCGTCAAAAACGAAGATCGCAATCTCACCTACTCGTGCAGTTATGTGCCCAAAAGTGAGGGACCGTATCGTATCATCATTAAATACGCTGGAAAGGAAATTCCTAATTCCCCATTCCCTGTCAACGTCGAGGGAGCACCGGGTGATCCGAGAAAGGTCACCGTCTCCGGTCCTGGAATCGAGGCTAATGGAGGCAACGGCGTCGGTAGACGAACTTTCTTCAACGCTTTCACCAAAAGTACTACTTACTTTTTCAACTCCATTATGATGATTTTACATAGAATATTTCCATTACTTTATATGTTTTTCTGCCGTAGATGCTGGCGCTGGTCTCGTTTCCTGTGATGTCATTGATCCGAATGGGAGGAGGGACACCATCAAGCCACGGATTACCCATCCTGATGAGAACGGTCCTTTCCTCATCGAATACACTCCTAAGATGGAAGGTCCACACAAAGTTGAAGTCATGTTTGTCGGTCAGCCCATACCCAACTCACCCTTCCCTGTCAATGTCGGACCTCGTAAGCTTAATACTTCCACAAAATGTAATTATTTCTTTTGTTCGTTTGTATTGCTTAATCTCATATGACCACACTTAGGCGAATCTGCAAAAGGCAAGTTTTTAAAGTTGCTACTGCACGGAAATGGCTTACTGACGCGTTGCATTGTCACATTCATTCTTAACTAATGCCTGGGTACAATATCAGCATAGAGTTCATAAGCTTTATAATAAATTGCCCTGGATGAATTTGTGTTTGATTCAAACTAATCACTTCCAAATTTTGTCACAATGCGAAGAAATTATTCTTGAATGTCGATGCTCCTACTACGGCTGCGAAAATGCATGGTCGCTTCAGCAAGCACGAAAAAATCTCGTTAACACTTGTATTCAGACGGACTTCTTTTCACTGGTGATATAGCTATGGCATTAGCGAACCTTCAAACAGCTGAAATGTTAAAAGCTCAACAACCAGCCGTAGAAAAGTCTAAGCCGGGTGGCCCCGGATTCAAGCTTCCCACAGTTCCCGCAATGCCCTCGAGCCAGGCTCCGGGGCCACAGGCGGTCTCTGCAACGTTCAGCTCCTCTGGAGGCACAACTCCTTCAGGTCGAACTCCTTTCCAACCAGAGACCGTTGTGCCGCAGACCACTCCCTCAGGGCAGACTGCAAGACTCCTATCCAATGCACCCGCAGGCGGCGCAGGTGATCTGCATGCGTCAACCACAAATGAAATTGGGAATGCTAGAGCTTATGAATGTGTGATCGCTACAGTTCGAGTTCATAATATCTCCTTCTTGCACTTTTTTCTAAGCATGCAACCCAAGTCTGGCCTACACCACTGGTCGAGGCGTTCAAGATAAAGGCATTCGCGTTAATGATGTGGCCGTCTTCCAGGTGCACACCGAACGCGCTGGTGGACCTGCGGAGTTGTTTGTGGACCTCAAGCGCCCCGGTGATTTCTAATTTTTTGCACGTGCATTTACACGCTTTTTCAACGAAAACGGCAAGAAATATTTGATGTCTTAATTATAATCGTTCTCTTTAGATGGTCAAGTCGAGCCCGTCAAAATTTTGAAAGTGTCTGAGCACTTGTACACTTGCTCGTACGTACCCTCCCATCCCGGGCAATACACACTCGCTGTTCAGTATGAAGGTGAACATATTCGGTGCTCACCCTTTAAGGTAAAATTTGTGTGTTATAACCCCTTTGTGATAGAAATGGAGTGTCAATCTTTTAATTGTTGAATTTTTAATGCATAGATTATTGTGGGACCGTATAAACAGTCGAAGGTTCGCGCTTTTGGCCCTGGTTTGTCAAAGGGAATCATAAAAACACCGAACTTGTTTACGGTTGTATCAAATGACGAATTGGGAGCAATTGGTATGCATAGAATTGTCGAATTGTCGGTACTTTTTCCTCTATTGCAACAGTTGCTGATTGTCGCTTAATTCTTTTAAAACTCAGAAGATTGCCTCATTCGTTTAAAAAATGAAGAAATCCATGAATACTTACTATTTTTATGTGCTTTCGCGTATAAATCACGCGAATCCTTAATCAAGTAGTATTACGGTTGGGTCCCTGAATCTATGGCCTGATTACCGCTATAGGTTTTCTGATCGAGGGGCCAAGCTCAGCAGCCATAAAGTGTGTAGACAATGGCGACACTTCGGCCGAAGTCTCCTACGAAGTAGACCTTCCTGGCGAATATGCGATTCATATAACTTGTGATGGTGAGGATATTCAAGGATCACCTTTCATGGCGATGGTTGATGCTCCTTCTAACATTGATGTGAACCGAGTAAGAATCATCTGTCTTATTTTTCTTCAATACTGATCCACACAACTAGACATTCACTGCAGTACCTAAGCTTGTAATTTACTTATGTCATGCTCCAATGGTGTTCAGGTCCATACAGTTACCAGGTTCGGTCAAGATTCGTCGAATCTGTTCTTTATCAGGTTTTTGTCAGCTTTGGGAAAAATAAATAACAGATTTTATTTAGGGGTGGGTCTCTTTGGATGGGCTACATTTTATTCTTGATTACATCAGCGGAAAAGACGGATTAATTCAAAAAATAGCAGGTTAGAACGTATAAAAACACATGCGAACCACCTTTTAAAACATTTTCTAATAACTCCTTTCTATACATTGGCCAAGATTCACTTTATCCTCTATGATTTTAGATAAATGTGTTCGGAAAGGGCATAAGCCAAACGCCCGGTGACGTTATAAAGGGTGTGTCAACTGATTTCACTATCGACCTCACACATGTGATGCCTTCCCTCACACAAGTTGCCCAAAAGAAGAAGCTAACACTGAAAGATTTACTCCTTGTGGAATGCAACGACTCCCTAGGTGAGATCGTTCCAACCGAAGTATTTGAAAGTTCCATCGGAAAATTCACCATCAAATACACGCCAAAATCCATCGGCGTCATTACCGTCCATATGGCCATTGATGGCGAATGTCTCAAACAGTCTGGAATTCGGGTAGGTATTAGTAAAACATGTATCCATGCACAAGAATGGCAATGCCTGCTACAATTATTTGTCTCCAGGTTCCGGTTGGTCTTGATGCTGCTGTTGGCGGAATCAAGTTATCTGGACCTGGACTAGAATCTGCAAAAGTAAAGACACCCACATATTTCACCATGGACCTCACTAACATCTCCCAGCCCGCTAACAGGAAAAATGTTATCTCGGAGACAGTTTTTCATATCACAGAAGAGGATGGTGTTCCAATCATTCCAAAAGTCTTTGATAATCAAGATGGAACATACCGAATCGAATATGTCCCTCCGGAGAATTCGACTGCCCTTGGCATTTCAGTTCTTGTGGCCGGCAGCCAAATTGCTCAGAGCCCATACGTTGTGCCTGTTAACCCAGCGTTCGACGTTTCAAAATTGAAGGCTACTGGTCTAGATAGCAGTAAGTCATCGTGCTATTATTAATAATCATTTAATTTACTCATAACTACTGGTCCTTCATCGCCTCTGCGTTCAGAAGTTATAGCTAATGAACCGCAACAGTTCAAAATTGAAACGTTTGACACTGCTCCAGTTGATGAAATCCCGACCGTAATCATTAGGCCAAAAGCTTCTCCGAAGACTATTCCAGCATCGGTCAAGAAAGCTCCCCACGGTTTTGACGTTGCCTATACACTACCACAACCCGGTGAATATTCAGTTCAAGTTGCTTGGAGTAAATACCCCGTCGCTGGTCCTTTCGATGTGGAGGCAGTTCTTGCCTCTCAAAAAGTATCACCGAAAGGGAGTCAACCCGCAACTGTTGGCTCACCGCCTACAGTCCCAGGCCAGCCACTCGTGCCTCTGATTGCTGCTCATAACGCCTCTTTGTTGAAGTCTGGTGCTTTTAAAGATCCCATTCCACTGCACACGGGTACTGTCGCCCCCATGCATATTGTTTCACCACAAATATTGACGCCCGTGAAGCGTTCCACTACGGCGGGTCCATTGCAGGCACCAATCCCTCCGAAAATGGCCAGGCCGATTCAAGAGGGAACACTCCAGCAGATGCAATCGAGCCAGTCTTCTGGTGTCCAAATACAGGGATCGGGTGAAGAGATACCTGATGCCCAACTATTGGGACCAACGGTGGGTCATTTGACCGGACGGCTACTGAGGCATGACGAGAAACGGATGCCATCTGAAGCACAGCTTTCTGGGCCAGGAGGTCAGAGAATTGCACCAGAACAAGTACCTCAACAAGTTGCCCAATTGGTCAGCATTCCCCAGGCTATGCAGCCTAGTTTGCAACAAGGAAATTATCAACCAGATCCTCTTCTTGCTGGACCTGGAGAATATAGAACACCACGACCACCTATTCTACCACAAGAAAAGGTATTCAGCATGCATGAGGGGTACTGGGGAAAGGCATGCTGATCCTGAGTTTCGCACATTAGCTTCCTGGATGCGGCATCCCCACTGCACGAAGTAGCTTATTAATAGAACTTGTTACCAAAATATCGTATTTCATTAACAGGAGGTGATTATTCAAAGCAACAGGTGGCCACAGCCCGGTTCCGAAGAACCCGCTGGTAAAGTTACGGCCTACGGACCTGGACTTGAGAAGGCTATGGCCACCATACCTGCGGAATTTACAGTCGACAGTTCCAAATCCACACCTGATCCACTTAGCGTCATTATTGAAGGTCCACAGCAGTCCATGGTGAACTGTACCGATAATGGGAATCAGACATGTGGAGTCACTTTTGTGCCTCCGGTTCCGGGCGTCTACACGGTTAATGTGCTCCACAATGGGAAGAAGCATATTCAAGGCAGTCCCTTTGTGATTCAGGCATATCCTGTTGGAAAGATGGATCTTAATGTTGACAAAATCAAGGCTTATGGACCTGGCCTGCAGCCAAATGGTTCGTCTTTGTGGTGGCATGTCGAGGAGCTCTGCATGATTCGCAAAATGTGATTTATCGGTGTCGGACGTTGCATGCGATCTTACTCTTACTTGTACCAGTCTTACTAATTTTGGTTGCTCTTCTAGGCGTTTTCAAAGATTGCCTGTTGAAGTTTATTGTCGACGCGAGGGAAATTGATCCAGTTGGAGAGGAGACTGTCTCGGCTATCATCAAGGATCCTGATGGAAGACGATCCGCCTCGAGTGTTGTCAATCGACACGACGGAACTTACCTAGTTACATACTCTGCCGCCATGGAGGGTAAACGAACGCATACCATTTACTCATTAATCAGGCTTGCATGTTTTTAATTTAATTATATGATCATGCACAAATGTCACTACGGTGTAGTATTTTGAATATTAGTTCCGCTTGTTGTGTGGAAATAAGGGGGTCTGCTCTATTGCATCAACTTGCGTTCTTTGGAAACTTTACAAAGTAGTTTTCCCAATTCTGTAGGCATTATCCTTGTATGTGTGTGTGCTTAATATAAGGGTGCTCCATTATGTGAATTCTGTTAAAATCGCTCACATGAGCCTCTCTGTTCCTTTAGGTCCTCACACGATTGAGGTCACCTACGGAGGTGTGCAGATCCCGGGCAGTCCCTTCGTAGTAGACGTCTCAGCAGGATTCGATGCGTCGCGGGTTCGAGCGTACGGTCCTGGTTTGGAGCCCTCGGGTCCGCATCTAATGCCTAACCTGAAGACTGAATTCACCGTCGATATGAGCGGTGCCGGTAAGGGAGGTCTGGGGCTCTCAATCGAGGGTCCTGCCGACGCTGCCATCAATTGCATCGACAACAAAGATGGCACCTGCACCGTAGAATACACGCCCACCATGGCCGGTACTCATGACATTCATCTGAAATTCGGTGGCGTTGAAATTCCAAGTGAGTTCATCTTCTATGAAGTAGTTGTTTCGCCTCTGTGGAAGCTAATAAGCGTTTGTTTGATGTCAACCGTAGATTGTTTGGAAATTAATAATTTGATTTAAGTACCAGTAGGCACAATGATTTTAATGCTAAAATGGACTCAGAGTGATAGAATAAATGTTTAATTCGACATTATAAATCCCATAGTGTTCAAATGCAGTTTCAAAATCTCAATCCATTTGCGAATGATAGCGGTGTGGCGATTACCGGAATAAAATGGATGTTACGGTCTCAAGGTAGTTAACGTTGGTTATGGGTAATTTTAAAGCGTCGCAATTTTTAAGGTTTCTGTGGTAAAAAATAACCAAATTTTATTGTACGAAGGAGTTTCTATATGTTTTACAAGTTTGGTGTAAAGAAAAATCCTCATATCAATTAGAATATACGCTTTAATCGGCTGTACTTCGCCGTACAGTACTATTACACGAGCTATTTGGATGACTCCATTTCAACCAAGCTGCTTGGGAGCTATGAATTTTCTTGCTTTCAAATGTGCTTATGACTAAAAAGTCCCTAATCATTTTTTGGACTTAGTTCTGAGTAGAACGTTGGCTCTTCGTTTATGCTTTGACCATGTTGCTTCTTTGAGGCTGAGATATGTGTTGCATTGATAATGAAGTCCGCGTGTGTGCACTCATGCATATGAAGGGCCTCTCTCCTTGGGTGTGTGCAGCCACAGGAGCGAGTTCGTTCCACATAGATAAATTACATGCTGCACGAGATGGTGGGTCGATTTCAGGTCTCAGTGAATCATGATGCTGCACTCGTCGCCCGTAGATGGATGTGTGGGTGTGCGTGGGATCGTTGTGTGCGTGCACACGGACTCACTGGCCCTGCCAACCGCATCACACATCATAGGCCTCTTCCACCGTCTCCCTCCTTCATTAATTCAGTGCCTTGACTTGCCTTTTTGCTCCGTTACCTAATCTCATTACCATGCATTTACCTACATTGTTTCAGCAGTTCCTTACATGTCTTAGCCTATGGTGGTTAGTTGTTGCGGGCGTATCACAGTAAATTGGCCTCAAAATCCACATATATTCTGTTACAATGGAGGCCGACACTTATGTTCCGCAGTATTTCATTTGAATCTCAGAAATTTATTGTCGTGCTTCCTTTTACGAACGCAGTGAGCCCATTCCATGTGAGAATCCAGGGCAACGCGGATGTCAGCAAGGTACGTTGCTATGGTCATGGATTGGAACCGAACAAAGTTCGCGCCTCCGTTCCGGCGACATTTGTTGCTGATACAAGTCTCGCTGGCAATGCTCCGATCGAGGTATACTTGTGTTTGCTTTCAGCACAACCCCACCGCAATTCTATGCACTCGGTCTCGAAATGGGGTTACATGTGACTTTGTTAGTCATACTTGGCATTGTCACACTTTCACTGAAAGCTCTGAATATGCTAGCAAATGAGTAGTTAATGTTCCATTTATAAATGCTTAAAATTAAGCGGTTTAATCGTTTAATCTTTTGGTGCAATCAAATGTGAAATTTCTTTAGTAGTTTATTTTATGGGGTTCCTTAAATGTGTGGTGCTTCCCGTTGCCGATATGAATGGCTAGGTTGTTGAATATGTGGCTAGTTAGGCAGGAATTTCCCGACATCGCATTGTTTTTTGGTGTGAGCGAAGTCACGGGGGAAAATTGCATTTAGATTTGCACTGTGGAGAAAAAGGTAACTCGTTGCCAAATGAATCAGAGTCAAGTTATGACGTGTCTCATGTGGCGCTCAAAATGATCTTACCAATGCGTGGCGCGTACGCACGTGCACTAACGTGCATCGTCTTGAGGCGATGCAGATGAGTATGCTGATGTGTATGTGCGAACCCTTAGCGATCTACGTGGTTACATTATGTAGCGACTCAACATTTGAGGCTTTCAAAAGTAAACAGCGCAAAAATGTCAGTAGTCAAAATAAACCAGGTCAGATTTGTTGGATCTCAATTAAAATTAATATGTTTGTGGAAAGGCTGGCACCAGAATTTTCACCAGGCGTCGCTTCTGATATTTGTTCTCAAATGTCCTTAGTAATAACCCTAGAAGGGTCTATATGAATGGAAGCAAAGTGGGCGGAATTCATTGGGGAAGAGACAGTGATTGCCGTTACCATTAATGCCAAATATTCCTTTCTGAGTATCTCTACTACTCTTGTCTAGGCGACATTCACTCCAGCCCCGGGAGTGGCGCCAGTTGCGGCGGCAGTAAATCCGGTCGCGGGCCAGCCGGGTCTATACGAGTGCACGTATGTGCCCCAGGCGATAGGGCCTTGCCAAGTGGAGGTGACATGCGAGGGAAAACCGATCATTGGCTCGCCCTTCACCATCCTCGTTCGACCCACTACAGAGCCCGAGAAGGTGCGACTTGCTGGTGCCGGCATCCGTGGCCCCGTGCAGGCCAGCTTACCTTCCACTTTCACCGTCGACGCCACCGATGCTGGTCTTGGCGATCTCAAACTCGATGTCATGGTTTGTCTCACATCATCTTTTCCAAGGTTGTTTCATTTGATCTGTTTTTCTTACACCTACTAAATGGATGCGACTTTGTTGTCAATGAATTGCACCAAGAACGCTTAAACGCAACATGAAACTTGGAAAAGACATCCTTTCAAAGGAATCACGTCGGCATTTGCCTTTGTTATCAAAATATTCTTGCGTATATTTTGCAAAATCTCTTTAATGCTTGAGAACTTCATATTTTGGATGCAATCAGCTTAAAAATTAACATGAAGAAATACGAAAGATTCATAATGCGAATCAAATTCATTTGAATCTATCGACAGTATACTTGTTAAGTTTTGGACCGAGGTGGAATTCCTGATTAAATGGAAATTGTGAGCAGAGTTCATATTGTTTTGCGCAGAAACCATGAACTATCTTGGCACAGGACAGCTCGCTTCTGTAGATCGCACTATAAAATAATGTGGACGGGCATCAAGCATTTACGATAATGAAAATGGAAACAGTAAAAGAAAACGGGCGTCGGTGCAGTGATTTTTTGAAATGAAATCGACTCTTTTCAGCCTTACTTCAGTATCAGATATCCCTATCACTCATAATGATAGAATAAGAATAATTCAATTTAGAAAAAAATGTTCGCAGTTTCTTTAAATATGCTTTTTAGATCCTGTTGGGAGCTATGATAGTACCAATTACCAAAATTATTTTTGAGTATATCCTTTGGAGAAGGAGGAGTAGGAAAAGGAATAAGTTGCACATAGGAACTCCGTGTGGGATTGTAGGATCCTGTGGGGCACAGTCTGCCGATAAGTGTGATTTCAATCACCCCGGAGCAGCTGGAGCAGGTGAACACAGCGCCCATTCAGAAGGGCATGCCCCAGCCCAGCGACATTATCTCGGGCCCCGACTCGGGCCTTTTGGCTTGCACCTACGAACCCTTCATCGTAGGTGAGCACAAAATCCATGTCATGTACGCCGGCATCGAGATTCCCGAAAGTCCCTTTGTCTTCGAATCCTTACGCGTGGGTCGAGCTGACCTCTGCGAAATTAAGGGTGAGCTAACAAATCTCTCACTTTGCAGCAATGATTTCTTTTCCCCAGATTAGTTCATCAGCATTTCGCAGTAGTGAAGCTGTTCTACTATGATATTGCACCCGATTGATCGCTACGTCGATGATCTTCAGGTTTTCTTAATCTAATTTATATTTTTTGAACCTAACCGCACCAATATAGATCGTACAGGTTTCACTTGCGTGAAAGGGAATGCAAGATAACCGTTTTTCATGCCTTTGATTGGAATTCTACTTTCTTTGAACTTCATTTGTCACTCTTTGTCTTGACTAGAACACAATTTATTTTCTAACTGCTTCGGCTATTGCTGACGAATGGTCTCTGTTCTTCAAATAAGTTGCATCAGAAGACTTGAGTAGCTTAATATTACTCCTTTGATAAGCAAGCTGTCGAAATGCCTAAGATGATCTTCAAATCATTTATAAATACTTTCTGAAAATAATTTTATTTGTCTGAATGAACACCATTAAGGGAGGATTGAAGCATTCAATGATCTCTAGCTTTCTCATTAATGTGTTGAATTATCATTGAAGGTGATATGCACCAGGTCTGCGTTGGGGTGTGGAGTTAATAGTGATGATCGTGTTCTTGAACAATAAACAGGGCTAGATAGACACCCTATAATAATAATTATAATAAAATTAGGAGAGACCTATTATTTAAAATACTTTTTGCTTTGATTAACACCATCTGGTGCACAGTTTTTAATGGCTTATGGTCAAGATCTCAAGATTCCAAAGGATGCTGTATAAGTCTGAATGCCAAATTCCGTATTCTAGATTTTATTATTTGATTAATTTTGGCTTCAATTTACAAAGCAAGTATGTAATTGGATTTCCTAACTCGAGCTCACTATTTACTTAGACGCTACGTAATTGCGTTTCTGAATTACGCTACATATTCCTTGCAGCCCGTTGGTTAGTGCGGTGAGCTAATAAACGTATTCTTCCTTGGCTACACATGCTTACGAAGTGACTAAGTTTCAAGTGTTTGTCACATTAACTGTACTTGGGTCAAGCTCTCATCCACTGTGCACAAGAGGAAGAGTGAGTGTGCTGCTTTGAGTGGACTTATTGTGCACTTGAACCTTGCTTATTTCACAAAAATCCCATCCATTATCGGCTGATGCCACGGTAAGTAAACAGAGACCAGCGAGTGGATGGAATATTAAATTACCTGATTTATGCTTTGACCGGACGCGCGTAGATTGCAGTAAACTTGCTTCATTCACTTCGACTGTTTACTCGAATATCCTACCCCGTCTTACTCACTCCACAACTTGGGGGCTTCAGTAGGATCTCTTATCGAAAATGTAAAATAGCTTCGCACTCATTGCAACACTTTCATAGTGGAGAGAGCTCTCTGCCTTTTTCGCGTAACTTATGGTCCTCTTTAGCCTCATTACCAAAGGTATTAAACATCCCGCAAAACACTAGGTCCAGTTATACTGGCGTGAGTCCCTCTTCCAATAGCACCGGTCCAATCTTCCGGTGTGACTTAAACTAGTGCACCATTTTTTTCGAATTCTTATTATGTTCCTGGGTGTAGTAAGTGTCAGTAGTTGGCTTAAGGCAGCGAGGCAGATACAATTAAACATCTGTTGATTTTGGCTTCATCGATTGTTCTAATATCCCAAACTTTTAGTTGAGAACTTACTGTTCACATTTATTAAGGAGGCGTTTGATGCAAATAATAATAAACCATAAAATATGGCCAAGACGTTACCAACCAATACTGCTTTAAAGTGTTCATCTCGTGTTCACTGAGTTGTGAATACCGATGCGTTCAAATAGTTTTGATATACTGCCTATTTGGCCCCAACAGGTGATGTTAAGCCACGCATTGCCGTGGGAGATGAGACGAGTGTGACTGTGGATACAAGCAGAGCTGGCCCTGGCAACCTCATGTGCCGCGCTACACAGGTATCTGGCGGCAGGTCCATCGACTTGCCTGTGGAAGTGGAGGCCAACGATGATGGTACCTCGACAGCCTACTTACTCCCCAAGGAGGCCGGTCCAGTGCAAGTGGAACTGCGATACGGTGGTCAGCTCATCCCTAACGGAAAATACACCCAAGAAGTGAGTTGTATCTCGCCCTTTGTACCGTTTAGCTCTACTCTGATTTCCTAATTCATCCTGCTTTTATCTGAGTTCTGCTTCACCCGTGTTTCTTTTTCGTTGTAGGCCGTTCCAGCGGAGGAACTTGAGGTGCCAACGGTTGGTGGCATGGCATTTTAACATACCCACTTAGTTGCATGGATTCGGTTGTTAACGTCATATCATTCGTCCCAATTTTAGACCCCCATTGAAGCTCATTACGCCCCTGTCGATTTCCATTTGGTCGTGTCAGGAAAAGATGATCATTCACTTCAAGGTATAATTATCTGCCTGAATACTGGACCTTGCCAGAGTAAAATTTCGCACTTTAAGTATTCAACATTGAATCAAATTTTAGCCACGAAAAAAGGAATTTAGCATTTTTTTAAGGAAAGTCTACAAAGTGCTTTTTGTCTCTGGGAATAAAGGCTAACGACTTTTACTCTGCGTAACGCTGTTTTTCTTCAGCCGTCGTCGTGAGACCTTCAGGTGTAAATGATCAAGTGGAGACCAAAGAGGATAAGGACGGCACGATGACTGTCAAATATCAACCCAAGGAGCGTGGAATGCACGAGTTGCACGTGACCACGGTGGCCAGCGGCTCCGACCTTCGCATGCCATTGAAGGGCAGTCCCTTCAAATTCTTCGTGGACAATGCTGCCAGCGGCAACATCACGGCTTGCGGACCTGGTCTCAGCCATGGAGTAACCGGGCAGCCAGCCGAATTCACTGTTGACATGAAGAACGCCGGTGCTGGTACGTTAAAATGTCTCCATCTGCTTCAAAGCATGGCCTTTCAGAGGCGAAAGTGGACCATTCATTTATGCGCATTGGTGTTTTGAAAAGGTGCTAATATCATGCTCTAGCAAATGGAAAATAACTTCACCGATAAGATGGGGTCATCACTTTGTTTAGTCACGGTTATGCTTAATTGGGAAGTTGCCAATTTTAAATACTCTGCTCAAACATTCATTTTAAACCACACAAATCAGATCTAGATTGCATTCTATTTAACTTGTGTTGTGTGATTTGAGAGATTTGCAAAGCACAATTTATGCCCATCTGCTGCATTTTACTGGACACATACTCAAATTCATGTTAACCATTTTACTAGTGGCTGCAAATGCCAAAGAACCGCGTAAGTGACACCGCATGCTGAGCCACATTACTTGCCGATTGATCAAATTTGGCTACATTATTCAAAATAGGATTTTGCATGACACTACCGCTTAGGTTTAAATGATTTCCCCATTACTAAAGCGGATTAAGTTTACATGTGCTGCTTATCATATTGGGCATAGTCTTTTCCTGTCCATGGTATACATGATGCTTAAATGAAGCATGGCTTCATTTAAAAAACTAGCTCATGCAGTGTGAGCAGTGACCTCTTTTCCATGTCAGGAGGCCTGTCTGTTTCTGTGGAGGGTCCCTCAAAAGTAGAAATGTCCTGCACTGAAAGCGGTGATGGAGCTTGTCGCGTAACCTATTACCCCATGGTCCCAGGCGAGTATACAATTAATCTCAAGTTTATGGACAAACCTATCTCCGGATCTCCCTATGTGGCGAAGATCACTGGTAAGCTTATTACCTTATTAAATGTCCAAATTATGACTGCTCACTTGAGCCATTAATGCAGAATACTTTCAACTTGTTCGTATCAAAGTCGGCTATATTTTGTGTCTTGGCTTTTTTAGGTGAACCAAAGAAGCGAACTCAAATGAACATGAGCTCCATGAATTGTGTCTCATTTGAAGCTGGAATAGATGATATATCCATTCTCACTGCTACTGTGACAAGTCCTTCTGGCCACGAGGAGCCTTGTGTGCTTAAGAAACTCCCAAACAATCGAATGGGTGAGACAAATTTTTTTATGTGGCGTCTTTCGTCTCATTTTTATTTTGTCTTTACCATTGGCCCCCATTTTTATCTTTTATTTGTCTGCATACTTACAGATCAATTGAACATTTTCAGGCGATAAGATAGCTTATTGCTTTTAAAATGGGAAAAATCTTCCCCCATAAAAAGGCACTTTAATTCGTGAAAAAGTAGTACTTGTTATTAATTTAAGTTAAGCAAATTCAAGCTATTTATGACGACTTGACTTTTGAATTGTATGGGTCAATGGGCTATGTGGAAATGTTTACATGCTTTGCGGTCTTATAACAGAAATGGAATTATGAGGTCAATATATGCATTCTCGTAGGAGCGTTCCATGCCAATCATTACATATTTTATTCACTCGGGTAGTATGTTGCTATTGGGGAAAAAATGAAGCTAAAGGTTTAAATGGTTCTTTTTCTGCCCCATCACTTGGAATTGGATAAAAACAGCGCCCTTACGCGAAGTGTTTCTCTTTCTCTGTAGCGAACACCATGATCAATTAACTGATTTTTCGTTTTGAGGCATTTCGTTTACACCAAAGGAGACTGGTGAACACTTGGTGAATGTATACAAGGCAGGGAAGCACATTCCAAAGAGTCCCTTCAAGGTCAACGTGTCCAGTGAAGACGTCGGCGATCCCACTCGAGTTCGCGTCATTTGGCCTGAAGGAGTTCAACCAATGGCAAATCAACGCAACGAATTCCTCGTTGACAGTAAAAATGCTGGTTAGTGTTTTCTCATCAGAAGATATACTATTTACTCCACCACTGGTTAATTGACGTGTTGAATGGGCTCTGTAAAGATCATGCGTCTATTGAGTGCACTTATATGCAATGAAACAGGTCGAAGTGCTCATCGGCAAATTGCCGTTCCAGTAGCATAATGTAGGCTTGTGATGTTTAAAACACTTACTATAATAGTATCCCTTTGATCCTTTTGATCCACCTAACCCGCGAGGGATTTCTTAGCTTCTACGAATGAGAGCACGTGAATACTGGGGCTTTCACTCCCCGTGTCTAGGCTATGCCACACTGAGCTTGTCAATAGAAGGACCGAGCAAGGCAGAAATAGAGTGCACGGATAACAGCGACGGGACGTGCACAGTGGCCTACTGCCCGACGGAACCGGGCACATACCTGGTGAATGTGCGTTACGCTGACCAACACGTGCCTGGCAGTCCCTTCACCGTGCATGTGGGCGGCGAGGCCTCGCAGCGCATGGTCCAGCGCATCGTCCGCAGTCGACAAGCCTTTGAGGCTACGCAGGTCGGCAACGAGTGTGCGCTCACTATTCGCATCCCTGGTACGCCCAGTCCCCCACTTTCATCCCTCTTGCCTTTCTCTCCTCTTGATATTTTATTTTCTTAAGTATCTTCTATTTCATCCATCCGACTGGTACCATCACAGGTTAATGTTGCAGCTCTTTTAGCATTATTAATTTTTGTTTGATATTTCGCACTAATGAAAGTTTTAACTTGAGATTTTTTCGTTTGAAAAATGCAAGTAAACGCCTATTTGGTAAACACTAGCAGTAAATATTTTGTCAGTAAATGTGTTATTTATCCTCCCGTTAAACGAGCCTAATAAATTGGAACAAATATGTACACTTTTTCATCAGCAATATTGATGATTTGCGTTGAAACAAACTGAACTGAAAAAGGTAGCACCCGACCGAGTTGTGATTGTGTACTCTAGCATCAAGCATATTTTTTACAAGCTTCAAACTGAGTAGCCAAGAGGTTTCACCTTCCGTCTAACTTACAATTTGAAGAGCTGAAGTGTTTAGTTAGATGGGCTATTAATCCTCTCAGAGTGACTTGCCTCATTTGCGCTTAACGCTCGCACTCTCACTTGTGGTGCTAATTTACTTGGCATTGCCATTGTGATGTTTTGGCGGCATGCGCACTCATACGCGTTATGGTGCTGTGCCATAATAAGAACTTTTTTCCGCCTTTTAGGGACTTGCCTTTAAATGAAGTTTCTTTTGATGTATCAAAGGTTTTATCATGAACGATTCTGGTTTTTCCTGCTGTAATTTTCGTAACTTCCTGGGTAAATTTGTCGGGTCAAATAAAACTAAAAAATCAGTCTTTACTTTTAAGGTGACATCCGTGAAATCACGGGCGAAGTATATTCATCGTCCGGTAGGCACATTCCCTGCGATATCGTTCCGATCGACGATGAAAGGATCAGCATTCACTTTGTTCCTCAAGAACGAGGCATTCACACCGTCAGCATTCTCAACCGTGGTGTCCACGTCCCTGGTACGCCTATTTTATTTGCTCATTTAGCCAAGAAGCAAGGGTTTTATTAAGTGTCTGTCAAACTAATAACACAATTGCTCAGTTGATTTGCCGCTAATGCCAGCTCCCACTTATTGACTAATTGAATATTTCTCCAAACTAGAAGCACCAACGTCCTAGTGTGAATGGCTCACCAATACATAATAATCTAATCGGCGATATATACCCGTGCATGCTTAATGCCAACGCATCTACCTGCTTACTAGGAATCCCTTCTAAAATACCTTCATGCTTTCTGTTTCCGATGAGTGCCTTAGAGCACCCTTTGAAAGATTTTATTTGTCTATACTGTTTAACTGTGTGCACATGCAGGTAGCCCATTCCAGTTAACAGTTGGACAACCAGTTGAAGGTGGGCCGAGCAAGGTTCGTGTTTCCGGTCGCGGTTTGGAGTATGGTGAAGTGAATAAGCCAAACGAGTTTTCAATCTACACTCACGAGGCGGGCGCTGGCGGTCTGTCAATAGCTATTGAGGGCCCAAGCAAAGCTGAAATTTCCTTTAAGGTAACCCATTCCCACCGAAGTCGTCACATCAACTAGCGTTAAGCAACGTTTTTCTTTGGGGTCTCCGTAGTCTATTTTGGTAACCATCTTCATCTCCTATTCCTTCTATCAAAAGCGCTGTACAACGTTTACCTTGTTTTTCTGTGTCCATTGGCAAGGTATTTACCACTGTAGCAGACAGTCGATGCTGAAAATATACCGATTCAAAGCACTTCTGATTCTATGACCAAACTCAAATAGTTTTCGGTATAGGTTTTTATGTGTGAGTTTTTTGCATTCTTTCGGGGTGTTTTAGCTCTAGCGATACTGAGGTAATTAAACAGTATTTCAGTTACCCAAAAACATTTGATTGTCGTCAACACATTTTAATATGATTCTAAAGCTGCTAGAGTACAAGTGTCATATCTTCTTTTGTTCAAATATTGCTTTTATCACTTAGGATCATCAGGATGGCTCTTGTTCGGTCTACTACAAAGTGCGCCGACCAGGAGAGTACATCTGTTCCATTAAATTTGCCGATGAACACATCCCCTTCTCGCCCTTCCGTATATTCGTGACTGATCCCAAAGAGGGTGGTCGAAGCGAAACCTACGAGGTGCCAATCCATTTCACCACCAACGATAGGGTTAGCCGCAAGAGTGAAACCAATCAGGTATGCTTCATGGCTGATGTCTTCTGCAGAGTGGTACAAGTACCACAGTCGAATCTCCGCCTACACACTTACGCCTCCTACTATGCGCATTTTAGCTCGTCGGTCCAGTTGCCTTCACAGTTCACTGTCCGGATGTGGACCACGTGCTGGAGGCCACGGTGGAGTCGCCCTTGAAGATGGTGGAGAGAGCGACGGTACACAAGCTAGACGGTGACCAGCATGTAGTACGCTTCGTGCCCCGCGAGAGTGGTGCCCACTTCGTCCGCGTCTATCTCGTCCCCGAGAACGAGGCTCATCTGGGTGCTCGCGCCCCCCACGCCAAAGAAATCGATGGCTCGCCCTTTCACATCGCCGTTGGTGACAGCATGGCTGATCCCAGCACTGTCTACGCCACCGGAGACGGCCTCGCTCATGGCTCTGTTGGTAAACTTGCACCTTTTACTGCCATATCTCGTTGACCTCTCATTGCCACTGCTCTTCACCGTCTCACTTCTGCAGCTTTACTCGAATTCGGATTTTTAGAATAGCCTTCATTATAAAATTCAAATTTATTAGAAAATAGTAAGTCAATCTGAGAATATCTTGGCTATAGGCATTTACAGGATCTCTCACCTGTATCAAGTTGTTTTCCAAATTTTCGTCCACAAAATCGTAATGATGTGCTAGCTAAATGTGCTTCTTTGAAGTCAACTTGCCTTAATATAATTACGGTAAGTGGATTTCAATGAACTGTTCTATGTTGTACGTTCAACCTTGAGCTGCATACATTTGCATGTGTACAAAGTCCAATGCCGTGACTATTTGTATTCCACCATTAAGGTGTCAAGAACAAGTTTTTCGTGAATACTGCAAACGCGGGAAGGGGACTGCTGAGCGTTGTGGTCGATGGTCCCTCAAAGGTTCAGATTACCTGTGAGGAAAGACCCGATGGTTATGAGTTTTCATACATACCCACTTTGCCTGGTGATTACAAGATAAACATCAAATACGGAGGCAATTTCGACATCTTCGGTTCGCCTTTCACGGTAGGTGTCAGTGAACGCTCACTATTTACTTCATACTTGCTGAAATAGTGGATAAAATGCTGAAAAAATGCTTAAAATATGGGAAAAAATTCCAGTTCTCCTTTAATTTGATTATTCAAACCCAGCATATTCGAATACAACGACATTATTTATAGCATTATGTACCATTTCAGGCTCGGATAACTGGGTCTCCCATGGGCGACATAATGCAGCAGGGCAGCATTGAACCAACGACCATCGTGCTCGACACGGCCACGAAGACAATGAGCAGTCGTACGTACGAGGCAACCAGCGTAATTTCGAAGGGAATTGCACAAAACGTCAAATGCTCTGGCCTAGGTCTTAAGCGTGGTTTCGTCGGAAAGGAAAACCAGTTCTTTGTTGATGCTAGCAAAGCTGGTCAGTTCTTGTCCTTTGTTAATGACTTACTGTCTGAAATATCTGACGCCCTATTCATTAAATAAAAGGAAGCGTCACTACTTGATATACATATTTATCTCTATTTTAGGGAATGCAATGCTTTTGGCTGGCATGATGGGCACAGTGCATCCTTGCGAACGTTTTGAGATCGTTCACACTGGCAATAACCGCTTTTCAGTGACATATAGGGTGGAAGAAGTCGGCCAGTACTGGCTTTCAATCATGTGGGGCAACCAGCACATCCCTGGAAGTCCGTTCCGAGTTGAGATCTCACCGTAATCTGTGCGTATCAAGTGCGTTCGCAAGGACTGTCCCACGCCCATTGCATCTACTTTCACACACGCTTCTGCTTCATCGTCATCCAAGAAGGAGGCATCTATTTCATGCCTAAAGTATTTTGCGCTCACTAAATTTCTCTTATGTGAAACTTATTTCTCTGCGATTCATAACCTTGTTAACTTCGCTTCTTTAGGTTGAATTCCGCAGGTTTCTTCACAAGCCTCCTTTGAAATATTGACTTTTGACCTTTCAGCAATTCGTTACCAGTATCATATAAACTTACGGAATCTCCAGCATAAAGTAATTTTAGTCACACGGATTTTATTGCTAAATTATTGATGGAGTTACTGAAGGGGCTGGGTTACTTTTGACATAGTTTAATCATTTACTCAGTCTCTAACGAGGGAGTGTGTTTAAAATGATCAACTTTTATTTTGATCGCCTTCTGGAGAGAGTGGTTCCCTCAAGCACGATCTGAGACTAATGTTAACAACAAAATGAGCAATGAATTGGCTTGAAGATGGGCAGGATGTTCGCACGGCTTGATGAAATCTCTATTTACTCCACTTAGCCAAGCGGGGCGTGAAATAGTGTTGAAATTTTGCTCGGGAGGTTCTTTGAATGCGGTACAATGATTCTAGTAGAAGTGGAGTCTTCGTGGGGACGCGAGAGATCCTGTTTCAGACTACGATGTGGCGCTCTTATATTCAAGGGTCTGCCTATTTACGTGGGCATTTCAGTCTCTGCCGATTGTACTTCGGGGCATGCTAGTAGTCCCCCGACTCATCGGTACATGGGTAATATATGTTCTTCCACAGCACTTTAACCTGTTATACCTACAGAGAACACTCGGAGCTCTACAGCGAGCCTTAGTCCGGCACAAACGGACTAATATTGTATCGATTATGAGAAAGATTTAAAGTGTCACAGCAAATGTGTGCAGGAAATGTAGATTCGTACACTTTGGATTTTGGCTTGCCTTCTATCAAATGAAAAGTAGTTGCCCCAAAGTCGGAATGGAAGGTACTTTTCTTAAACAAAATTCAGTTGAAATCGCGACAGCGTACATACTCTTAAATTTAATGTAAATATAGCAGGCCTGATCACCACTCGATTGCACATTTCTCAACGCGATTACTGCAGTCTCCTCAGCTTGTACCTAGATAACTGAACGGCCTAGTGGACACGGCTATTGCACCCCAGTATTACTACACATTAATAATAAAAGGGAAAGAATGGGTGTTAAAATACTTTGACAAAGTTAAGGTCCAGTTAAAGTACTTAGGAATGGCATTGGTTGTAACTTAGTACGCTTGATGCGCTAAGAACTTGAAGGGAGATCACAACTAAACGATAGTGCCAATATTATGACAATCGAGTAATTTACACAACCGATAGCATGTATGGAATTGATGCACTGTTTCTGTTGACATTTAGGGCTGGCTGTGTAATACTTGTATTGTTTCAATTTTTCCTGCAGGAAAAAAAGCGAGAATACAGTTTGAACTTGGTGACAGAGCCGACGCCTAACAAGCCTGAGAGAGGTTGCGGATTCTCCCACCTCTAAACTTTATACTAGTTTTCCAAGTTCACTTTCTCCCAATAAATGTGTCGAAATCAAACCAACCTGGTCGTTCTAAGTGTAAGAGGAACAGGGAAGAGGAGACATGCGAGCCTCGCCCCACAGCTGAGGTGGCCTTCACACCGGGTTATATTGCAATGCACGTTTGGCCGAATGTTCCTATAATGTGAGATGTGTTCACAAAACAAGAACCTAGTAAGGAAGAGGTCTTTCAAAATCTCTGAGGCAGAAGAGTGTTCCAAACACTCATACCACTTACCTCTGTTCCCTGCTCTGAATATTACCAGTATGTAATACTAGTGCAAATATACCTTTAGGTGAGAAACGATCAGGAAATACAAATCTGGTAGTGGATATGCCATCAGATCTCTCGAGGCGGAAGCGAGTTCAGAGCACAGATTGCTCAGAACCTGTACTCGCACCTGTTAACGCTTGCTAATGATCATGCCCTAACCGAATCGGTATGTTTGACCGAAAGGTTTAAAGGAAGGAGAGGAAGGACTAAATGAAGAACCACTTAAAAATAAAATTAATCCTCTCTTGTCTGGTCACTTGTTCCAGGGGGATGAAGGCCAAACAGAAAGCGGTACCTTCGGGATGGTTTCCAATATGCTCAGTTATCTCAGCGCGAATAAAAAGCAACATCCTAAATGCAATTTTTTTTAAACGAATTAGTAAGCATGTAAGAAAGGTTAAAATTGGCCAAGAATACTGCAAAATAATCCTTATTTTCCTTTTTATTTATCACTGATAAAAATTACCATAGTTATTTTTTCACACTTATTGTAACCTTTTTTGCTTTGATTACTTTTCTAACGATTACGTGGAGTGTACAGATATTATTTTCATATTATAACAAATTACTTATCACAAATCTTGTTTTAACTCATCAGTTTTATTTGTAAAGGCCAGTTTAATCGTGCTGCTGATTGGTTTTCGGCATTTCTGTTTGGGAATTGTCTTCACAGTTTTACTTCCTAGCTTCCATCGATTGGTTGGACTAACTTGACCTACTTTTTCCGCGTAAATTTGTACAAATCCTCCAGAGACGCAAGTCGCCACAATTCATCCTACTCACAAAGCCACTGATTTCATACAAATTTAGCATTTTGGGTTTTATGGTGTCGGGTGATGCAGTCTTCTGTTTCCTCTGGCTTAGGTGCAACGGTACTTGCTGTCTGCCCCGACTGCGGACGTCCAAATTTTTTATGCTTAAATTGGTGTTTTAACTGTGGGTGCTTATTGGTAGGCAATAATATTTCTTCTAATAGTGACTTTCTGCCTCCCTACTTCGTCCCTCAAAATTTTCGACGATTTAACTATACAGCTTCTTATTCCTCATGTGACCCTGATAAAGACCAACATTTGTTGATTCATAGTAATCAATCCTCTCTCCTTTCATCTGGGCAAGCAGTTCCTTTACGTCGGAAATCAACGTCATATATTTCAATGAAGAATATACCCAGTTCGCTAGATGTAAGCGAAGGCCAATTACCCCTAATGTCGCACTTACAAAATTCGGCAAACGAGTCTAGAGGGAACGCTAGCTATTCTTTCTCATCTATTCCAAGTAGTAAGCCCGTATTTTCTGCGAAATTTCTACAGCATCTTCGTCAGCGATGCATTTCCGGTCCGTGTGATAGTGTTCGAAATTTCTACCGGAATTTTCAAAATAGGCTCTGGGAGGACAAATCCACCTGTAGTTCGTTTTCTTCTGATTCGCATATTAGTGAGACAGTTCGGTTGAATTGTCCTTATTTCTTCAACGTGGGCCCGGAATTCTTCGTCCCATGTCAAAGCACGAATGCGCTGCCCGTTTACTGTCATAATGCTCAATCCGTCAGTCAGAGCATCAGTCAACTTTCGGAACTGTTCATGGGCTGCAGTACAGTATCGCAAGCTTCCACTGATTTATCAAGACAGCAACCAAGTAGTTTTCTGGTTAATCATCAATCGCTTGACACTATCAATTTCAATAAAAGATTGAATCAAAACAAGAGGGAAGTTTGTGGTTTTCGTAATAAAGGATCGAACAAAAGGAATGCAAGGAATTATTCAGACCGAACCGTTTATCGTCACTTTCAACAACCACGGTATGTATTATCAAATTCCTAGCTGTTCTTCGTTCTCTCCGTGTTTGCGTGCAGTTCTAACACTTTGGCTAGAATCCAGTTGATAGCTAGTAATGCTTTTCACTGGTTTCACCTCATTTAGTTTCTAATTACAGCGCAATTGCTTCAATATTTTGAATTTCTGCTATGGGAGTTGTAAAATTTGGGAACGTCCGGCGTACTTCTTGGTTAACTTCTCTTCCAAGACATTAATCCCAAACACTCTGATTAAATGCTGCGGTCAGTTAGTGCAAAATTTGGTGACCTCATGCTATTCTTCAGATGTTTGAATCACAAAACGGTACATTTCACAATTTAATTGGCCCCAGCAAGCCTACTTTATGCAATCAGATGGTCGAGATAGTTATCTAATTTTGGATTACTGTGTATGTGATGTGGAAATCGAACTTCAAGTGTGTTTTTGTACTTGTCCGCACTTCGTTTTCAAGGCATGTAGATTCAGTTCCTATGGGAAGGCGACGAAAGTCAAGGCAGCGTTCTTTGGGTAGCATTACACAAATACCTACTGCTAATGATGCGAATAATGCCTTTCGAAACGCTGTACGGCAAGAATCTACGGTTCCCAATTTCTTCGATCCTTCGTCCGCTAGTGTTTCTGTGGGTTTCGATGTTTTTTTTTGTAGATTACCTTCATTTTATGTAGTAAAAATCAGTCTTAATGCTCAAGTAAGCATTAGACTTACTGTCCATTTTTCGATTCAACAGCTTCCTGTTCTTGTAACCTCCCTTGATGTTACTTTTTTCACCTCTGAGTTGACAAATGTGATTGTGCGTTGCTCCCTTTTCTATATTTGCACTTACTTCGAGATTTTATTTCCTTAATTTTAACCAACCCCTTTCATCTGCTTATTCCTGATAGTCTCTCAATGGTCTAGCATCATGTGAGGACGTCACTGCCTCCGATTTGAGGTGGCTTAGACTTCCCACTGAGCTGTGGCATAGCATTGTGCGACTACTGCCCTATGCAGATCGTGCCTCTCTCGCAAGAACTTGTCGTAAATTTAACGCCATCGTCGCAGATCGCTACAATTGGCGTATTATTCGGCTGGACCGGTATCAGCATCTCACCGACTCTGGATTGGCAATGATAGGGCGGAAAAAACCGCGACAGCTGCACTTCACATATTGCCGCGGTGACGCTGTCACCAATTGGGGTACACTCCCAAGTCCCGCTTTTTATTGTAAAACCGTGCATAGTTTATTTGGTAATGTTTACATTCAATGGTAATAGGCTTTTGAAAGAACCCTAACCGTTAGGTGGCCTGCTTTCTCATTTTTTTTTCGTGTGTTCTGCCTAATTGACAAGTCTTCTAACCCTTTTTTGCTACTTAATTTGAGTTTAAAATGGCCAAAACACTACTTACAAGGGCACATACATGTATTTGTTAGCAAGGAATGGACTTTGAAACCCTTTCCTGATACTGTTTTTATGGCTCAGGCATAGACCAACTGTTCAAGGGCTGTGGAGAGGGCCTTGAGTCTTTCTCCTTCGTTGGTTGCTCAAAAGGTGCCTTCCAGGGTGATTACCCGTTGTTGGCGTCTACATTACGATGTCCCAACCTCTGTCACATCGATGCCAGCTACGCGCACACTGTTCGAGACCAGACCGTGCGCGCCATTGCGGAGGGCTCAGTTGCCCTTAAGACCCTCCTCCTCAATGGTGCTCAGCACATCTCTAACTCGGCCATCGAGCATCTTGTGCGACACCACAAGCACACTCTGGTATGTACGACTCCCCATACCTACTTGTGCTCGTATCAGCGTTCAGTTTATGCGTGTGCACAAATTCTGCTAATTACTTGAATTAAGTAGTTTTTTGCTAAACATAATCTTTTGCACCCTATGCAGACAGTTAATTGCCGAAAATCCTACTCTATAAAACTTAATGATTTCAGCTGGCCTTTTATAAAGTGATGATCGAGTACCGTAATTCAATTACAATCTTTGACCGTAAACATTACTGTAGGCAAAGTCCTCTCAATGACTGTTTATGAGTGTTGATGTTGTGCCTGACTTTCATTCGTAAATTTGTTTCACCATATTTGCCGAATATTCTTTATATATGAAGGAATATACTTTTTAGTAGTTACCTTTATTGTGGTTTGTTTAGGACAAGCAGACTAAAAGTGTATAATTTCGCCCATTATTTGTGTCGTGACAAGTTGGTCGATCACAGAGGCTAGTTATGGTACTCTTCTGTGCCAATTGTCGGTCACATATTCTACCAAATCCTTCAATCCTATTGTTGGGTTCTTTAGCTCCACGTGAATGGCGGCTATTCTAAAATCGGCACTAGCTAGATCATTTCGTTACGGTTGGTTTAGAATAGTACTCCTAACCTATCTTTAGGCGTTCGTGGTGAACTAATTCAACGGTGTTGCTGGAAGTGGTTCAAGATTAATCTTAAATGATTAAGGGAGCAGGAAAAAATGGTATTCAGTTGTACGAATTTGCTTAATCACCAAATCTTCTATATTTTTTTAGAATTCCGTTATCGAAGGAAATCAATTGGTGCAATAAGTGAAGTTGGATTAGGCATTGAAACCTTTCGTGCCAAAATTGCTGGCCGTTTATTAAGAATGCTTTTGATTAGAGCATCATTCACCTCAAATTACCTGCATTAATCAATCTGAGTTTTATTGGTTTTCTTCGTTTATATTGTCTTTTGTCAATAAACTAAAATATTTAATTTCCCTAAAATTGTTTCTAAGCTAATTGTTTAGCTTACGTATTCTTTTTTGCAGTCGCAGCGTATACATCGGTCACCATGGTTGCTTACACGTTTGTATAACTTATTAATGCTGTACATAAATATGTGATTCGGGCGACTGTCATCCAACCTATTTTTTAAATGTAGATAAATTTGTGAATCCCTATTTTTCGGTGAACGACTGTGCTCTTCTTTTTTATAATTTAATGTGACTAAACGGGAACTTTCCCAATCTACGTAAATAATTTATTTGATGAATTTTTATAACCCAGTCTATTACACTGCCATTACTGGGACAATTTTTTCATCACAATATATATGTCGAAGTGCTCTACTCCTTAAGTCTTTTCATTCTTGTAATTTTACTTCCATTCTGCCTTTAGGAGCGCCTCGAGCTGTTCGGCTGCTTTCATTTGAACTCGAAGATTTTTACGACTCTGGGCGAATGCCACGGCCTACGTGCACTCGCGTTCGGCTTTTTGCACCATTTGTCTTCCAATGGACTGCTTGAACTTATTTCGAAGGTCTGTTTATCAGCAAAGTATCAGCATGTCACTACCTACTATTTAATTCCAGTTTAAAATATGCTATGCGGATGAATAGTGCCACTGGACGTGTGTACGCACGACTCCTAATTAGTGGTTTGTGGACATTTTGCAGCTGCCCTTGTTGGCTTCGTTAGACCTGCGAGGTACGCAGAAGTTGGTAACTGATACAATTCTCTCGCGGCTGGCAAAAGAGTGCCCGTTGTTGGAGGAGGTGGTTCTCGCGAACATGTCCTCGCTGACGCGTGAGGAGGGCGTAATCACGATGTTGCATCAGCTGCCGCGGTTGCGCGTGCTTGATCTCTGCGGCCTCGCGGTGGTCGGCGACAACAGTCTCCAAGCCCTCGCCACCAGTTGCCCTCTCCTTGAGGAACTTGACATCTCCTGCACTTCCGTCACCGAAACCGGGTGCGTCATTACTCTCCCACTCCATTGCTCTTTCAAGCCTTTTGCTTTTCTGCCTTTTATTCAGGTACTTGCATTCCAGTCTCTCCATTTCACTCTCTTACCTTTATTCCTAAGCTCAATACGCCGATCACTCGCCCATTTTTGTTCCAAGAAATCCTGCCGTCCAACCGAGACATTTTAGTCCAGTTCGGCACCTTCAATGTCTACTCGGTGTCTTAAACCCATAGCCATAAAGACGGGAGCATTTGCAAAGTCTGTCCTGTGTCCCTAGTTATTGCAGATTTTTCAGTATTTCTGTCGAGAAATACTCATTTTGGGATGCGTTTCCTTTATTCAGGGCCTGCCTTCTCGAGTGTTAGACTCCTTCAAAATCTGCCCCTAGTACAAACAGCTCCTCTTGTCCATAAACCCTGTTGGCTTTAGAGCCCACCTGTTATCACCGTCATTGCTTTTCCCCGACAGGCTTCTCTGTTTGGCGAACGCCCCAGCGGCCAGTCTCAGATCGCTGAGGATCAGCTTTTGTCCCCGAATTACGGCGAACGCCATTGAGAAACTAGCCGTCTCCTGCCCCAAGTAGGTTAAGCTTAAATTTATGCCATGCCCTGTCGTCGCTAAATAACATTTAAAATCTGGTTCTATGAACCCAAAGTCTACCTCTGAAATTCAAATGCAGGCCGGGTTTGTGGGACTCTATCTAATTCTTCGTTTTTCCTCTGACACTACACAGACGCTATGAGCACTTTCATACCGCGTGGAGACCAGTCTTATCCTACAGATCAGTTACAACACTTATGCCGATACGCTTGAGGGCGCTTTTAGTGGGGAGTACCGTTTCGACCTTCGAGTGGTTTTATAATGAAGCTAGCTCCCTTTTATGCCCACTAGTAACTCTACCCAATTCCGGTTTTTATTCCTTACCCTTAAATACGCTTGGTGTCCGCCTTACCCATTACACCCAAAGTTAGTGGATTATCAAAATTTCAACAGTATTGACCCAAGCTGCTTTACCAATTATCGAATTCTCATTCGGCCTACCTCTGATACGCATAGCTTATCGACGATCTAGAGCGTGTATTAACTGGATACTACGAGGCTGTTCCGAGCAAGAGAGCACTAACACTAAGTTCATTTTTCAAAGTTATATAATCCTTTCAGGCTTACGCACCTATCGCTTTACGGTTTTTCGTGGATCAAAAAGTGGGACTTCCTTTTTGATCAGCGCCCCAACTTGGTCATCCAAACCGAGACGCAATGCATCAAACCCACAACGAAGTAGAAAAATAGAAGAAAAGTTTTGGTCTACTTGGGCCCTCGTAGGCCCCTTCTCACCCAAATACCCACTAAAGTGCGCTAGTCTGCATTTTGGAAGAGGGGCAAATCACCTTGAATTTCATTGTGGTTTTGCCAACACTTAGTCAGTTCTCTCACGTTCCATCAAATTCATTTATTTCTTAATATAGCCTTTCATTTACCAATCCTCTCATCTTTTCTTCATTTTTGTTCATGTACCTCTGTACACCTACTCTTTGCACGCTACTCTCCGTTCTTGAGTGTACAAACATCACGGAGTCGACATTGTTGGTGAGTTTCCTTTTGGTTCCGCCACAGTTGTTTCCCAGTTTTAGGGCTTGGTTTAAGCTCTTATACTGTTTCCGCCACTAATACTAAACTAAAGATGAGTAAGGCGGCCGTCGCTTTTAAGCCCGGAGAAACACTACAGTAATTATCCAAGCACCTGGGCGTCAGGGCAGTGAGTAATGTCTTTACTGAAGAATCTGAACCAGATACACAAGCTCTAAAGTGCTTTGATGGATGCACAAAAATTTAAAGACATGGTACCTAACTTAATGCGTCTAAACCCAGGTAAGGATACAGACGGACTAACATTTCAGTGATGAAATGTGTAGGCTAAATGTGAAATTTCAAGAAACATAGAAGTCTATTCATCCACAAGTGAGAGGTACAGTTACTTGCTAAAACTGGCTTGCTCGTCAAAAACATCGCTGAGGGATTCGTTGAACTGCTCCAATATTGGCCTGTAATAGGCGGGAAACTTCTTCATGCAATTTGCCAACTCTGCGTAACATTGTTCAAACGTCAATTTGGCGCTGAAATCGGAGGAAGGGTCTTCGAGGCGCATGAACCGATCCATGTTCGCCAAAAATTTGCGGAAGTAGAAGCCACACGAACCCGTCACGTAACTCGCAACACAGGTACAATGCCAATTAAATCTTCCATCAATAGTCTTAAAGCCAGGCTTCCCAACTTTCTTGTCGATGTCATAATATTCCTCTATGTTTAAGGGGCATTTTGAGTTGGGGCGTAAAAGGCGCAACACTTTATGCCGATCAACGCTACCCACCATTACCTGAAGCCGGAGCAGGTCTGCGCGGTGAGAGACGTTGTTTAGCAAAACAACTTGGTTCAGGTCGCGTGCTATGCTACAAGGGTCGTAAAAATCCTAAGACCTGATAAGAGTCTAAAAACAAAGGCTCAAGTTGATTAAAGATTGGCCGGTGCAAAGTACATAATACAATTCAGGAAACTGAGTGACAGTGCGTTTCAGTACTAGCAGTGCAAATATTGTGCAGAAGTGGTGTTGGGTTTGTTCAATAATAAAGACATCGGAAATGGTAATCTCTAGAAGAATTATTCATATTCCTAAGAAAAATAGAATGGTAATAAACTGCACATTGAAAACTCACCAATAAGGCAGGACAAAGAAAACGTTGAGCGAAATTACCGCAGTAGACACTTGTAAAGCAGCAACGCAGTTGTTTAATTAAAAAAGATATTAATTTTTTAACCTAGTTTATTCCATTTTCACGTGCGCATTGCATATTTTCTTATATGTGCCAAGAACTTTGTGACAAATCGATTTGTGTCGGAACAACTGTAACAAACGGCATTGATGGAATCGCTCAGCTCTTTGAATTTAAAAAGAAACGCAAACTTCTAAATTACATTTTTAATACCATGCTTGTTTTGATTGCTCAGACCAAAGGCGCCTAAGTTGCATTCGTGCGTTCGTCTGAAAAATGGCAGATAAGAGGAAACTACAATGTGATATTGACAGAACCCTAAAGCGAGTGCAGGAAGGTCGTGTCGCCTTTCAGGTAAAACAATTTTGTTTGAATTGAATTTGAAGGTAGCCTGATAGATTTGTTGCGATCTTCTGATTTCACCCACAAATTTTTTTGCGTTGTCAATGTTGTAGCGTTCGGCCCGCAGCATCTTTTCACATTGCAAATTCGTCTGTTTTGAAGGCTTTTTTGCTCTTTCTACAAGTCAGTCTTGCTTTATTTAGCCACTAGCATGTTATAGTGCCCTGTTTACACGTGATTATTTTTTGATGGTGCAGTGGTTCAATCAATAATTTTCTCAGTCACGATACTTATTTGCCTTTTTTTTGAAATCATCAGCTCCCTTATCATGCACTTTGGTGATAATTTGGGGTTTTTTCTAACTTGCCAGGAAATCCTTGATAAATTTGAAGGTTCTAATAATCAAACCCAGAAGGAGAAGTTCGAGGCTGACTTGAAGAAGGAAATTAAAAGACTTCAGCGATTCCGGGATCAAATCAAGACTTGGCACACATGTAACGACATAAAGGATAAGCGACCACTGTTGGAAGCCCGAAAATTAATCGAAATGGATATGGAAAGGTTCAAAGTCATCGAAAAGGAAACGAAAACTAAAGCTTATTCGAAAGAAGGGCTCCTTTCTGCTGATGCTAAAAAAGACCCATTGCAAAAAGAAAAAGAAGAGCTTGATGAGTGGCTAAAGCAATCAATTTCTGCTTTGCAAACTAAGTCAGAAAGGTACGAGTATGACCTAGAAACGTTATCCACTACGGGTAAAAAGAAACGTGTTGATAAGGAGAAAGCAGCCCTTTTGGAGGAGAAAAAGCAAAAGCTGGAGTTTTGTGCGTATCACATCGAAAAGCTTGAAACGGTCATGCGGCATTTAGACAACGAACGTCTTGATTGTTCAAAAGTTCGGTCGCTAAAGGATCCTATTGAATATGTCATTGAATCAATCGATGATGTTAGCATGGAGGATTATCGGTCCTTGTACGAGGATATGCATTTGGAAGATATAGGAGATGGTTCGGTCGTGACGCCAAATGCTTTGGTTGCACCGGGATTTCTCGATTACGATTTAAATTCTCCAGTCGCTCTTTCGACCGCCACAAAAGCTGGAAATGACGACGATCCAACACTATTTAGCTCTTCTCTGCCTCCTGGTTCTTCTACTTCCTCGAACGCCTCCTCCCGCGAGCGGCCGAAGACCTCTTTAGAGGAGAAGTGCATATTCAACCCTACTTCCCTGTCCTCTACTAGCACTCCGGTAAAGGAGAAGAAGGAAAAGAGTGCTAAATCACAGCCTGCTTCTGCATCCGTTAACCAAACGCTCCCTTCTTCCTTCCACTTGCCTGGGTCTTCCACTGCCACACCTTCATCGAATAAGAAATCTTTTGCAGGTGCTGCTGCCAAGCACCAGCAACCTGAAGCCATAAAACCGGAATTTGATCGACTAACAGTTCCCATTCCCGATTCTGCTCCGATTCATCGTGAAAACTACGCGAAAGTGGCTGGAGATTTAAAAAAGGATAAGTCTAAGAAGGAACTACACCAGCAATATGAATTTGATCCCAAAACTGTCATCTCCTCTTCGTCTGCGACTCCTACTAAAAATGAAAAACGGAAGGTCGAAGAAGCCAAGGAGAGGGCCCAAAGTAGCGATTCTGCTGTTTCGATAATCAAGCTTCCATCTCCCACTCATACACCATCTGTTGCTGTGGATGTGGTGTCTGTTTCCGTTGCACCGCCTTTGACTTCAGTCTCACTTAATTCGGTCACTTCTAAGTCCTCCGCATCTACCTCTCAAGCTTTGACTACTGCTAATGTTGCCCCAGCTATGAGTAAACTGCAGCAGGAGCAGCGACCTTCCCCTGCTCCTTTCGTTCTCGTCCATCCCCGTGATGCTTTAGCACCTTTTCGTAATCAACATCTGGATAAGCAGCGTACGCTTCCCCCAGAGGTTAGGCATCTTAACGTACCTTATTTTTTATTCTGGGAAAGTCATAGCCACAATTCCGTATATTATCGTAACTTACTAAGGATATTTCATTGCCTTTATTACCAGTAAAAACTGGATTTAGGCACTGTCAATCTTGATCCATTTCAGTAGTGCTTAGTTTCTTATTTGGCGCATATGTAATTGTTTGCACGTTTTTTTTTCGTAAATTTCTTATCCTAAGTTTACTTTTTTAATGCTGCCTTCAGAAGGGCTTTAAAAACGTATATCGTGGGTACCCATTTTCCCATTATGATTGTTTGGCTGGTTATGAAAAGCCTTTGCAAAACCCTTTTTTTGGAGTTTAAAATCGAATAAAACCGGGCGGTGATTAGTTATCAAATCCAATTGATGCAGATCGCAAGTGGCTTTGCCACTTGTGCGACGTCGTTGCAGGTCTTATTAAAAGCCTAACTTATCTGACTTCATGAACCGTTTTGAGTTAAGAAAGATGCTTGTTTTTCATCTAACATCAATAATTTTTTTATCAATGTGGTTTTACAGCTTCGAGCTCAGTTGCAAGCGCTAGAGATTGCCTTCCGACGTTCGCCTCTGCCCACCGACATTTTTAAATCGCGTATGCTCGTCACGAAGCGGCCAATAAATGTGCCCAGCTTTTTTCCGCTGGAGCCATTCAAGGGGCACGACCTGGAAGAGTACTACATGAAGATGGACGCACAGACACTCTTCTTCATTTTCTACTATTTCGAGGGCACAAGAGCCCAATACTTTGCGGCAAAGGCGCTCAAGCGCATGTCATGGCGCTTTCACACCAAATATATGTACTGGTTCCAGCGTAACGAAGAGCCTAAACAAATCACCGAAGAGTTTGAATCGGGTGCCTACGTATTCTACGATTTCGAAACCATGAGCCAGCGGAAGAAGGACGAGTTTGTTTTCCTCTATAGCTTTCTTGAGGACAATGATTTATAGATTGCGCACTCTCTGGGGCGCTTTTTAATCTACTTATACATATGTCTGCTATGTCAGGTTTAAGTCTTTACATATTAGTACTGACTGTGTTTAACAGTGTACAGATCCTGGGCGTGTTTTTCCTCGGAACCACTCTCAGTTGTAATTTTACAATTTTTCAAAATGTCTTTCTTTTGTAGCAGTGAACTATAAAATGTACGTACACATGCCCTTATTTACTTCGGCTTGTGGTGGTAGTGCTAATCGTTTCTTCTATTCAAAGCTCGGACTTAGGTCGATCATAGGCATATGTTCTCGATACTTGAAATGATTGTGATTCTTCGTTTCCAAACGCTCCATCATATATCTGTTTATCGTAGCCTCGCCGCTTTCGTATCGTGCTCCATCAAAGTACTCGAAGTTACTTCAAGTATATGCGTTTTTAGAACAAATTTTAACAAATTGGACGCAGTGCGAGATGTGTGGTTTCGTGGGTTTTGAATGTGCCTTCACCTAAGAGGGCTAGGGGATGGTGTCGGGGGTTAGTAGTCTTATAATATATTACATTGCTTTTGTTTTCCCCATGACACGAATGGACCTTTGTCATGTGGGAGTTTTAGGCTTAAGGTGTACGAATATCATTTGGATGATAGTCTTGGATCTTGTTGACAGCGGAGGTGAGAAGGTACAATCCTTGGAACGCCTTTACAGCCAGTTCGCAGACAACCATACTGCTGACGATCAAAGTGAATTTGAAAACCAGTTTTGATGGTGCAGAGTGCATAAGTTTGTCAAAGTAGCCAAACGGTGGACTCAAGGTGATGGTGTTTTTTCGCTTACCTGACGTAATCGCGGCACATGTGGTTACTTTTATGCGTCCCTAGTTGAAAGTCCTACGGCTTATTTGCATATTCTGAAGGTATTTGGAAAAGTAGGTTTTATGGAATACTTCCAAGCTTTTTCATGACATACGACTTGTTCGTCATCCATTCGCTTTCGTATCTGGAAACTTCAATTAAATAGTTGTGCAAGATCACTGAAATCTCCCTCAAGCAAAGGTGGATCTCCAGGTTTAATGCCGTTGACATTTACCTTTTTTAATAAATCAGGAACTTAATAGCGGACTCGAAGTTCAGCGTTATTATTCCAAAAATGATTATCAATTGTTAACTGCATTACCAAACGGCAGAAAATTTGTTGCTCTATTCGGAATTATAGAATAATTGTATGCAATATTAATATTTTAGGCATTATTTAAAAAGAGTAACTATTGTTACAGTATTTACTGATAATACTGTCCCAGCATTCGCAGAAGCTAAGAGTGACGCGTAGGCTTTTGTTAAACAACGAAATGCCAACGAAAGCGCACGCGGGAGTCAATACCGAATCCAGCCTTGTGAAGTCACTCTATTGAGTGGCGCAGTAATGAACAGTGGTCTTCATACCTACTGCTCTCTTTGTAATAACCTGATCAGCTTTAAGAACTACCAAGACTCTGAATGCTTGCAATGCTTTCTGCAAATAGGACAGGACTGGATGATCCAACAAAGTGTAAGATGGACCGCCACCATCAGTCTTCTCGCTGTGATGGAAAAACCACCTTGTATTAATTTTTCCTACTCTGCAGATAGTTTTGAAGTATTTGATTTTTTACAATCATGGGAAGAGTCGAGGACGACACCAAGGGAATATGAAGCTCGGGAGGAGCAAGGTGTTTTTTTTGAAGCATATGCTTGCGCACCCTCAACCTCATCGCACCTTCATGGGGGGTAAAGGAACTGTTCCATTGCTTTTTGGAACGGCTTGAGCGCTGCGGTTGCACCTGCGCTTTGAGATTGACGAAGCAGCTCATTTCTCGTACCGTTTTAAATCTACCAATTTTATGAATTATGAACACGTAATTAGGTTAAGAATGCATGATAAGTGTCGCATCGGCATTCAAATACACTGATTACAGTGCAAATGGCACACAGATGTCAAAAGGCAGTGTTCCGTATCTTGGTCATTGAGCACTTACAATTGTGATGCATTGGTAGTTTGTTTAATGTTGTGTTTGATTACATGGGCACTTAAGTCTCTGCAAATTGTGCTTCTTTTGGCATGCTAGCAGCTTCAGCGCTTCTGGGAGACTCAGAGCGCTGCACAATATCTAAATGGCAAATTTGCTAAATTCAGTATATTTGGATGGAAATTCTTGTATAAATCTTTGGAGGGGTAAAGGCGAAATGCCTTTTTCCGGGAAGCGCGTTGATAACATTGCAATGCATGCTCGTTAAAATATGCCCTTTAAGTGGCAAACGGTCAAACTACAATAACCCCAAGCGGAGCTGATGCCACCGGTTCCCCGGGAGAAGACGAAAACTCATGCTCTATAGATCTCTTATGCTTTATTAAATTCCAATTCTGCAAGATAGAGATTACCTTTGAATAGCCACTCCTTTAGATACAAGAGTCTGAAACCTGAGGCGGAAAGAGGGAACAGTGAAGGATTACCTTTGAGTAGCCACTCCTTTAGATACAAGAGTCTGAAATCTGAGGCGGAAAGAGGGAACAGTGAAGGCACCACGATACACGGTCAAAATGTGTGAAGGACCATACCTCGAAAATCATGCATTATATTTTACCCAATCTACACATTTAATTTAACTGCTAATTTTTAAACTCTTCTTCCGATTGCTGCAACAGTACCTAAAATCATCTATGAGGTGTAAAAGCATTCATTTTGTGACTTTGAACGGCCCACAGCTTTCGCCGCTAGACTTTCGATGTAATCACCACTTTATTGAACGAGAGAAATCAAAATTTACCCCTTATTAATATCACCTTAATGGTCTATTGGCGTGTGACGTTCTGGAAACTGGCAGGTTGTTATTTTAATAAACCTCTAATTACTTCCGCGATTTTGAATTCATACAAAGCTTTAGACTATCGGCCTGACCTTCAACTAACGATCATTTCCAGTTTCGATTTCATTTCTAGGTCAGTCGCTCAGCTGATTGTTTGGTTTCGATTTTGCCCTCAGGTCTCTGGATTCGAAATGTCTTCGCCGGGTCCAGGAAAAAAGCGAATGGATACTGATGTCGTTAAATTGTACGTTGCTGAGGTTATCCTTGGATGTTCAAATCAGAAATTCTCAGTTATGTATTTTGTTACCTTTGTCGGTTATTGTTTTATCGCTGCGGCTTTCTGTCCCAGAATCGAAAGTAAGTATGAAGTCACTGTCCTCGGTGGGCTCAATGAACTGATGGTGAAGTTTAATGGTCCTCCTGAAAGTAATGTGCAATTTTTCCCCTAATACTTTTTCAATCATAGCACCCTATGAAGGTGGAATATGGAAAGTCCGGGTTGAGCTTCCGGAACGATATCCTTTCAAGTCACCCTCTATAGGGTTCATGAATAAAATATTTCATCCAAATATTGATGAAGCGTATGTTTAGTATTATCAAAACCTCCTGCATCCCATTACGTTTAGGTCTGGGACTGTTTGCTTGGATGTAATTAACCAGCAGTGGTCGGCTGTTTACGGTAAGGCTTCATTTTTTTATTCGTAGATCTTACTAATATTTTTGAATCTTTTCTGCCTCAACTCTTGGCCTATCCGAACCCTACGGATCCTCTAAATAGTGATGCTGCTTCACTTTTTATGTACAAGCCAATGGATTATGTTTCAAAAGTGAAAGGTTTGTTGCATTCCCAAGTCTTAAGTGCATTCCTTCACCTTTATCAATGAACGTATTTGTCTTTTATGATATTTTCTTTGGTGAAAGTTTTCCCATCTTATCATCTTGGATTCCACATTACTGTTTTATGAAACGCGTTTGATTGATTATCTTGTGTGAATATTTCGTCTTCCAGTCATTTACTTCCCGATTCTGTTCACCTCAGAGTATGTTCAGCGCTTTGCAACTGAGGAGGCTCTGAAAGCCGAGGAAGGTGGAGCAGAATCAAGTTCAGACGATGAGAGTTCAATGTCAGATTATTCCGAAGACGAGGCTCGAGATATGGAGCTCTAGCCTATCGATTATGTGGTTTCACAAGTTACTTATATTCTTTCATTTAACATGTAGACCCCTTCACCCTATTTATTTACTACTGGCTGTTGTTTCGTATTTGCATTCTCCAAGTGTACATTGACCCTTGCTTCCTCTTGCCTTTCATTCTCCCCTACCCAATAATATTTATTTCGAAGTGGCCTCGAAGGTAGTTGTTTTACCAACTTTCAGCTCACCAATGCTTCTGCTCTCCTTTTCTCAGTCTTAGAAACCCGACTCGCGTAAGTCGAGAGATGATCATGCTTACGGTCTCACAGGCGGTATTCACGAGTTCTACCTCTCATCATCGTCCACTGATCGTGAGCTTCTTGTTCACGTGCCTGGGGGGGTCGTGGTTTTTTTCTTAAGAATACTAATACATGGTCTTTAAACATTAAATGGTCGTCTGTGATGCTGTGTGCTTACGTGCTCCTCGTCACGCCGGTTTTGTTTACTGCTTTGAAAACACTGATGGGGCTGGTTTTAAAATCCTTTGATACGACTAACATCTGGTCGCTGTTGCGTGTTCAGATAGACCAAAGTGGTCGCAATGTTTGCCTTTAACTTTTAACGGCAAAAGTGGTCCGATTTCCTTCCAAAAGTGGTGAGTACATGATCTGGTAGTCTGGAATTCCAATGAATGGGTCCTTTTAGTGAAGCAGATTGATGCGTTTTCTGGATGTCTGACGCGCAAGTGCATTCATGGGGTGTGCGGTGGCTGTGAAGATGTTGATGGACAAGAAATCGGAAATATTCAGAATCGGTGATATAGCTGTATGAATTAAGGTAATACGAGCCGCCTACACGAAGTCAGTTCAATAGCTGGCACAGTGAAAATGACACTTCCCAGAAAGCTTGGTGTTTCAGATGTGATGAAAAGTTAACCTCACATTGCCTACATCGTGACCCCCTGATAAAATGGCGTCCAAACCATCTACCCAATAATTACAGAAATAAAGTTGCGTAATTTTTTGGCCGCAAATCGCTTCAGACCCATGCCTAGTAATGTATTTTAATTTGCAAAGTAGACCACTGGTTTGGTAATCCAGCAGAAACCTGCTCAATTGGTTGCACTCCTTTTTGTGCTCAGTCAGTGAATTCACTGTTGTCATTACGTGCATGATTCAATATTAAAAATATTTCCGTTTTGTTTTGTCCATGGGCCTCACAATTTTACCCTTGCAGTGAAGAAGCGATTAATGGTAGGATGCTATTTGGTTCCCGCGCGGAACATCCAGCTGCCTTGAAAATGCTCACACAAGCACCCGGGTTCGCACAGGCTGTGGCCCTTAAATATGGAGAACGGCGTGCTAGGAGCACACCAGATTAAGGCGAGGTAATGAAGTTGCCCACAAAAGAAATTGGGCACTTGTTTATTTGGAATGAAATGCTGGGCTAAATGCTTTACGTAGCATATTTCCTATAGCGTCGCGTTGTCAGCGTCCTGTGGTGACGGTGGTAGTAGTGATGGTTTAAGTTATCAACTTGCGCATATGCGTCCCGCACCCACGTCGTGTACACCTTTCCCATCTTTGCGTGCGCACATGTGAACATACTTGTTCAAACGCGAAATTGAGGGTCATGTAAACCAAATGGACTGCCGGATCACATTTGCTTTTGCTACTAATTTCAATCTCGTTGTTGGGCCTGCGACATCGTCATCTCCTCTCCGTCTACGACTACAGCGATAGCAATCAAAATGCAAAAAATGCCATACAACGTCTCTGTGATTCCCACAAAAACGTTTATTTTCCTCGCCTCAGGGTCCTAGTTTCCCATAAAATAGACCCGCATATTTAGAGGAAAGTGAATCATTGGGAGGCTGTGGACAAAGGGCCGCAATCATGTCTGCTTTGTTAACTAAATGGGGTTGATTAGATGTATCCTTATCTAGTGTACGTTTATAAGAGATTCGAATTTGAGCTTGCTGGTGGTGCTCAAATTTGCTCGGTTATAATTCTTATTTTCAATCTAAAAAAAATGAAAACATGACAGCAACATAATGTGAACGAGAGATGACGCAAACTGAAGTTCTTTTGTTTCATTTCTTACTAGTCTTTGGACTTCGAGTGAACTCCAAATCTCTTTTCGTATTGTCCCGAATTAAGAATTACCATAAACTACGTTACATACTTGCTTCACTTTTGAAAAGAGTCTAAGCTATAGGAGGGTCACTTTAGTCTTTTCATCATAGTTGCTTAGTTGCACGACTTCTCATAACTGTGAATCGACTGACATGATCGGTCATTAAGACACCAATCTACCCTATTTTATTTCGTGGAAAGTTAAAGCCTATAGACGCATTTAACTTTCCTCCAGCTTTATGAGGTTCAGAATGCCTCAGGTGTTCCAGATCCAAGCAACGTTTAACTAATTCGAAAAGTACAAGTTTTTTTTGCGCTTTGACACTTGCACAAAAGAAGTATTTTCTCCACCCCTTAAAACACTTGTCTTTGCGTGATGAGGTTAAACAGGGCACCGTCCTTCCCACTTTGTCAAAAAAACATCCTATCCCCAATTGTGTTAGCTGATGTTTCTGGCTATCCTGCAGGTGCCTTGTGAAATCAGACTCTATTTATTCGTTGATTTGTAATTATGCAGATGAATTCTTGGGTAGTGCCAAGCGTACTCCACATATTACGCACATAAGGCCTAGGGACCTCGCTTTTACGAGGTTTCAATGCAAAAAACGTTCGTTTGCTCGCATTTGGGTGAAGTAATCTCAATGAATCAAATATGACTTGTGATTCAAAGCTATTTACTGATTTTTTCTGCTTCTCAAGCTTAAACAAGATATGTAAAGAAGAATGAATTTAACTGAGGTTTGGGGCTCAAATTTCCTTTTCTGTCTGGTCATGTGTTATTTTACAAAGTATTTAAGTAAAAATTGATAGCGGTTACACAAGTACTTGCCTGACAGAGTCAGGTTCGTGCCGTGAAAAGAGGCGCGCTGCATAACGGTAAAGTTTTCTGATCTGGTTCAGAAAGGTCTGTAGCTTGAGTTGCGACATTTCGTAGAAGTGTTTCCATTCTGCAAACAAAAGAAACTGAGTTTCTGATTAAGAACACTTGACATAGCCGAAAATAAGAGTGCAAGTATATCGTAATATATTATGGGTAAGAAGGTGTGGAGCGACTTAATGAAAGTAGGCTCGAAGCAATTTAACAGAATGACAAGACAAACATTCGTGTGCTGTTTTTGCTTATCAGCACATTTTTCACCAATAAGGGTATATAAGACTATTTTTTACATTAGCCTAGATCTGCAAAGGCGCTCTTTACGACTACAATCAAGACAAAACTCAGGGGATCTGGAAATTTTATGCAATTTTTGGGCAATTAAACCGAACCATTTTGCACTACAGTTATTCAGTAACTTTATAGATGGTGAAATGTAAAGCAGGGGTTTTACGTTAGATCCGAGCAACTTAAACATGGGTTTCTTCAAGGTACTCGGCGACTGACTCAAGGGAGTCGTTACAAGTTCAAGACGGGAGGGTGGACTCGCATAATGCATTTGTTGGTACCTTAAGAAGCAGTGCTACCCATCATTCGCATTTCAAGCTGAGTCAATTTGAACAATGCTTGTTGAACGTTGCTAGCAGCAACTGCTAAGTGATTTAATTGCAGAAAATGGACATTAAAGCTGATTTTACTGTTGAAATGAGGCAACAATAATTGGAAAATAAGCTGGAGAAGACTGCACTACTAGATGCACTAACATACTCGATGCCAGATAAGCGTCGAGTTGGTTAAATGAAATATTACAAACCCAAATTATAATTCGATCTTTATGTGAGTTTGGGACATAATATCATGTCGCATTTTCTTTAATATGAAACAAAGCATATTAAGGGCCAAATGTCGTTTTAACAGATGAGATACACTTATTTGGGAGAATGTGTGCCTCAGGTCAACTATATTTCCCATCTGCACCACCTTAATAGTTCCAAAAACCGGAATACATGACATTTTGCCTGAGACATCACTTAACATCATGATAATTACATCGTTCTGCCTATAAAGTGGGCTGTTATTCTCCACTGGGTTGGAGTGACTCCACTCAAGATAAATTTTCTTTACTCGCGCTCTTTCAAGCCAGCATAAAGCGAGTTGTATCCATCGCATTAGAGCATAAATCTAATGCCATATAGCCCCAGTTGCTGGAGTTACGTACGTACATTAACCACTATACGTACATTTGCACTTGCCAAGTGCAAATTTGCACTTTTACACTACACTTGACGAACATCACAGCATGCTGCCACGGCGACTAAGTTCTCAGATCAAGATGATTGCAATAAAAGCTCAAATAAAAATGTTCCTGGTTTACGATGCGTCTTATTCCCCCTACATCATGATCCAAGTGCTAGTTATTTGTGAATCAGTGACACTCAAAAAAATATTAATGATTGTGCATGAAGTGACGTCCCTAGGAAAAAACCTAAATTTCACACCTTATTAATAGTGCCTGAATAACTGCAATGTGGCTCCTCAGCAGAATACACAGTGGATTACTAAATCTGGTGACAGTAAGAGGACAGAACTTGCTCATTGCTTTAGTTGAGAGAAGTGCGTGATGTGAAAAGTACAAGTGCGGACGTGTGCCCCCAGTGCGACCTTATCCATCCAAACATGGATTAGCGAGAGCATGCTTCTCTGAAATCGTTTAATCTGTTATAAACATAATAAATTTTGGGGTCGAATCCATTCCATTCGTGTAACAAAATAAGCAAGACGGCAACTAGGAGGCTAATGAATTACTGTCATTAAACAGTCCGTTATTCGCTTTACTTACCGTTTTAAATAGAACTGTTAAAACAATAACTACTCCACTGGACCTTAACGGCTTCAGTGAAAATTGTGCGTTACATTTCAAATAAAGGAAAGGTAAAACTTGGGAAACCTCAGTGAAGGTGAATTATGTCGCAACTAATTATTATGACACGTTTACTTCCGGATGGTAATTATTTATGCTTTAGGCAATCGTAATACATTTAGTGATCACTAAAGAGATGGACATTTTATTATCACAAAAAATATTTTTCCTTGAATCCAATTGGGAATCAAACTTTAAGATCGTTTCATCAACAAAGGGTTAGTCATCAGTGTATGCATTACAGAAATAACCCATCGGAGATTAACAGCATCTCCGACCCATGTGTTCGTGGAATATTAAGATACACGACCTCGCAGCAATCAACAAATTCTTCAATAACATTGATTACTTAAACTACACAGGCACTCAACGTGAATACATAGAACTTCTGCATGAGAGGCCGCTACCATTTCGTGGAGGGATTCCAATGCCACGTCATAAGCCGTTGTAATCTGGCACAACATGACATGAAGCAATCGAGCATTTATCTAAGGCTCCGGCTATTGCACCTGAATATTTCAAAACTGAAAAAAAACTTATCATCGAAGCATGTCAAATTAGCTTACTAAGCAAGAAGTTAAGCAGATTTGATAATCAGGAGTTACAACATTAGCGTAGAAATTGGGACACTAGTGACGACTCCGTCGCATTTATCGCCATGGCAGAATACACTATACCAACACCGGCATCAATGATATGCTTCCACCGACCGTGAGAGGTTACGATTCCGACAACCAGACCCCGGTCGTAGAGTCGGGAACGGGTAAAATCGGCTCTACACACTAAATGGATAGCACACAAAAGCAGAACGTACTGAGGGCTTTAAAAATAAAATTTGCTTCCCAGGAGGGTGGTGAACACCAAGTTCAGAAACTAATACAGCGCCTAACGGGGAACGACTCAACACAACTGAAATAAACGCAACTACTCAGAACGATTAGTACAGTAGGCATTTGGTACTTGGAGATAAATGACAGCAAGCAGGAATGGCCACCGACAACAACCCCGACCTGCACATGTAAAATGCCGGTAGAAAGTAAAAACTAAAGCAAACGCCAGCTATTACCTTACAAGACCACCTAATGTATTAGAAAAGAAATTCAGGAGCACCAAGCCTCCCTGACATTAGAAGAGAATGACCTAAACACCAAAAAAAAAGCAAGCGCACCACAAACAATTTATTAGCAAGATTACGCTTTAACATCTTTCTTTTCCTCCTTTATCGCCTTTTGAGGAGCCGACTTCGATTTTGCATTCTTCCGCCTCAAAGCAGCCCTTTGTTGGCCAATACGCGCATTGCGCTCAGAGATGGCGTTCGGATTCAGTTTGATAAGAACCTAAATGAATGAAAACAGCGAAGACAAAAGCATACCTGCATGTTCTTAAGGGGATTCTTTTTGACGTGGGAGCGTTTTCGTTGATGATCCATTCGCCTAGGACGAAGTACATTACGAATGGCACGGCACGTTAGAAGACGATTAAGATCAGTATTGGTCATCTTGGATGAAGGCAAATGGAAACCATTCTTCATGGTACTGCCAGTTTTCCAGGTGCCATACAGCTTGTCCAGTGTACGAAATGCACCTTCAGTCCAGATGGTAAAGCGCCCCATATGACCACCAGGAGCAAGTTTGAGTATATTAAGGTATTTTACGTTCAAGAGAGTAACTCCAGGAATGTTACGAAACGCCCGCGTAATTCCATCGTCCTTCTTGTACACAACAATAGGACCGCGCTTCATGATATGACGACGGTTTCGCATTTTACCACGACCCGCACGATTCCTTTTAGATTGGTAGACTTTCTGAATATCTGACCAAGCCCTAAGTTTCTTTAGTACTTTTACGGCCTCCTTTGTTTTCTTAATCTTTTCGACGTCTCCGGACACAACCAATGGAAGCTCTGGAATCTTGTCTACGCGATGTCCACGAGCCATGACCAGAGCTGGGACGCCTGTAGCGGCGATAGCTGAGCACATAGCAAAGCGTCTTTGTTGGATATTGACGCGACGATGCCAACGTCTCCAAACTTTGGTAGGAGCATACATATGACCTCCACGGCACATGTTCCCAAAAGCACCTTGACCGGAGCGATGAGTACCACCACCACGTACACGAGGAATTCGAGCAACAGCTCGACCAGTACCCCACGATTCGGCTGACGTTTGATGGCCAGCTTTGGAGCTCACAGCATATGGTTGACGCGAATTTTTACGTAAACTATCATGAACGAAGTTTAAAACATCACTACGCATCGGCGCCTTGAACACCGCTGGCATTTTGACAGTATTTTTAGTGCAATCACCAGACAAATCGTAAACATTGACCAACGGCCTGCAAACAGCCTAAAAACGAGAATAAGCAACCTCAGAACGGCTCACCATCCCAACGTGCGACGCTTCCCAAGGAGCGGCTGAAATGACCGACTGAAGTAGATTCAAACAAACAATAAAATCGTTTGCTTCTGTGGGGGAGAACTTATTATGCGTGGCAGATAAAGGCTAACTTTTATTTGTCAAACTTTTGTACTTTGGCATTTGCGGATAAGATCGATAACTTGCAAATTTGCTCAAGTGTGGTTTTCTCACATAAAAGCGATTTTGCTTATTTTTTACTAATATGTAGGTTATTTTTAATCGTTAAGCAACATAAACTAAAATTTGACTTTTAAAAAATTGTTTTTGGCCAATAAGTAGGTAACTGACCAAAGTTAACGTAGAATCTTTAAAGCATGTTTTGTAAATGTTATTGGTAGCGTCTCTCTTTTCGCAGGGGTCGTAGGAAGCCAGGCTGGTATGAGAGAGCATATACTTATAGCGTGAATGAGGACTGTCTAGTCGCAGAGCGGAAGAACACCCTGCAGAGCCTAAAGCAACTCCATAGTGAACCGCACGGCTAAGCAAAATACCACATTAGTATGGCCGCACTTTTTGAGCATCCAACTCACCGCTTTTCCCGATCAACCTCACATGTCGCTCATGGCAACGTAGTCGGTGCTATGAAATCCGCTATTAAACCATCAAACTTTAGCCATTAGATGGTCTTATTCATGAGAAGGCATTTAGTATCCAAGCTGCAAAATAATCAAAACAATTCGATTGCGAAAGAGTTTCGTCTAAGCTGTAAATCGTATTGAAGACAGAAGGAAGGGAGAAGACTGCCCCTAAAGAGGTGCCATTTAAACGAGCACTGGATATGGAATAATTTCACAGGGCTAATATTTCTCATTTATTCCTCCATACCACTTTTTCTCATTCCGGTGATGCTGAACCCACTATCGAGGTTACATTTAGTCAGCAGGGACGTGGAGGAGGTATCGTCTGTTCACTCAAATAACGTTTTTATATTAGTTACTATGGGCAGTAGCACAGAGAACTTTTTAGGTATCTCAATTCTGACATTGCTTCAATGGTTAAGAGCCCTCTTGCACAAAGCGAGATTGAGGCAATTTTCCAAAAGAGACTTATTTTCTCTCTTTCGGTTAGAAGTCTTTCCATATATGCTTCTACTTCTGCTCCTTCTGTTCTGCAGCATGAAGGAATAAGTGTAGAGACCGGAATTCATTTTAAATCAGCAAGCATTTTCAGCTGCTAAATGAACTTACTGAATAATTAAACTAATAGTTTTAATGGTGTCATGCACTACTGTAATACGATAGTGGTTTATGTCTCAGTACTAGTAAGGAGCCACTTTTGCACTTTGAATTAGCCCCCTTGAACCTCGCTGGGTGAGCTGGCCTTTTGAGCCATGCCAATAGGCCATAGACACCTTCTCTGCGCTGAATATATATTCTGCCCGAGTATTTTGCCTTCTTTCGTCTTCAGGTAGTCTCGGGACGCTACACTACATTAAAATAATGATTTAGATAAGTATCAATAGCTGGGCCGATGCTAAATAGCACTCGAAATTTACACAAATAGCTGATAAAAGCAAAAAAAGGAAATTGTATCTGGAGAGAATTACCATATAACTTTTACTGTGGCAAGTAATCTAACCGTACTCATAAAAATTCACATCAGGAAGAATCGTAAAACGAACAATACCAAATTTTAAACAAAAAGAAGAAGCATTAATGCATATTGCATTGAAGGATTGCGCTTAAATAAAACGTGGTTGCACCAGCTGCACTGTAAAATTAATTCACAAAAAATCACGCATTCGGTGACGAGATGATGCAGAGATGTCAACAAAAGGACCGGCATTGTAAATATAATGTCTGCCGAAAAATGCCCAAGGATGGCAAATGCTACAGGTGCATCTGCAGGTGAAAAGGCAAGATGTTTGGGCCATCAGACCTAATATAAACAACCGCCATCCTATAGACGACACATGGCAATCTTTGCACCTCCACCCGGACCTTCCCCATCACCCTCGAGCGTGGGTTGGGACAGTTGTTTTTGATAAATGCAAATGTAAATTCTAAGGCCTTTTGGAGGGAATCTTGCTTTATAAACACTAACGTGATAGAGGATTTGGTGCATACACCAAGCAGGTGGTGGAGAAAGACACGCTTCTGTGGAATTACGCTGCTTCCAAGGGTCAGTTAGTTGCATTACATTTGTTGATAACTGCCAATAAAGTTCGTGTCTTCTCCGTGAGGCGTGAAACCCCCTTTTGGAAGTCACTTCTTCGGCTTAACTTGACTCAATTACCAGTTACGCATAAGTTAATCACTCTAATCTGCTTTAGATTCATAGGCCATATTGAATTCACTCCTACCTCATGGCCTACACAATTTTACAAGTACAACCAGTCCAGCGTGTATCGGGTGCCATCAAGTAGATGCCTGGCCTTGGCAAAGTGCTCCACTACCAACACGGTCTCGGGCACAGCCTCAGTGCTGATGCCACTCGACTTCCCTTGTCGTCTTGTGACAGCCAAAGGGCAGGAAAAACAATTAGACGTACTGATTATTTCAGCTCTGAGTCTCACCACACATGAAATATTTATGCTTCGTTGAGCTGGGTAACAAATCATTAATGTCATTACACGCAAACGACATCTACGGAACACACACACTCAAACGAACAATTTGACGGTAAATGATTTTCTGACTGCAGCACTATTTTCTCCTTGCTGGTCTCAGTCTCAAATCATCCACCAATCTAACGAGAACCACACTGTCATGGTTACAGCTCCGGTGAATTACCTACGCAGTGTTTCGTCACGTGGACATTCCGGCGAGTGAAATGCATTAAGATCGTCATCGTGCTGTAACCCTCTAGCACGGCTTAATCCATGGCTTTGCTCACGTTGTTAATTTTACCTTCCATCGAAACCTAATAAATTGAATTTTGGATGTTTAAGCGACATCTTTCCTTTAATAATACTTCCTTAAAACATAAATGTTCTGGTTAGATTACCTGAATGCCAGTATTATTTGTGGACCTAGGTGGTAGACGCTGATTTAGATTATATATATCTGGCCAGAAAGTGCGTTTGACATCCAGTAAAGATGTCGCTTAAACCGATAGCGTAATTTCCACTATCCAACATCCAAAGCCACGAAACTAGAAACAATGGAGCACTTTGCCCTAAATTTATTGGCTTATCTTGCTCGTAAATCAAGGACTCAGCCTATTAATTATCCATTATTTATGGTTTAACGATTTGGTAAGTAGGATGCATTTTGAACAATGTCTGTGTATTTGGAAAAGGTATTTTTATATGAAGTTTTTAGCGAAACCGCACTTTTAATGGTACTCATTCGAGGGAAATGTGCAAACGAAACTGGATCAAATAACACAAGCAATACAATCCTTCGGTGGTACCCCCAAAGAATGGCTGCATTACACATTCCAAAGCACCATACGCAGACAAATGGCATGACTCACTAAAAACACTGATAATGAAAAACAGAAAGTTGAATTAGTTGCCTGCTCAACTTGCGTGTTTTCAATCTATGGGATGAGAGAAGTTGAACTTCAAAGTGTAGCTCAGGTCTCCATAAATTTCTACAGAAAAACTTTAATAGACATAGAAAGTAGAAGTGCTTGAATGCATTTTACACCAAGGAGTGGTAAACAGTTTGTGTTTGCATGTACCCAAGCGTCGGGCGTTAGAGAAGAAGGGTCACGACGGTCTTCGAACGTCTTCAACTCTCCAGTTGCCTTTTCCTCCCAGATACAGGTACACTTTTCGGTGCCATTGTGACCTAAGTAGAAATTGTGATTGCTGCAGCTTGAATCTGAACCTAACAAACTACTTAACAAAAACTATAATGTGTTTTAAGAAAAAGGAAACTTTGCACAACGCACGGCAAACTTTTAAGAAGTTTCGAACAATTGAAGTCATCGGAAGTCGGTTAATGAGAGACATTCTGGTAAAACCATTGAAAGATTTTTCCACCCATGGCGCCATTAGTTTTTTAGGGGTTGGAAAATCTTGAAACAGCAAAACTCTGACTGGTAGACTACGTCTAACGCACCTGATTTGAGAAAGAAGGGACGGATGTCCAAAGATGGCAACTTCCAAAGGATTTCCCTAGTAATCGATTTGAACAAGCAGCACCTTCTTGTACCAACAAATATTAAGTTCTGTAATGTCAATCACAAGGCTATCTTTATCCCTCTTTGTTGGCTAGTGCAGGCAACCTGCAAAATGCCCTCAAATAGCATGCATTGCTGTAAATTCACTTAACAATCTTGAAGAAAGTATAAACACACTGCTCGAGTTCGTTTAGCCTCTTAGTATGCGGGCTTACATTTCAACACCAGTGTTCATTCACCGTCAGCAATCCGCATTAGGGGTTGATGTGTAGTGCTTTATTTGATTGCAGACATGACGAATCGGGTCCAACAATCACTCTCCAATGAACATCGCTACGAATTTCAGGATGACTCAGTCTTAAATGCATTAACACCCAAAAATGTGCCCACTGAATTCATACTAACGCAGGTTTAGTGGGAATCGTGATGGGAGTTGTTGACCTTATGCGATAATCAGTGAGATCAAAGTCTTTTAAAGCACTTTTGAGTGGCAAATGACTATTTGTGGTCATTTGCGATCAAGTTGTCTGTTGTTATTTGCACAAACACTGCTAAAACCTGAAGACATGTGGACGGAAGGCAAATAATTACACTTTTGGGAAAACGTAAGCGTTTTCAACTATGCTAGAATTAACCAATGCGAGGCGATATTACCTGGAACTTTGCTTGGAAAGGAAGTCAAACATCGCATTATCGGGGAAGATAGTATGTGCTCTACAGAGTTTGCTGTTGAATATTGAATACAGAGAACAATGAAACAAAATTTGGGACCAGATGGTAGCAGCACGACCAGCAGTCCGTTGGGTGGCGAGGTTAATGTGTAAGCGACACGGGATTGTCGATAAATGCCTAGATTGGGGAAAGGGATGGGGAGCACTTTCGATACGGGTACTATCAATGCGTTTGGTGTCATTCAATTATCGCTGTACTTCAGGCATAACTTGATCAGCACAATGAAGTAGAGGCTATCAAATGGAAGGGGTATTTATTTCTGAAAAACTAGGGCCGAATGAGCAATTTCATCGCCACAAGTTCTGCGACCTAACACCTAACCTTTGGATATTTCCTTTGGTGCTGTTAACGTTTGAAGTGCTTTCTTTGTTGAAAAAGCTTCCCAAATAGAATGGTAAGCTGATTCCACTGATTTGGACGTCCAACCTTGGGAAGTTTTCCCATCAAGATTCATCTATACCGGAGGTGTTATGTGGTGTTAGAAACTTCTTTTACTATCGTTGATTAATTAATGCAGTTGTGCGCATAATTTTTGGGATTTATGCCTCTAAACTTTCCCATTTGTTACACCTGAGAGAATTCATAATGACTCCTTTGTTTCCGGGCCCAGTGCATGTAGGTTTGCGTAGTGAATTGCCCTTAATGATGTTGAACAACGAGAAATTAAACTAAAAAGGTGTGTTAAAAATTAACAATGGCTTCGACCCAACACACGTAACGGAATTGCCTAGCCATAAAATGCACAACCTTCATTATAGACAATACATCTATGTATCGTCGACCACAGGGAGTAGTATGGCTATCTTGGCAAAATGCAGACTTCGTTTGAAAGCTGTGTATGGGAAGATTTCGAAAATGACCACTTAAACATAGGCAAATAAATAGGTTTCATTGGATCAGTTGCAATGTACTGAGGGTATGTCCACCACCGGCGCCAACAATGCACTTCAGGCGACTCACTATTTCACACTGTCATACGAAAGTTGCACATATTGAGGAGGCAAGACTACCAATGCACTCCGGTTCACAGGTCAACTACCAATCCTTTGCAAATAGTTGGCATAATCCCCCGAACTAACTAGTTACTGCCAAAGCAATGCTTTGTCTCATAGTTTGGGAATAAAGTGAGGTAATCGCCCAGGAATTCACAGATAAGGAAGCAAATAATATAATGTCTTGTTAATAGTAAACGTTAGTGTAGGAAGTACACTAGAAAGTCGGGTAATTTGATATGTTAAAATAGGTATGCAGCAAAAAGCTGGCCAGTTAAGAAGAAATGTAAAAGGTGCCAAAAGTTTCCCTCCTCTTTCGCAGCTACTTTGAAGTAGAGAAGGTGTGGCTGGCGAACCCGATGCGCAATAGGGTATTC